GTATCAACTAGGCATTTATGTTTTATGGTCCCATAATTTACATTTCTTTGAAATATTTGAAAGGGTTCTTACAGCTAATAGAGGGACCAGAGTAAATCAGGTCTATATTAGATGGTTTGTTTTACTCTGGATATTAGCCTGGTTACTGCTCTATGCTTAGTAGCAAAGTCTGATCCCTCCTGCTTCTTGTGATTATTAGAATGTAAGGAAAACCTTTCTCTTCTGTTATATCACATTTGTTGTTACACCACTAAACGCAACACTATATAACAGCTGCTGTCAATCACGTGGGAACCATCTATTAGGATAAAGTCCTTTATATTAATCAGCGTGGAGAGGGTGACAAATACTTACTTGGATTTGTCAAAACTTTTATGGAAACAGGTCTATCAGAACAATTATCTGAAGCCTACCAAGAAGTCCACCTTCTAACAACTCAAAAGCCAAAGAAAATAAAGGTTTACAGGTTATTCTAGCCAACTGTGTTGGCATTAGATTACCTTAAACAGGCTGTTCTGTATTAAAACAGTTCTGCAAAGAAGGTCAAAATCCATCCACAGCCATCTTGGTTGAGTAAGACATTTATGCAGTATTTTGCACTTTACTAAATAAAATCCTCAAGGATATTAACATATTGGCATGAAGAGCATTAATTAAGGCTGCAACTAACGATTATTTTGCTGATCATGTGTTATTCTGTATACTCCAGTTAATGAATTATTGATTACTATCGATTATTTCAATAATCCACTAATCACAATCTGATTAATTGTTTTTATACCTTATTTTGGATTAATGACGAATAATATTTATGTTGTTCCAGGATTGCTATAATAATATTTGACCCCAACCTTTTAATAAAGAATGATGACTCATTTGTATACTAAGCTGAGTAAAATCTATTCCTAAGTATCATGGTGGTTGATTTGATGCGTCACAGCCGCTGAGATCTTTTGTTCTTTGTCTTCAAATCGGCTCGTCTTTCTTCGGCCCCCATGTCGAGTCTTTTTGTTTCACTCAGTCTGCCGCTCAGACCGATTGTGATGATATCAGGTGGACGGCTCAATCAGTTATAGTGCCTCAGATGGGGATCCTGTGAATGTGTGTGTCCGCTTGCATTTGCATGATAACACAAGCATCACCCTGCCCCCAACGTTTGGTTAGTCCGTCTTGTCTGATGACATAAAGGAAAGGAGGAGAAAGCAGGGTTTTTGTTGAAACTCAGGGCCCCACAGACAGTGTTTTTTCCCCGCTGCCACCATGTTTGTAGAGTTGTTTAACTGGAAACCCTGTGAGATTATTTATGTAGTTTGTGTCGGGACAAAGAGCTGAGTCAGAGGAGCTGATACTTTGGCATGTTGGTAGGATTTAATCAGATTTGATGATTCTCTCTCTATCTTGCTGTTTTTCCATCTCAGGCACATCATCCGACTCATATTGTTTGGTTTTGAAGTGAAAAATCTCTCAAAGAGGTTAATTTCTGCAACGCTATCAGTGTATGTGACATTCAGCAGTTAGATTTGTACTTTATTTCTCTGTGTCTAAATAAGCCTAAACATTATAAACTCTCATTTTAATTAAACCCATCTCTGAACTACTCCAATCTACAACATTAGCATAAATAAAATCCCCCTGGTTTAGTCACACTGATCTTTTTGCAGATTGTCTCACCATGTTCTGGTTGTCATGTGTTCCTACGTCAACTGAAATATTGCCGTCATCAGAAAAAGTCTAAGGGCAACGTTCAAACATGTGACAGCGTTTGGCTGCTTTGGTTTCTATCAGAAGCTGCAGAACAGAATAATCTTAGCTAAAAACACAAAAAAGTCAGTACCTTGAAAAAGTGTGCCAGGAGGTTTTTCACATTTTTTTTAATGTTTGATTTGATTTGTTCATTTTATTTCATTCATGGTTTACACAATTAAAATTAATACAGTATAATGATATCATTATATTTTATCATTGAACACCACAAATGAAAACGAGCATGCAGAAGACTTGTACTACCTGCCCCTGTCTGCACAAATATTTCTATAAGTACCAACAAGGTACAAACAAAATACACCAAAACACTAACATAGGAGAAAATAAAATAAACATAACTTCCAAGTATAAATCATAAATTCCTTTAATCTTCTAGTGCATATAATCTTATTTTAGCTTTTTAAAATATGTTCTTGGACTGCAAAATACTTCTTCAGGGAAACATTTAGAGAATTCCATAGTTAACAGAAATGCACATTTGTTTTAACGTTAAATGACCAAACCTGGGTGTTAAATCCAACCAGCGTCTACATTTCTCCTCAGATAATAAAATAATGTTCTGTAACTATTCTGGTAGATATTTATTCTTTATCAGCGTGCATTCTTTGCATTTATTCATGCATAGTTATCAGAGTCTGAAGCTCAATTAAATCCAATATTTCATTAAACCAGACAAACCAAAGAATCTGTATTTTCGATATCCTACCTTATCTATTATACTTTTGTCTGTTTTCTGTAACAAAAATTGTGTTATTACAGCCATATATTACCATTTTAATGAGATCTTTTGTGAGAGACCAACAAAAGGTAGTGCAATTAGGGCTTCAGAAAAGCGGTATATTCGTACCAACATTACTTATCTACACACTGAAAACTATTCTTTGGAGATCACTTGAGTGTGCTTTAATCTAAACTGGGTACTTGCATCTGGTCCTTAACAGGTATGATCCCAGCAGGACTGGATTTGGATAATGCTGATCTAAACCTTTCCAATTTATGTCTGACTGGATGTTTAGTTCAGAGTTTCCTGATGGAAGGGAAACTTTGGCACGCTCTCATGTAGGTCTTCTTATATAGTCTTGTCTGGCGTTCCAGTCTTATTGAGGTTAAGTCCTTTCTGGTTTTGTGTAATCAAGCAATTGTCTCCAGTGTTGCTTGAGGTGTTTGGACTTAAACCTTAGACATTAGGTCATTTTCTCAATAATAAAGATTTCCTCTACTATCCATATCCAAGGCGTCAGGTGTGGAGGGTCACTTTTTAACCATTTTCTGGTAACTGCCTCTTTAGCTGCCACTATCAGGATTTTGAGGACATAGATGTCTTTCATGTGCGTCTCTTCACTCTCCAGGCAGCCCAAGTACACAGTACGTGGGGTCTTGGTTATCTTGTATCGTATCATTTCTTTTAAAGCCTGAACAACTTGATCCCAGTAGGTTTGTATTTTTGTACATTGCCAAAATATATGAGACTGACTGGCATTGCCTCCAACATTGTTGCTCAGTGTGAAATAATTTATTTTGTAATTGAGGTGTTTTTTCCAGCCGATAGTGTGATATAACAGATATAGTGAGTTATTTCCGTTTCATTTTTGTAGACTTTTATTCAGTTTAGAGACTATTTTTGTTGGTATTTTCATGTATGCATCCAAAAATAATTTAATCAATAAATTTCCTTCCCGTGATAATTATTTCTCAACCTCATTAGCATAGAAGTGTCTTAGCTGTAGGTATCTGAAAAAGTTATTCATTTTAAATTTTCTTCTGATTTTACCTAAAGATTTAAATGTTTTGCCCTATGCAAGTGTGCAGATAGCTGTTATCCCCTTTCTCCTCCATTCTATAAATGTGCTAACTGTGTCTTTTGGTTTGAATCTCGTTGACGTTATGCAGTTTGTTTTAATAAATATTTCTTAACCATCCCAAGTCCGTCACAGTAGGGCTGCCTTCATATTTGGGTTAAATTACACACCGATGCACTCTATTTTATTTCTAGCTATCAGAGAACTGACTTCACCCTAAATCCAAATCTGTGCCACACCTTTTCTGTTTATTTGGATAAGACAAACAAAAAATTTTTCCTTTACTTTTCACAATTTTGTGCCATAACAATGTAAAAAGGTTCAAAGCATGTGAACAGTTTTGTAAGTTTGTCTACATAATCATTAATAGCAATCATGATTCTCTTTCTTTTGTGCCATCCATACCATGAAAGGTGACCTGCTCCCATTTCAGTTTAAAATATCCCCTCGCTACTTGTGCAACGATTTAGACATTAAAAGCACTTTCTCTCCAGCTGAAGCTGTGATTTAGTTGTCTCAGCAGAGGACTCTCTTTAGGCTCCTGATCTTTGCCACATCATTATCTGATGACTATATTTAGAGTCTTTGCCATCTATTTTCAGTTCCCTCGCAAGTGTTCCCGTCAGTCATGCTGCTTTCTACATCCTCTCCTTTAAGGAAAAAAAAAAGGATTGAAATCTGCTGCTGGTAAATATAGATGCGGTAATAAAAGGTGCTTCAAGAGGGCGAGATTAGATAACTCAGCTTTTGAGGAGTTGTTGTGCATCAGATTTGGTCTGCTAAGGCAAAGGAAGATATGTCGTTGGAAATTGTCAAGCTTGCCCGTAAATATGTTAAGAACAGATGTCAGACTGGTGAGCTGCGTGTGGTCTTTAGCTTATAAGAACCTGCACAGCTGACAAAAGTGACTGAAGGTGTTGCAAAACCTGCCTGAGGTGCAGCAGTAACAGCTGACTTGTTTGTATCGATGTGGCGAGACCTAAAGAAGACGTGTTAGCACAGGCTTTGAATGCCACTCATCCACAGTGTGAGCATCAACAACAGTTCCTAATCCATTGCTGCAATGCACTATGCTAACTTCCCTGCAGTTAGCCCTGGGGGTTCATACGCAGTATGGACAGATACGGAAAAATCTAGAATAGAACTTCACTATTTTCTATTTTCTAAGATTGGAAAAAAATAAAGGAAGCAGCTAAGAATGTGAAGTAATGTTAGTGGTTCAGACATTATTGTCTTTCCTGTTGTCCTCATGTCCTACCTTCTTTGTGCATCCTCCTTTCCTTGCCTCACTTCCTTCCTCCCTTAAGCCAACTTTAGAAATATTTTCCTTAAATTTGTATTTTACAGTAAATTCACAGGTATAGAAACTCTGGAAAGGTTCAGACTTGTAGCTGTAAATTCAGAACTGAGGCAGCCATTTATCTGTGTCTCCTGCAGGAGTTTCTTCCCGTGTCCCAGAGATCATGGCGGCAGGCACCCACTCCCCTGGTGGGCCCAACGGCATCATACGGAGCCAGTCGTTCGCCGGATTCAGTACGCTGCAGGAGCGACGGTCTCGGTAAGCAAAAAACTTAAAACATAAAAAAAAAATGTCTAGGTCAGGGTTGTGAATTTACTTCCATTTTATTGTCTTAGAATAAGATAATCTTATTTATATCTTCTCTTAAACTTCTTCATTAGGAGTTCAGTATGTTTTGATGACCAAATATTGTCGAACAGAGTTGGATTGGAGCCTAATGATTTTATCTGTCCAAAAATTGTATCCAAGGAGACAAATATTCTTTCAATTTGCCATATTTCTTATATTAAAGATGCGTCTTGAATTCAATTGATTGTGCTTCTGTATCCTAATCATAATATTAAAAGATGCCATAAATATTGAAATTTCTAATACTTTTCTTTCTTTTTCTTAGACAAATTTGACTGTTAAATCAATCAGATGTGCCGTGTTACTAATTATATTTTAAGTTAGATTTTTTTTTCTGTTATTGATTTAAAGCATTTTGTACATTTTAGTTTGGATTTGCATTTAAAAATATAGGTCTAAGTGTTTCTTGTTCAGCAACAGATTCAAAAGAGATGTTGTTTAAATTTTTTTTTTTGTTCCTAGGGACTAGGTGCAAAGATAATCACAGGCCTCTTTTTGGAATTATTTTTATCAAGATAAAGTCATTCTAACCTTTTTAGAAAGTGTTTGCTACTGCTATTAATGATTCTAGCTTTCTTATAAAACATTTCAAGCCCTGTTTTCAAAGGATCTCTTTCATAGATTGCTAATTAAAAGTTTATCGAACTTAGCACAATGCTCTCTCTCTCAGGGTATTCTCCCTTGTTGCGAGGGTCTTTAAACTCTGGTAACGTGCAGATGCAAAGGGGTAAATCTAGGGGCACGAGTCTGGTTGCAATTCTGTCTATGTGCATCTCCATGCCTCATTAAGGAAGAAGAATAGAGCTCAAGAATAACATCAAATCTGTCAAGGGAGATATCTTCAACAGTGGGAGAAGATGAAAAGTGTCAGTAATCTGTATAAACAGTCATGCCGTTGTGTGTTGACTGTTGAATGATCGACGAGTTGAGAAGAAGTAGCAAAGCTCAAGTTTTTAAATGAGAAAACATTTAGTTTATAGTTTTTGACCCAAATGATCCCCAGATATTTCTTTGTAGCTAAGATAATTAAAATGGCAAAATCACAGGTGTAGATTTTATCCCGAATAGGGTTTTTACTGCTCTCCATTACAAGAGTTAATCTGTTTTAAAGATTCCTTAAGGCACCAACAAATAAGATTCTTGACAGGTCTGACTGTCTGGACAGGGTTGAACATGGTGGAAAAACAAACACGTCAACCAGCTCCATTCTGAAGATAATCAATGGTCAAACACCCAACCTCCTAAGCTATCCAGCACAAAAGCATTGAAATCACTGTGCAGTGATGCAGGCAGTGACGTGCTTTGCTGCAAATGTTGCTTTTGCCACCGTTAAATGTGCTACTTTTTTAGTTTTAAGTCAAACAGACCTGAAATTTCCTTCTATTTTCCATTTTAATGGTTCTAGATATTCTGGAAAATTTTGAAAAGGTGTCGAACTAGATTCAAGTCCCTTTAATGAATTGTTATTTGGAAAAATACAACAGCCTCCGCCCATCTGTAAATATGTGAAACTGATGTGAAAACTGCTGGAAGCCTCTTTGTTACTTGAGCTCCTTGCAGAGATTCGTCAGGGATTAAAAAAAAAAGGTCGTTAAAAGATAGATTTTATTCTGTTTCTTTCCATTTGACTCATTCTTCTAGAGATGAAGTACATTCATACTCGTATCCCAGATTTCTCTTTTACAATTGTTTCCTTTGGGCTGTCGCTTGCTTGTCTTCCTGGTCCTGCTGAGAGAACCCATTTGAAAACGCTCTTGCTTTCTTTTCTCTCTGCTCAGACAGTGAATGGTAAGATTGGTTGGAATAACTCAAGTGTGTGGGCGACTCCGAAGCCACTGGATGTGTCACAGTCTGAATGAGTGATAACACAGACTGTTCATGCGTGCCCCCATGCAGCCATTCATGCGTGCTTGCAGCCTTCAAACGTTGTACTTTTTGTGCAAGGGTGCAAAATGAAATGCATTAGTTGCCGTAGAAATGGCAGCATGTATGCGTTCCTCTATGCATGTTTCTGTCAAGAAACCTTTTGCAATACAGCTCATCTGACCCCAAGGCTAAACAGCAGTGTTATGCAGGGTTGCCCTACATTTGTGACAGCTGCGCATGAACTTCAACTTGCATGTTCCAGCTCATCCAGAACTGAAGCTGATGGCTTTCTTGTCCCTAAAGGAACTCAAGGATCATTAGGGTGAGGTGGAGAAACCGTAATGTGTAATTCTGTATTGCTTTAGAAAACCATGATTGGGTAAGATTACTTTAACTTACAACAGATTAATGGGAGAACAGAAAGAAATCTCAATGGTCTATAAACATGCCCTCTGTATTAGTGCACCAATGCCACATTCATTATGGAGCACTTGGTGTTAAACAAATACTAGATGCCATAGAACATACACTATATTGCCAAAAGTATTTGCTCACCCATCCAAATTATTGGAATCAGGTGTTCCAATCACTTCCATGGCCACAGGTGTATAAATTCAAGCACCTAGGCATGCAGACTGTTTTTACAAACATTTGTGAAAGAATGGGTCGCTCTCAGGAGCTCAGTGAATTCCAGCGTGGAACTGTGATAGGATGCCACCTGTGCAACAAATCCAGTCGTGAAATTTCCTCGCTCCTAAATATTCCACAGTCAACTGTCAGCTGTATTATAAGAAAATGGAAGTGTTTGGGAACGACAGCAACTCAGCCACGAAGTGGTAGGCCACGTAAACTGACGGAGCGGGGTCAGCGGATGCTGAAGCGCATAGTGCGAAGAGGTCGCCAACTTTCTGCAGAGTCAATCACTACAGACCTCCAAACTTCATGTGGCCTTCAGATTAGCTCAAGAACAGTGCGCAGAGAGCTTCATGGAATGGGTTTCCATGGTCGAGCAGCTGCATCCAAGCCATACATCACCAAGTGCAATGCAAAGCGTCGGATGCGGTGGTGTAAAGCACGCCGCCACTGGACTCTAGAGCAGTGGAGACGCGTTCTCTGGAGTGACGAATCGCGCTTCTCCATCTGGCAATCTGATGGACGGGTCTGGGTTTGGCGGTTGCCAGGAGAACGGTACTTGTCTGACTGCATTGTGCCAAGTGTAAAGTTTGGTGGAGGGGGGATTATGGTGTGGGGTTGTTTTTCAGGAGCTGGGCTTGGCCCCTTAGTTCCAGTGAAAGGAACTCTGAATGCTTCAGCATACCAAGACATTTTGGACAATTCCATGCTCCCAACTTTGTGGGAACAGTTTGGAGCTGGCCCCTTCCTCTTCCAACATGACTGTGCACCAGTGCACAAAGCAAGGTCCATAAAGACATGGATGACAGAGTCTGGTGTGGATGAACTTGACTGGCCTGCACAGAGTCCTGACCTCAACCCGATAGAACACCTTTGGGATGAATTAGAGCGGAGACTGAGAGCCAGGCCTTCTCGTCCAACATCAGTGTGCGACCTCACAAATGCGCTTCTGGAAGAATGGTCAAAAATTCCCATAAACACACTCCTAAACCTTGTGGACAGCCTTCCCAGAAGAGTTGAAGCTGTTCTAGCTGCAAAGGGTGGACCGACGTCATATTGAACCCTATGGATTAGGAACGGGATGTCACTTAAGCTCATATATGAGTCAAGGCAGGTGAGCAAATACTTTTGGCAATATAGTGTATATTACCTTCATACTGAATGTTTTATTGGGTAGCTTTTAGTTACTGCGAAGTCTATCAGAAAATGAATGAACAAGTTGTGAAAGAAAAAAAAAAGCACTCTTTTTTATTTATATATATGTATATGTATGCCAGTTTTAGATATATGTTCTGCTGTAACTCATAATTTGACTGTCACAGTGCGTGTTAAAAAGTTTTTCCTGTGATGACATCAAATAGTGCTACAAGATATCTGTGATGCAGCTTGTGAAACAGAATTGAGAGTTCCTGAAAGTTTAAACAGGCCCATTGATAATAGACGGGCTTAAAACTGAAACCAGGCCGGGGTTACATGTTGATTTGGTTTAGAGTTCGGTCAGTAACTTTATACAATGTCAGTCTAAATACCGTCCAAATTGTCCATTAGTCATTTTCACTCTTAGTTCTATTTAAATGTGGGCATAGCCAGGGCTCTTTCTCTCAGTTGCTATCCAAAATAGGAAAGATAATCTGGATGAGGATCCATCTTTATTTTGATATGGTGAAGAAGAGGATGGTAGGGAAGAATACTTCCTTAAAATCTGCCAAACTCTCTGTTGGTATCTGGAAGGCTCTGGGCGGTTCATGTCACTGCAATCTGACTATTAGATGTAGCTGAATATTACACACTGTAGCTTTAAAAAGTATATCAAGCATAATAAAAATAATTGCAGTATTATCATATAAAGAACTTTCCCGCTTTTCTTCCACACCCAATCCGTGTTTAATTATACCTAACGTGTTGGTTTTTTCCTTTGAAATCGGTTTTAGGTTTCTTTGTGGGTCACCATTGCGGAGGAGATGGATGAGTTTCAGTGACAGATGACGGTGTTATTGGCTCCATTTGACTTTTTTTTGTTGCAAGATAAATGATGGCCTGCCTTCTAGAGATGACGTTGATTCTTAGATGAAAATGTGATATGTTGACTTTATTATATTGAGACCCAAAGGGTTGTGTATCATTCTATGCAAAGCTATGGAAAAAAAATATTGCCCCTTCTTGCAAATTGTATATTCTTATAGGATTTTGTTTGTTGCCATGAAAGAAATTTGTTGCTACAAGCATGATAGTGAGAGGGATTGCTTTCGAGCCAATAAGTTGATGCAATCAACTGGTTTTCCTTAGATAGAAAACTTTGTATGATCTGGTTTAATTGTAAAGTGCCTTGAGATGACTGTTGTGAAATGGTGCTATATAAATAAGCTGAATTAGATATTTTATTGGTATCCTTCAACCTGAAAGGGTTAAGAGGCCACTCCTTTGGTTTTAGTGCTCCATTTAAACACACTAAGAGCCTGTGTCAACAAATGGGACCCTAACCTATTAGACAAGGTTGAAGGGTGCGTCTTTAGCTTATCTAGGAGATAAAGAACTGATTTGAAGAACCCCCAAAAAAACATATATTCTGCTATATGGGGTATCTTCTACTGCCTCTGATTGTAGTTAATATAACAAAAATGTGAAAGCTTCAGAAAACAAGGCTAAACTTAAAAAAGAACACAAAGACCCGTCTCACATGAGCAAGAAGACAATGTGTCCCTTATATGTGGTCTAAGTCCAGCACTGCCTCTCAGAAACAGAACATCATACGCATTTAGATGAGGCATTGTGACAACCTCGAGCTAATTTGCTGCTTCATTCGGTAAAATTGATAGAACCATGAAGATAGTCCTCCCATCAGTGTGCTGCCCTATTCTTGGCCTATATTTGAATTAGATCATGTGGCATGACTGTAAACAGGTCAATTCAACTTAAAACGCTTCAATGTTGCCTCGTTAAAACAATTCTTCAAACACCAACTTGCACTAACTTTCCTTGGTTGAGATGTTGAGAAAAAACTTGGTTCCAGTTGCAAAAAACACTGGATGACAGTGGTGGACATCAGGGAGCAATTGCTTTTTCACATAGGAAAAGGCTGAAGTTGAAAGCCTTTTACTCCTCCATAAAGAATGAAATCGTCATTTATAAACTGCTATTAGCTCAGGTTACCTTTTCTGATTTTGCCGTTTAATAGAAATATAGAAGTGAGACAATTACTTCAAATCACGACAAATCCTTTTTCACTTACTGTATTTTCTGGAGTATAAGCCAATACTTTTTTTCCCCATGCTTTAACCATGCGGCTTATAAGAAGCTTATAAGTCGTCCAGTGTGACTTACATATGTACGTTTTATATGTATGTTTTTTTTTTTTTTTTTCAAAAAATGTAGGCTTATATTGAGGCTTATATTTATATTGAGGTGCGCTTTATAGTCTGGAAAATACTGTAATTAAATTCACACTTTGGATTGATGGTCGCCCCAGCTTGATTTAAATTTTATTCTTCTTCAGTCTTTGTCCTGGTTAAATATTAAGTCCCTGTCCATAACACTGTGTTTGCAGGTGTAATTCGTTCATAGGAAACTCTGCTGTACCGAAGAAGCCTCAGTCCAAGCCCAAGAAGCCCCACCTGTCTGGTCACAAAGGAGGCAGCAGCTCCAGAGAGCCGCAACCCAAACGTCTGGAGGAGGTTTACACGGCACTCAAACAGGGCTTGGAGTGAGTAACTCACTATTTCATGTTCACTATTTAACGTCCTAACATTGTTGACAATTTCATTAGCTTTATTTCACTTATTTCCTTTAAGAAGATCCTTGATGAATTTAGATTGTAATCATGTTTTCTTTTTCATGCTGCTTAGTGAATATCTTGAAGTCCATCAAACAGAGCTGGATAAACTCACATCTCTAATGAAAGACATGAAGAGGAACTCTCGCTTGGTGAGATTCATGAAAAGATTTTGAACACAGATAAAAATCTTAAGAAATATTCAAATATATATATATATATATATATCTTGACTATACTCTTTCAAAGCATTGTTTAACATGTTTCTTTTCGTTATTTCCCAGGGAGTGCTGTATGATCTCGACAAGGTAAGTCCATGAAACTTGGGTTTTACTATGTGAAGATAAGATGATGTTTGAATTTGGTTTAGTGTAGAATGGAGCCAGGTTTTTAGTCTGGGTTTTTGGACAATTCGGTATAGAATAAAAACACACAACACATAAAATACATTGAACAAATTGGAAAGAAAATTCGCAGAGGAGCAACAGGTGAGTGTCAGCTCAATATTTTATCTAAATGTGTTTTGTATACACTGTATAAAATTTAGTCCATTTATATGACATGAATTAATTGAAGTTTAAACTGTTACATGTTTTGTGCACCAGTCCATTAAAGGGTTATATTTACACTTTTATTTATACTTACACAAACACCTGCCACTACCTTTAACATTTACCGTACCTTGAGACCAATTTAACAACTAAAACCTGTGGTCTTCCACCCATAATTATGATTGTAGTAAATAAAACAAATAAGGGGCGTGCAGGTGGTGCAGTGGTTAGTGCTCACAACCAATCTAAGGAGGCTTTAGTCCGGGTTTCGAACCCGGGTTCGAATCTGGCCTGTGCTGCTTTGCCGCATGTCTCTCCCACTCTCTCATACCCCCTTTCCTGTCAGCCTACTGTCAGAAAAATGAGCCACTTGTGCCGTAAAAACAAAACAAAAAAAATAAATAAAACAAATAAAAAATGTATTAGTATTGCACATTCAGCAGCAAGGAAATTCAAAGTGCTTTACATGTTAAAACCAGAACAGAGAGATTTTTTTTGGAGTTTGTTCCTGATTTAAAGCTGCGTTTAACCTTAAAGCTTATTGAATCTACTCTCAATCATAAAATATTGACTTGAGTTTAAATGCATTTGTCAATATTAGCAAAGCAGCTAAATTTTAGCTACTGATTGAAATTGACGAGTTTTGCTTTGATCAAAGAACTCGGATCAGACAACACAGGGGAACCTTTGCTCCTCAAATCCAGCAGCAGCTTATAAACCATTAGCTGTAGAGCCATTTTCATTGCAAGCTAATCGTTTTAAATGCCAATACTTAATTTATAACAACCCCACCTCACCGGGAGGCTCCAGTAGTCAAGATTTGTTCCTGTTTTCTGCTTCACCTGTTAGTGTTCATAAAGTTATGATTAAGTGGTATATTTTAATCAGCATTTTTGGATCTATAAAGTTCATGCTGCCATATTGTTTAAAGCTCTGCTGTGTTTGTTTTTTCCTGCAGCAAATCAAGAGCATTGAAAGGTATATGAGACGCCTCGAGTTCCACATCAGTAAGGTAAGGATTTAGTAAACGTTGTAAGTCAATTGTTTTAAAAGTGTCACAGAAATAAAAAAGATTGCAACGATATTTGCGGAAAAAAGGAAAGAAATAAAGGTTAAAAAATGGTAATAATTGATTAAATAATGCTGTTGCCTCAATGTTTTTGATTAGACTTGGTTAGCCCCCATAAAATAAATTAAATGACAGCAAAAGTTTTAATAGCACCAACTATGAAACTAACTTGTTGTTTCTCTGTTTTTTGATTGGCTTTATGAGATTATCAAAAGTATGTGTTTTGGAATAACTTAAGAGTTGACAAACAAGCTTGCTGTGGTGACTTCCACTGTTAATTTTCTTTTCTTTGCCCCAAGCTAAATAAAACTTTCTGCAGATACAAAGTATCTTGTGCATTAAAAAAAACATGATTCCTTTTATTTTTATTATTTTTATACACTAAATTCCCCTTAACGATAAGTTCTATTTTGTTAAAAACTGATAAGCTAGTTAACTAGCACCTATATTTGACATTAACAAAAGCAATAGCAATTGCTATAGAATATCTTCTTTTTTTTTTAGATGATTAAACCCTTAAATTGCTAAACTTGGTAGACAGAAAAAGGCACAAAAAAACTGCATCTTTTTGTTTTTCTACTTTTCAAGACATTATATAAATTCCTTTTCTGGTTCATTGAATGCTTTTCCTTAATTTTCTTTCAAATGTCTTTTCCATAGAGTGATAACAGTGACGTTCTATAAGTACTCTGCAGGATAGAGACATCTGTTCATTCTGTTTTTGCGGCTTGTTCTTTACATTACTTTTAAGAAAATGCTCTTTTTTTATTCTTGTGTGATATTTGACAAATGTTTTAAAAATCTTGAATGTGGTTGGTTACTGCACTGACAAACACTGCAGAGTTTAGAAGGTTGTTTTATAAAACATATAAAGCTTTGTTATTAATCCAGGCTGACCTAATAAGTCAGAATTGGGAGCCTAAGTCTGACTTTTCCAAACAAATTTTATGAAATATTCCTCATGAGTTCTGAACTTGAGTTCTTATGACGCATAAAATCTTTGGGCCATGAAGAATTTTGATCAGGTTCTTTCATAGTTTGGTATAAAACATGTGTTTGCATGTAATGGACAACTCCCATAAAATAAAAAGCAGCAAAAAAACAAAAACAAAACAAAAACACCATACATATTTCCTAGAGTGTTTTGATTTGGACCAAAAGCTAACGTGATTCTGGAAGTTTTCTTGGACTTATTAATTTATTATTATTTCTCAATATCTGTTATACAAATACATTTCCTGCTGTTTGAATTGTTTTGGCAAAAAGGAATCTGATTTATTTTCCTTAATACCTTCTTTTGAAGTCTTCTCACAGGCTCCCAGTAAGGGACCATAATCCCCACATTTTTTTGTAGACTCTACAAGCTTGCAAGGCTCTTTGACTTTTCTTCCACATCCTCTTTTATAGTCCAGCGCGGCTTGCTGGGCATCAAATCAGAACTGACAGCAGGTTATCAGAGCATGCTCTCCAAAACAACTGCACAGATCTAAAAGGTAACCATGGATACATGAAGACAGCCTTTTGAAGTCAGATCAGGAATTTAAGGAAACCATTTAACTGGTACATTAACCCTTTATAGTCGTACACACCCCTATCGGACAATAAAAACTTACGTTTTGTCTAGAAACACAGCTTTAAAACAGGATGGTTAGCTTGATGGTTGGTTTGAGGTTGGATGGTGAAATAGAGGTAGTGTCATGGCTAATTTTTATTGCAAAGCTTTTATAGGAGGGTAATATGTTGGTTTAGGTGTGAATCAGCCGGTATTTAAAGATGGAAAAAGTAAATAAAAGAAGATACAGATGAAATTAAATATTTCAGTCATTTATACTTGCCATTGTCTTAAAATATATGAACAATTTCTGCAGTGAGCTGTCTTTTATGCCGCTAACAAAAGAAAACAAAACAAAAAAAAATGTAGTCAATGCCTGCTCTTTCTTATAAAAATGTCACAGGATGCTTTTAAGCAACCAAATTCTCAAAGTTTCAGCTTGAGAAACAGATTTATTTTGACAACCCTATGTTTTGCAGACTCGGAACAGAAATAGATTCAAATATAGCTGTAAATATTTGGGAAAGCAAAGAATTGTCTGATTTATCTTGTCAGGCAGGGAAGCAGTCTCAGTCTCTCTCTGTCAGTTAGATTTACCTCCAACTGTGTTCTTCTTTTTCGCTTGCAGACATAATATCAGCAGCATGTTCACTGATGTCTTCTGCAGTGTCATTACTGACTCGCTGGGCTTTGTCTAATTTTACAAAAGTTTTCCTTAAATTCAAATCACTTTAAAATGGCTCTTATTCCCCGAGGTAGAGAACACTAAAAAAAGGGATAAAGTTTGAATTTGATTAGGAAGGTCCCATAGAGATTAAGAAACTCTTATTTTTTAGTAACCGCTGGCCAAGATGGCTATAAAGCACTTCATATGGAAGCATTACCAGAAGTAAAACAATTAAATAATAAAAGGTATTAAAACAATGTAAATGTGAAACCCTTCTGTTAATCAGAGCTTTATAAAGTAATTGACTGTTTAAATCAGAGCTGTTATAAGAATACCCTTGACAAATATATAAACTATGTTGTTTATACAAACCATATTTAAGTTAAGACGAAATGTCAGTTTTGCTTAAATTGCTGTAGTAACTTAATTAGAAGGACCAGATAAACTGGTTTACATTTAGCATGTAAACATGCTAACATGTTTTCATAGTCTGAAACATAAAGCAGCTTCTTTGCACCTTTTCATTATGCAATGCAGAATTTAAATATACATCTCCTTACTGCTAATGTTTCTTATTTTAATCTTAAGATTGCATTTTTTTTAAAGAGTCTGTAGATCATCCTCTACTGTTAAAGAAATTAAGATTTCTCACTAAACTCTAAAACCTTTTTTACTGCCCTTCACTTTCCTACGTAGGTTAAATGCTGAGTTCCGTCTCTTCATCCAAACTCTGTAGAATACACTGCAAAGGACCAGTTTAAGTATAACTGCAAGATAGTTTTTACTAGCATCACTAAAGTCTGAGTGATGCTGCTTTTTCTAGTGTTTTTATTAAAAAAAATTATTTCACAAATAAAAGTTACGTTTTTGCAAACTGAAGTTCAAAGTATAAATTTATATAACTACAATAAGTGAGTAAATAAGACTAGTTACTTTCTACCTCTGGTGCTTTGTAACTCAAAGGGCTGGAATCCACCCAACTAGAGGAAGAACTAAAAATATATAGAATAAGGCATTCAAAAACTGGAGAAAGAATAACAGAAAAGGTGAGAGGACGAAGTAAAGAAGATGGTTTCCTAGTATGAAAAAGATGGATAACTGGAAGAAGGATTAGAGATGTGGAAAAAAATAATTTCAACAATAAGCACTTGATTTTAAACTTGGTGAAATATTGTATAGTGCTGTATCAAGTCCAAGGACTTCAAATTGCTTCAGACCAGAGGGTGTCTCAATCAGCACTAAGTCCTTATCTATTAGCAAGGCTGCTGTAATGGTAAAAAATGTTCCTTGTGAGATAAATAAATCTATTCTTCGTTTTTAATTCAATCCGTTTTATCAAACATCCTCTGCTCCTTTTCCCCAGACTGTTAGGAGCTATTCTGACCTCCTTGTCTATCTGTTCCTGCTCTGCTTTGCACCCTCAGTAGGACTGCTTCATCTGATGTTGGCGGTCCTGGTTTCCCAGTCCGCCATACTAGTAATCAACATGTCTGTTATTTTAGCATATTTTTCTGTGCCCACTTGGTGTCTCTCAAGTTATTATTTGAATTCCAATTGCCAATGATAAAGAAACAAACTCATTCTCGTAGTCTGTTGAAGCCCCTCAGATGGCCTCTCAACAATAAAATCTACTAACTGCGTGACTGACTGTGTCATCTGCATATACACGTATCTTGGTTGCTCTTAGCCCCTGTTCCAACTTGTTAGCTGTGTTTCCATTCAAATGTGATTCGACTTTTGAGTGAAATTGTAAAAATGTATATTTCCTTCCATTGGAGCAAATTAATGAGGTGATACAAAGCGTAATGAGAGTAGAGTTTCACAGGTGAAATGTGTATTTCTTATTTTTGATAAATATTTAATAGATCTGCCTTTTAACTAATGATTTGACAATATGCATAACCAGAAGCAGTGATGCAACATCCTACTTTATTTTAGTTTTTAACAGACCGGAAGAAAGTTATGTTTAATTATCAGTTAAGATAGATGATAAGAATCAGGAATACTTTAATAATCCCAGAGGGAAATTACTTTTGTTACACGCTCCAGATACAGTTTTATTTATATATATATATATATATACAACAAACCACACAAGATAATATAAATTATTACTGTATAGAAAATATAGATACAATTTTAGGGTACCAGCAGCTTGTCAAATTCTCTTTTGTCAAAAAACAAAACAACAGTTCAGATAAATAAATAAGTTCAATGTTGCTGCAGCTGTAAGTTCAGGTAAATGTGGAATTGTTTCAGCCCAGACTCAGTCTCTTGTTGTTTTGGCCATCTGCCGCAAAGGACGACTTAACAATCGTCCATCAGCAGGCTGTTAGTTTGTGACTTGCATTAGCCGCAGCTTTTGTCTCTGCCCTGCCTGCAAATGTCTGCACTGTAATTGGCAGGTGGCACACCACAATGTCCATGATGTATGATGCATGGGACAAAGTCTATATTAACTGTTTATGTTTGTGTGTGGGGGGCCGGTATCAACAGGGCATCATTAAAAAGATGACTGACACACTGAAGGTGAGCAGAGCAGTTGCCCGGCACCCTGTGCTCCTCTAAGAGAGGGTGTGTGTTTACCATTGCCAAATTCAGCCCAGATGAGTGAGAATTCTTTGCATGTGATTATTTTTGATAAAGGACATTTTCTGCTCCCCCCCTTTCCCCCGTTGATTGCTAATCTTGCTGTAAACACACACACACACACACACACACCCTGATTTCCCCAGAGAAGGCTTGGGTGTTTGATGCTGTTCGGCGGGGCCTGCCTGTTTCTAATCTGCTTATAATCATTTGCTCCCGGGCATAAAATGCTGCTGGGTGTGAGTGTGCACCATTATTTAACAATGTCAGATAATATCAACATGTTAAGAGGATTTTTAGCCAAATCCTAGAGATTTAGTGGAAATTTGAAATTTCACGGCCCAATTTGAGAAATGTTCATATCTAAATAAAATCCTTTAAAAATTCTCAATTCAATTTAATTAGTCGACGGCATAAAAAAACTTACTTATTGAATATTTACCATTCCTTCTCTTAAAGGCCTAATCTGATTCCCTGCTAAAGATCTTCCCAAAACGTGTCACTTTTTCTCCAAGCAATTTGTTTTTTGTTTTTTTCATCCACTCTGAACTATAATGAACTCAATCCAAATGAATACAAATTTTTGCATGTATTTAGATTTAAAGATGTCTTAATTAGCAGATGTGTAACAGGCACTTTTTTGGACCTTAGGCACAACAGATGGGATTTTCTTCTATTCAGTGGTCTTTTAGTGACCAGTTAAAATAAAGTGCTGTGCAATATTATGTATTTTATTTTATGTATCTTTTCAATTTTTGGAACATCACATTTAAACTTCGATTAGATTTTATGTATAATATCAGAGATATTTTAAGATTTAAATACGTTTTATGTTAAAGAATGGGCAAAAGACATGTCTGAACATTGCATGTCACTAGTTTCTCCATACAGGAGGTATCTTGGTGATTACAATACGAATATTACGTGTGTTTTTGATACTATTTCCTCATGTCATTTAACATTATTACAGATCTTAATTTCTGTGTATTTGATTTGGTTTCTTTCATTATTGTAAATGTCGTGAGTAGGGCTGCAACTAACGATTATTTTAAAAATCGATGAATCGGCCGATTATTTTTTCGATTAATCGATGAATCGGACAAAAAATATTTTTTATGTTAACCTCTTTATTCCAAAATAAACATTTTAGACAGAACAAACAAGCACACAAGTACAGGTTGCTCATTAACTGTACTGGTGCAATATGAAAAATAAATGTTTGTGTAAAAACTACGCAAACTTACATGAGAAATGTAGCTGTACATCCACAAAATATAGGGTATTTTGTTTCATAAAGCGAAAAAAAAGACATTTTTGTTTTTAAAAGCCCCTAAGGGGTTCAAACAATAGGTCCCCCCATTTCAACAAATGAGGTTTTTTTTAGACTAGAAGAGTTCTGCCTTTTAAGACAGGAAAGTATAGCAGTTAAAGTTGCTGCTTGAGAAAATACTTAACCAAATTATAAATTGTATTTGGAATAAAAATGAGAGAACTAGGGGTGCTAAAAAACACATCCTCCAAAGACAGATATTTACATGGGAATGTGGCATATAATTAATTGACATATTACTGATCTTGCTGGATTTTATTCTGCTTTACTTCCATAAATTGCAGGATCTTCTTTATCTTTCCCAGAAGATTTAAACTTTAAAAGCTTTGCCCTCATAATTTCCAAGTTAATTTATTTATAAAGAAAATATAAATGCTACTTAAGCTAATTCAAATGAAATTAAAAGTAAAATAAGTAGCCAACCTCATCCCTGTCTGTAACCTACTAACAAGGTAAGGAAAGCATCAGATGAGCTACCTGAGAAACTAACGTAACGTTTCCCCACTTTAAAACCAAACAAACATGGTTACTCATCCTGCTGATCTGCTCTCTTCACGCCATCGAAGGCTCCAACGTGTTTTCTTTTCAGATGCTGCGTCATAACAGTGGTGCTTCCGTGCCATGTTCATTTGTTTTTACAAAAGTTGCATGTTACGACGCATGCGCCGTCAATCCCGGCGCATGCGCGCTTCATTTGCATTCTGGACGCTGAGGGTAAACTCCTCACTAAAAACCTGCGGCTCTGACTGCCGCGCTGAGAGGGATTCCTGTGAGAGAAAAAGCCGCCAGTGACACCGTAAAAAGTCGCCAGATTTGTCGCTAGTCGCTTTTTTGAAAAATAGTCGCTGGAGGGGTCTGAAAAGTCGCTGAGTTGGCAACACTGCAACTGCGGCGCTACTCGCTCCGCCATATTTTTTTTCTTCCCCCGGATGACGGCGGCGGCGGATGACGCATTAATCGCGCGACACAACTAATCGATGATTAAATTCATTGCCAACGCTTTTAAAAGTCGATTTTTTTCGATTTTATCGATTCGTTGTTGCAGCCCTAGTCGTGAGACTAGAAAACACAACAAGACTAATGGACAAAGGCTATAAAATGCTGCAAAAGAGAGAAGCTGCATTCACAGAACCACTAAAATGGAAAATTGCTGCAAACACAAAAAAAACAGTTCAAATACATAAAGATGCTAACACATCAATACACAAAATGTATGCAAATCAAAAACAATGCTGCAAATAGCCAAAACACCTACAAGTTAAGAAAATCTGCAAACTAGTGGCGCTTAATGGAAGGGTTCCAAAGAGATGACCATCAACTCATATGGGACCAGACCCTCATTAAAGGCACAAACTGGATGCTAAGAGGAATTACCTTTTTCAAAAAGATTAACAAACAATAACAAACCCTTTTCTCTCTGTGTTTCTAATATAACCTGTATCAGCTAAGGAAAATCTATATTTTTTTTCTTTATTGTTTCTCGCCATTGATCATGTAAATCAGATCGATCATGTGAAGGCAAAGCCTAGGAAGCCTAATGAGACAGATTAAATGCATCATCAAGAAAATGCTAAGTAAGGGAAGTGTTTCTCTCCATACGTTTGTGCTCTTCTGACAGTAATATAGTTTGGACTGAGACGTTTTAGTTTTTTGGCCATCTGTCCATCAAGGTTTCTCTCCTCTCTTTGTTTGTTTTTTTCTTTCATGCGTTGTCTTTCTCTTGGGGGCAATGCGCCCAAGGCACAGCAATATGCTGATGGACAGTCTCTGGAGAGAGGCTTGGCTGACCTTCATAAGCACATGTCCTAGTGGCCGCTGTAATCGGGGACAAAAATTAGCTTCATTATCCGACAATGATATGATAATGTCTATTCATCAGCTCCAGTTTGTTAGAGCCCAGTATTTCCTCAGAGAAAAGCATTATTTCTCTAAATGATTAACTCATTGTCATTGTTACCTTGTGTGTGAAGGGTCTCTACACAGGCTCCAGTCATCTGTCTCTCTATTGTCCGGTCATCCATTTATTCATCCGTCCATTTGTGGGTTTGTTTGCTCACTCGTCTGCTCCGCACTTACTTTATCTTTCCCTTTTTTTTTAAAGCATGCCAAAAATAATCTGCAAAAGATTTGTGGTTAATCTTTTAACTGTGAACTGAATTAATTACCCATAAAGGGATTAAACTTATCCAGGGTTGTTGTTTTTTTCTGCACATTTTAGACTAGAAGAGTTCTGCCTTTTAAGACAGGAAAGTATAGCAGTTAAAGTTGCTGCTTGAGAAAATTTTTAAACATTTTAACTTTAAACATATGTGTGTATAAACTATATGTCTAAGAGGCCCAGCAGCTCTGAATGTTCTTTATGATGACTGGATAAAGTTACTTAGGTTAGATGTCGTTCTGAGGCTGACTCCATTCAGCTGCTACAGCTACACCACATGCTCCACATACCACAGACAGACATGCAGATGGGCTTGGCCTCACCCAGTAGCATGTCGCTGAGGACTGCTTGGTTTGAGGTGGAGCCGGTGGGATCATAGTGGGTGTGGGATATAAATCTGAAGTTTTATAGAAACTTTTTTCAAGGAATCAACATTATAAAAAGATTTCCTAGTGGTGTTTTGGTTTAGGCGTAAAGAACCCCAAATAAACAGCAGCTATTAGGACAACAGGAGCCAGACTGGCCGGTTTCCCCTGTCTCTCTCTAATGAGTGCAATAAAGAGCACACAGCATCAATATTTCAGAGCTGGCACCAGTCAGGCTTCCACTTCTGCCTTTAAAGAGGTTCACCAGAGGTGTTTTGCTTTGCATTTTGATTAGATGTGACTTCTGGTCAAAAATAAACCTGGAGTCAATATGAATTATACATTCAGAGATGGGTTACTCAGCCTTCGGGAATCTGTTTGAAGTATTTTTAGATAATGAGTGAAACTTGCATGTGTTGTTTACACAGCTTATTTCATATTTCATGCTTTCATATAGTTACATAATCTAATTGTAACAATTAGATTATGTAACTGTTAGAATTACATAATGTAATTCTGCAACGATGTTGATACCTGTGAATTCACTCAGAAGTTGGGAAAATGTAGACAGAATAAACCAATTTATTGAACTGATAGAAACTGAACCTAACTTAAGTAAAGAGGAAAATAAATTTAAACTGCTGCAGCATCTTATCTGAATCTGATCTCCTCTCATATGTCAACATTTTATCTCACTGCAAGTAAGCAGGAAGTCGATAGTTCTCGCTGCTTTTGTGGCGTCTATCCCTCTGTCCATCTAATCCTAATCGTTTTTAGGACTTTATGTTTCACGTTTTTAAATAAAGGTCCTAATTTGGAGGATAAATTCTGTAAACTGAAGATGGTTTCTACACCTTATCTCTTCTTTTTGTTTCAGGTTTTGGAATATTAAGTGTCTGAAATAGTTTTTTTTGCAAAAACTGACTTCATTTCTGTCCTCAGGTGGATGAGCTGTACGAAGCTTTCTGTATCCAGAGCCGCCTGAGAGACGGTGCCATCAGGATGAAGCAGGCCTTCTCCTCCTCTCCTTCCACCAAAGCCACCAAAGAAAGCATTTCAGAAGTCAACCGCCGATACAAGGAGTACACTGAGGTACTGCCAATGTTCCTAGCTTTTACCAGGATATATGTTAAAATATGTTAAACCTTTAGCCTTTATTTGGCAGAATTTGGGCTTTTTAACAGTTTATTCTAACTGGTGACAGTATTGGTACTGGAGTTGATGTTTATGTGTAGAGTGCAAAGTTCTGTATTGGGAAAATACAAGGTATTAGAAAGCAAAGTCAATGAAGGCCTTTTTTTATTTTCGGTTCATTGGCCACAAAGTCTTCTGAAAGCATGGGGAACTATTCAAAACAACTTTATGTGATCACAAGACTGCCTGGCTCATTTGATGCAAGGTTTAAAGGATTTAAGGTTGGTTTAAAATTTATAGCGCTTTATTACTGTTTACTGTATACTTGCCAACGCCTATAGTAGATTATAGCAAATACTATTTAACCTAATTTGCAAACACCTCTACAGAGAAACCTTTAAATCCCCCAAAACACACACACCTGTCATCATCTGTCCATTAAGGTTAAGCGTAGTCTTCCTCTGCAGTTTGGTGTTGACTGAAGAGATAACCTGATTACCCTGCATCATGCTGCCTGACTCTTAATGTTCAACCTTTTTCTGTTATTATTATTATTTTAATTTGATCTAGAACATGAGCGCTTTCGAGAGCGAACTGGAGAATCTGCTCGGGGAGTTTCACATCAAAATGAAAGGTGAATTGTTTTTAACTTCTTGATCACACTAACAAAACATTCCTTAAATGACAACTTGAAAAAAAAGATAAGATAATGCTTTTAGTAACCAATGTGTAAATATAAAAAAATAATTTTCCTCTTTAAATCACAAGAAATGTTCATTTATTAGTCCAGAATTTGTAGACTTTTAGTTACCGTCTTATGAAGCTCATCTCTCTGTTCCCATGTTTTTTCTCTGATAGGACTGGCAGGCTTTGCTAGGCTCTGTCCTGGAGACCAATATGAGGTAAGTGCTCTTCCTCTTCATCAAAATATCCTGCTAACATGTGAAATTTCAAAACATTTTGTTTAGATTCTTCAACATTAGGAGGAATTAAGTATATTTAGTTAGATATTTGTCCATTTTTGTATGTTTTTTATGAAAAATTATCAACACATCTACTTCGTTACTCATCAAAATTAAACTTTTACTAGCGATAGTTAAAGCTTAGCTTAGCTGTGACAGCATGTTTTATTTTTTTCCCCTTCCATTCTGCACTGTTGCTCAGTATCTTTACCTCTTATGTAATCTTCTCCACATGTTTCATAGAAACTTGACAACAAAGTCACAATCCCAAACCAAAAGAGCACACTCATAATTTTGCCTGATTCACACAGAACTACACTTGCAGTTAGAAAGCAATAGCCCCAAGTGAAGTTTGTAAAGACTCTAGAAAAGGTTATTGACAATGTTAACCTTTAATTATGACGGAATTTAGCAATTTACCCTTTGAAAAATACACTGAGAGTCAGCAATCTGTATTCATTTACAAATACTTTATATGTTCCCAGAACAAGTTTAAACTTGTTTTATCTGCTTCCCCAACCCCTGCTGCTATTGTGCAAATTGTCACAGTGAAGTACACGGATGTGTGGCAAGATGAACTGTTTCTTAAATCGACTGTCTAAATATAAAACAAAGCAGTTGCAAAAAAAAAGAAAAAAAAAAAAAAGAAAGCATGAGCAAAAAAAGAAAGAATTATGGTAAGATAACAAAAGGAATGAATTGACATAGATGGTCTGTATTGCCCCACACTAAAAACATTTGAAGCTGGATTTAAACCTGCTCCTTAAGCTACAGTATTACACCATCCTTCAGAGCAACATTACACACATCTAGTAGTCGCAGATAAAGTGTTACTAAAGCAGAAAGAAAGATGTAGCTATGAATTGCTGATTTAAAAAATGAAGAAGTTACATGTCTGGCAAAACTTTGGCCATTTTTTGCCTGAATCTAATCTGAGGCACCCTCTGTCATATCCTTTTCAATACTTCAAACTACTGAAATCACTCTTGGCACATACCAATTATTATTGTTAAAAAGGCCATGTCTATATATTTTCTCTATATATATATATATATATATATATATATATATATATATATATATATATATATATATATATATATATATATATATATATATATATATATATATATATATATAATTATATAATTTAATCAGGCAACAAAAAAAATGAATGGTTTAATTATAAGGTAATTGCCGACTTTGTCGTTACTCATTTATTTCAGATAAAGTGACGCCAGTGAAGCAAACATCTTTATAAATCAGTGGTTTAATATCCCCTGTTATCTCGCCTCCTTTTGGTCTTAACCAAAAAGGGTCGGAGTTTATTTGGATCGAAAGGAAATGAGAGGATTTTGCTTTTATCATCATCTGCTTGTATAAAATTAGTCAGTTATTCAAATCCATAAGGTTAGCTTATTGTTCATGATCTTGTAGGCGAAACTAAGAGATGGACTAAGTAGTCCCTTAAGATGGATTAGCAAGTTTCATCTACACTGGAAAAAATGGAAATCTAGATAAGTCCTTTTTTTCTTAAAATAAGGGCATTTATCTCTTGAATTAAGGAGGCAAGTGACATACTTTGCCAATGGAACAAGACAATTTACATTTAAAATAAGAAAAAACAATTGCATTGTTTTATTTCAAGTGCGTCATATCTAATTATCTTATCTTAAGACTAAAAATACTAACTCCATTTGCAAATCATCTTATTGACCTATTCAATTTAAGGGGAAATAGACATATTTTAAGAAATGTTTGCTTATTTCTAGATCGTTTTTGCGGTGTATGCGTTGTTTTTCTGTATCTGCTTGTTCGTTCATGATCATGGGGGAGGCTGGTGTAGAGGTTGCAATTACAATAACCCATTGCTATTTTAACCCAATTACAATGAGTTAAAATGTTTCAACTCATGACTTTATCATTCAATTTGGTTTTTATGTGAAACCTGTATCAAGCCTTTGAAAGTGTACAAAATGACAGAATGCACAGTTCATACTTGTTTCTTCCTCAAATAATAGAGGCCAAAGGTGTTCTTTAAGCTCTTATACTTTATTATAGCCACTAGTGAGAAGCTAGTTAATGAAAACGTTTCAATATTTAGCATCTATAATGGTTATTACAATGAGAGGCAGGTAAAGGACAGAGAAGAAGCCTTGGGAAGCTTTCAATTTTATATTGATTGATTTATTTGCTTAAACATTTTCATCAAGCCTAGTTTCCTTTCTTTTCATCCCTTTCATCAGATTTTCATGCGTTACGGTCGACAGCGCTGGAAGCTGAAGGGGAGGATCGAAGTGAACTCCAGGCAAAGCTGGGACGGAGACGAGATGGTCTTCATGCCCCTCATCACCGATCTCATCAACATCAAGGTACTCCAGAGCAGCATGGTGGTGAAACAGAGCAGCTGCAGTCATCTCTTGCTCCCTGCGGTGGAAGATTAAAACATGTGTTTGCCTCCATCAGGTGACCGAGCTTAAGGGTCTGGCCACTCACATGCTGGTGGGCAGTGTCATCTGTGAGACCAAAGAGCTGTTTACAGCGAGGCCCCAGGTGGTAGCCGTGGACGTCAATGACCTGGGAACGATCAAACTCAACCTGGAGGTGACGTGGTAGTAAGTAGTCATTTGTAAGAACTCTCACTGTGGACCTGTGTCCATAATCAGTAAAATACTAACTAAGATGTTTATCAGCAACATATGGAAGAAATTGCTGCATAGCTGAGTTGTGGGATGCAGCCAATGTCTATTTTAAACTTTTTAGAGTCTATTACTGGACTTGCCATATGTTCACTTCATGTTGAGAACGCCCACAACGGTTACAACACTGTTAGTCTATCTAAAGGTGCCCTGCCACCTTGTGGAGAAACGATGCCATTGCAGAACATTGACAGCTCAGTGAGTTTGTTCTTTCACCCACTCAGTCCCTTCGATGTTGAAGATTTGACTCTGTCATCGGGAAACTTGAGCAAAGCTGCAGCTCTCCAGAGACGAGTATCGGTCTACAGCCAGGGTACTCCTGAGACCCCCACCTTCCAGGACAGCTCCTTTTTCGTAAGTTCAACCACTCATCTGTCCATTAGTGCCTGTTTATTAACATATTTCATCATCCTTCCACAATAACCTGTCCACATGTTTTTCTTGTTAAAACAAATTGAATCATGTTTTCATACTCGCCTTTATTTGCTGAGCCCTCTCTTCACCACTTACCCTCCGTTAAGTTCCATTTTATAACGCACTTCTGTGTAACATAATCCTATTCTTCCTCGTACCCCAAACGCCCCCACCCGTCCAATGTCCATGTGTGGACTGTGTGAAGAAGTGGCAGCCATATCCCGTCGAGCGCCAGCGCCTCTCCTTCCTCCACATGCTGCGAGAAACGCTGCTGGAGAAGCTAAGGCGCAGCCGCTCTTTTGGTGACCTGGCCTCGCTCCGGCCAAGGCCCAGATCCAGCCTTGAGGTCTATGTGAGTGTGGAGTGTGTCCTTGACTGACCAACCCTTTCCCAAAACTACAACCGTGTCTCTCTCTACCTCACTGAGTTATTTCCAACCTGGATTTGTCCAGCTCCACTCTGAGTGCTGCAGAATTGCGTGTGTGTCAGTTTGCTTGTGGATCTGCATGACTTCTTCTAGTCATCCTTACTAAGTAGCGCTGGTGAGAAATCTACATACAGTCAGTTTGTGCATTAATGTTACCTTTATTCAGGTCGGTTTTAACCTGAGATTGTTGTTGGGTTGGAACAGCAAACTGCATCACGGTCTAACCCTTCTGAACCCAAAAGGTCAGCTCCATCTAAAATGAAGGTATCCAAAAAAGTGCCATGAACAATCTGGACTCTAATCTTTTACAGCCCGAAAGATGCAGTTGTTGTGTATGTTTCTTGTTACTATCAAAGCGGAGAATTTTTGGTCTAAAACTTGTCCCTATTAAACTCAAGTTAGATTAATGTCTGCTCATCTAAACCATCCAAATGACTTTAGGTTGAGTAGGGCTGCAGCTAATGACCATTTTGCTAATCGAATAATCTGTCGATTGTTGTTTTGATTAATCAATTAATACTGGGATAGCAAAAGGCTCCTTAAAGAATATTTTAAACAGAATTTAAACCAAGTAAAACTGTACCCTTTGAGGACTTCTGAATAGTGCATATTAATAGACAAAACAGGTTTTTCATCTTGAATGCAAAATGTTTATATAGTTTTTACAATTTTGGCATAATTACTGCTTTGAGTGTGTTGGTCTTTCAGCTAAATGTAGGTTTCAGTATCTCTATACTCAAGTAAAGGTATAGTGGAGGTTTTTTCCAAGTTTTTGAAAAGACCGCCCTATCCACTTTTAAAAAAATGCACATGCACAACCCTGTACCCACTCCCGAGAGGGAACACCTATTAAATGTCGTGCATGCTCTGTTTAAAAGTTGCTGTTTGCATCGCTCATACAAGCTTACTTTCCAAAAGAAAATTTGCAATTTTTCCACTGTCAGACTCACCACCAGTAAGTGAAAATGGGGACGAGCACGTCGAACGGCCTTACGTAAACATATGACCAGAATGATTGACAATTAGGAGGACCACTTATTTTCATGATCCACGCAGAAAAAGATCCACTATACCTTAAACAATTAACCAGTTTGTTTCAACCTAATGTTGAGAGGAGAAAAAATTAAGAACTGTAGTTCTGGATTAAATGATTAAGAAGAAGTTCTACCTCAAAAAAGAAAATACAGTGAATTTGGTTAAAAGTTTTTATCAAGGAAAACCAGTTAATTGCATCGACTCATTGACCTACAAGACATCCTCCTCCTGGATGAGATTGTGGTGATGATATTCGCTTGTCATTTATTGTTGATGCTTCAGCAAATTCCTTTTGGAGATTTTTTTTTATATATATCATTTATGATGTACACTATTTTATACTTGTGTATGATAATAATTATGTGGAGATTAGAGAAAATCTGTAACATCCAATTTGTGCAATATTTGTTTGTTGTATAATCCCTCTATCCTGGAAACAAATGGTTTACATGCATCACTAGAAAGCTCAAAATCAACAGAATATAGATGCCAATGATGGTGTATGTGAATTACTCACCAACATTTTATTTTTTTTCTAATTTACTTCTCTTTGTGAGTCTGTATGACTAAATAATTTAGTCATAAAGTTTAAAGCCCTGCTTTCTTTCTGATGGTTTTTCTGCCCAGATTTCCAGCTGCCTTGTTTTATTTTGTGTTTTTGCTTTAAATGATGACTCCTTGCTTTGTGTTTCAGTCCACTTTACCAGATGACATCTTTGAGAATGGCGGCTGTGGTGTGGCTGAGTGCAAACGTCTGTCCTTCACCTTCTCTGACACCTCGGGGTCTTCTCCAAGCCCGGCCCAGAGCTTCTTCTCCCAAAGCCAATCCAACCCTGAGATCACCGTCACCCCTCCAGATACGGATTCATTGCCGACCCCCATCCTTCAGACGAGGGAGGACTCTATTGCAGAGGAGCATTTAGTGGAGGAAGAAGAAGAGGAGGAGGAGGAAGAAGAAGCGTATGAGGGGGATGAAGAGATGGGTAGCAGAGGGAGCAGGAACAGTGCCAGCCTTGCTAGTGACGAAGCAGATGTTGCAGACTCAGAGTGGGAGCGCACAGAGTCTCAGCGCAATTCCATTTCCAACTGCGGCTCAATTGCTCCGTCTCTGTGTTCGGATGGACACCTGTCCACGGTGGCGCCAGAGGACGTTTTCCTGGATCACGCTGATGAGCTGAAACCAGTGGAGCTGGACACAGAAGAGCCAGGCAACCTGACGAGGCAGCTTGTCAAGAGGCTGACGTCTTCAGAAATCGTCTCACCAGCTGGAAGCTTAGCCGAGGGTGGAGGGAGCCTCGGCTGGGCAGGAGAAGGGAGCAGGGCTTTCCTGGAACACAGCCTGGAGGAGGCCATTCACAGCCTGCTGACAAAGCTGGAGTCCCTGACCCATCGCTGCAGGGAGCTGCAAGACCTGGAGCAGGAAGTGATGCGTCTGGAGGACCTCCTCAAGGTGATAATCATGTCAAGCAGCTTGAAGGACTACAAAGGAAGTGTTAAGTGAGAAATAGCAAAGGAAGAAAGTTACTTATACCGAATATTGGCTCAAAAGTAGTCCCTCATATTATAATAAATTCACTTTGATAAAAATAGATTTTACTTTGTTTTATAAAACTTTAAAAACAACACATCTGCTGCACCTTTTTCCAACAGCTATGTTGTAAAATATCCGCTCAACATTTCTCCTCAGTGCCGTCTGCCGGGTCACAGGAGTCGGTCGTCCAGCCTCAGCCTGACTGTGGAGAGCGCCTTGGAGAGTTTCGACTTCCTCAACACGTCTGACTTTGATGACGAGGATACCGGAGACGACAACACAGGCATCTGCAGTCCCCCTCAAAAGTCTCCACCTTTGGATGCCGTCACAGAAAGCATTGAGTGAGTTCGTGGATAAAGGAAATTTATTTATTTATTTATTTTTTTTTTTAGTTCAATTTCTGTCATTTTCTTTCTCTCATTTAGAATGAGAAAAGATTTGAAATAATTAGAGATAATAGGTTTTGAAATGGAGATTTTGTTCAGATTTTTTGAATGTTTTCTTCTTCAATGATTGTTGGAAAACCTGAAGGAACCATCTTTGAATTGAATCATGTAAAAGTATAACTTTTATGTTAACATGCTGCCACCTTGTGGTCTCTGTTGGTCTGTGCTGGCTAGAAGCCAACACTCTGAGGCCAGAGGACACCTGAGCGAAGCCCTTACAGAGGACACTGGGGTTGGAAACAGCGTGGCAGGGAGTCCGATGCCACTCACCACTGGAAACGAAAACCTGGATGTGGCCATCGTTATCCACCTTCAGTACTGCATTCACCTCATCCAGGTAGATCTCCGCTGCCTTCTTCCATCACAGACTGTAGTTTACCTTATTTATTAAAGTTTAACACCATAAATTGTCTTGCAGCTGTTGACCAGTGGGGTGGGTATCTGGCAGCGCCGCAGTGTTCTCCTAAAACTATCCAGGGAGACACAGCTGCTGGAGGAGCTTGCAGAGATCAACATGGACCGGCTAGGAACAGCCACCTCTGCTGCTGATGGTACAAGTGGGCAAATTAAAATCCAGAGGGGAATTTCTCATTGAAATGTCGCCTTTTATAGTCTCAACTCATTCTTTTTCCAGTTCTCCCGAGCCTCACGGAGCGCCCCCAGCTGATGACTGTGTGGTCAGAGTGTAGCGGCTCTGCTGGGCTCTTCCACACCACGCTAGACTGTGTCTTCAAACACATGAACCAGCGCTACGCACCATTGCTGCAGGAGAGACACCCACACAGCGCTGACACAGGTTGGCCCTTTGCTTACGAAGCAGCAACAGCTTATCTTGTGCAAACAGAAGCTGCTTCAGTGGCTGATCTGTCTTAAAAAAAAGACATAAAATTTAAACAGAAGGCTACTTAAATGCCCTATTTCCCTGATTTTCCAGTTGCCTTGAAATGGATTCCCAATTTTAACATAGATAGATAGATAGATAGATAGATAGATAGATAGATAGATAGATAGATAGATAGATAGATAGATAGATAGATAGATAGATAGATAGATAGATAGATAGATAGATAGATAGATAGATGAATCAATTAATCTGATGGTGATTAATCGATTATTGAAATAATTTTCCACTAATTTTGTAATCGATTAATCAGAGTATGGTATATAATATATATATTATAATATATAATAAATAATATATCATATCTAATATAAGTATATTAATTGGAGTAAAGAGACTGAAATATGCCTTTAACTGACAGAACAACCCACTTAGAGCAGTAATTCTACCAAGATTGCTTCCTCGATATTACAGATTTTTTTGTCACTTTGCTCAGTTTATTCTGTCTGTTTAATCTTATTTTTAAAGAAAGGTGCTCTATTTGTTGAGACTTGAAAACAGATGAAGTTATATGAGCTTAAGTTAATTTTTCTTACAGCAGATGAGAATGCCCTTTATGCAAAAACTTGTTGGGATAAGATAAGGCATCATACAATAAGTACGGTACATTTATTAAAGGAAATTTGCTCAAATCTTGACCTTTCTGAATTTTAAGTTAAGGAGTTTTCCCTGACCCAGTTATGCAATAAATATTAAAGATTTTAACAAAAGAAAAAATAGATATATGAAAAATATGTCTAAAAATTATAAGTTGGTTATTTAAGTTGATATTGAGAAATGTGTGAACCACTTAAAATCATGGTACACTCAGCAGAACTGGAAATATTGTAAGCAGTTGTTGTTTGTGGTTGTCGTAACGCTGGGCCCCCTCTGCCTGCTACCAGCTGTGATTACAGGATCAGTAGGAGGGAAGTACAGTCTGTTCCTATGACTACTACCCTTTACAGTATTTCAAGCAATAGGATATTACTTACCATGTGGAGGTAAAAGGAATCGTTCCAATCTGTGTTCATATGGGACTTTTCCAGGTAGTATGAAAGAGTCCTATACGTTTACAGATCCAGTGAACACATATTGGTGCACAGCTCTCAGTCAAGGCTTTCTATGCAGTTACATGGTTTGTAAGAAAGAAGCTTCATGTTTTCAACAACTGTTTTTCAAAGCATGCAACTTGAATGAATCAAATAGAATGGCCCCTTAGGGATCCGAGCATATTCATGTCAGATTTTTAATCAGTTGTTCTAACCATATATTTCTCACTCACTGTATTTTTCTTTTCTTTAGTGATAACAATGGTCGTGGGTGAGATGGTGGACAGGAGCGACCTGGCTGCTGCACATGTCCCATCGGCTGCTGCGTTATCCCGGGACGTCCTGACTGTGTTTCAGTTCCATACCTATGTCTTACAGCACAATGTTCAGGACATGGAGGTTCACCTGTTGCACTTGGCCAGAGAAAGTAAGTAGCTGCATGGACTTCAGGGTCCATTTTTAAAGACATTTTATCCTTTACATTCTGGTTTTAGAACTCATCTATTGGCCTTTTTATTTTTTACAGGTAATTACTAAATGAACATCTAATGAATCAGGATTTCAGAGTCTTTTTTTCCCAATAAAACTTTTACTTTGCAATAAAAACAACAACAAAATAATTAAAATAAGACGTATTAACTGATAATTCCGTAATGATAATCAATCCTCATCTCTAGTTTAAAAGAAACAAGATAGTTTATATGCGAGTGCATGTGAGAGAAATCCTAAAAAAAGCTGCAAAAAAAAAGAAAATCCTGAAATGCTATTTATTAACCATATGTTAAATCTATGCTTTCATTTGTCCAAAGAGGGCTTTGCAGAGGCCCTGTGCAGTGGGGATCACTCTAGATGTCTAACACAACTGGAGGAGGTGGCCTGGTCAACCCTTTGGCCTCGAAGCAGCACATTGAGGGCCCTCGCCTCCCTGCTCACCTCAGAGGAACCCCAGGTCAACAAAGCAGCATCCGACTACCTCTCCTCCGCAGCCTCAGACAGACACTTCAGAGCCAGGGTGAGCAGTGCTGACAATAGACCAGGTTTCCCAGCATGTGAAAACAGAGCGGCCTTTGAATGTTGTCTCGTTTGTAGGCAGTGGAGTACTACACCCAGGCGCTGTCGGAGGCTGGAGTCCAGAGCCAGAGGGCGGCCTGCTCTGCTCTCAGCTGCCTTCAGGTCTGAGTCCGATCGCTGTATTTTTAATCCTTTATCATAATATCTGACAACAGTTTTCCATTTTGGATTTGAGGAAAGGATTCATGAAACCTGATTTATTTGTGTCTGAAGGCAGTGGAAAGCCTGAAAGCAGTCATAGCTCTGTGTGATTCAGCTGATGAGGAGCTGCGTCATGTGGCCATAGAGACCCTGCTCACATTTGGTGAGTACTGTTCTACATTCATTAATCATTTCTTACCCTGCATATTCACAAATCAGGGGTTATGAGTTCAGTTCTTATTATCTGATTAACCTTAAATACTTAAACTATTGCATTCTTGGACTCAAAATTATCACATCATACAAAATTACAGGACAGCCAAAGATTAATTTATTCCACATTTCTAAATGCTGGATTTTATGTTGTTTATTTCCTGTATTTATCTGTTATCTAAACTGGACATCATGCACCACAGGTATATTTGTATATAAAGGTTTTACTTTATCTGTGAATATATTGTTCTCAAACATGCTTGGATAACAGAAACTGACCTCTAAAAAAAACTATTTAGTAATTGTTAGTAAGACTGCAAATTAAAACACCTTTTATGCAGATTAGTTAAAATCTTTGACTTGTTCTGTTGACACATGATAGAATGACCTGAGGAGAAGTTAATGTTGCAAATATCAGTGGAAATGAAGGTGGATGTAGGTATAGTTAATGAATCTCACCAAGAAAAATATATTTATTTACATGAGGTCCTGGATGTAAAGAAGCTGCTATTGATTTGTAATGTTTTTAATAGACGTGTCGATACAAATTCAAATAAAATAGGGCTGTTTGATCTTCTAATGTTTAAACAAAATTAAATCCAAACCCATTCTTTTATTCCTATATACGTTGCAGGGGGCTCTGCATTTCTGTAATATGTGTTTTTTAAACTAATATTAATAATTTAGAACATATTAATATAGAAAAAAGGCTGATGCGCTTGGATAGGAATGAGTATAAAAAGTATCATTACATTTTTTGTTCAAATTCTGGTGGGTTTTTAATTCATTTTTAAAGATTAAAAATCAATAAATCCAACCTAATTTAAAAAATGTTCAATGCCTGTTTGATCTGTGATGGAGAGTAATAGCTTGGTGTCAAATATTTGAAATTGAGAAGTTAAAACCCTCATCAACCTTATCATCAGACAGAAGCAGATTTTTTTTCCTTCCTACTGACTTCCTTCTACCAAACTTTGCACTAATATGCATGGATACAGCACCACGTCTTATAGTTCGCATTGACTTTTTGTAGCCTATGCTTAATTCATAATGATTAAAATGAAGGGAAATATCTGAAATGTATCTTACTGTGTGTAAAGAGTCTACATGAGTCAATATTTTATACTGAAATATCAAAATGCAAGTTTTTAAATGTACTAAGGTCTCTGCTAATATACTTGGGCTTATAGGGGTGTAAATCACATCCATCATGGCGATTCGATTCAGTATCGATTTCTTGACCCCACGATTCGATTATTTTTTAATACTCAAGAATACACCACGATGCGATTCGATTAATTGGTTAATTTTTTTTTTTTTTTTTTTTTTTTTTAACACCTTACAGGCTAAACAAAGTTTAAAGTTTGAAATAAATCAATGAAAGCTGTAATATCATTATGCATTTTTTTTTTTTTTTTTTTTTTTTTTAGAAACAACAGCAAATAACAGAAGTAGAAAAGTTGTATCAAAAAATACTGCACAAAATCAGTGCAATGCAATACCTCGGCAAATGGATAAAAATAGACCGGAGGGGGAAAGAAAAAAAAAAAAAAACATAAATCGATTCTCTTGCGGACGTGTCGATGCATCGGATCGTCGGCTGTTGGATCGATGCATCGATACAAAACCATTATTATTTACACCCCTATGGGCTTACACAGGTCATGAATACATTTTTTTCTTATATTCTGACCTGAAGCTGAAATTTTCACTGTTTATCTCTTTGCCATCACATAAAACCTCCTTGAACTGCTGTGTTTATATAAAACCCTCATTGCTCCTGCAGGTGAGGAGGGGCGGCTGGCGTATGAGCAGCTGGACACAGTGGTTGGGAATATGATACGCCTGGGCACACGGAGAGGCAACGCCGTCACCACCGCCTTCTGAGCCACCTTCGAATCCCAGCCCTGAGGAGCTCAGACGCTCAGCGCTAAGCACGCAATGCACACCTACCTGAGCTGCTCTGCTTGATCATCTGAGGACAGGAAGTGGATTCTTGTTTGGAATTGCCTCTTGAAAGAACTAACACCAAACAGACAGTTTTAACACACAACCTGTACCCCTCCTTCATCCAGACTGGGACTCTTTTTACTCTATTAAGAGACACACACTCCTCCATATTTTCCTTGCTTTCTGAGCCAGACAGGGTAGTCGGTGTGAACTGGAAGCAGAGTTGGAACTTGACTGGACCCCAAGCTATTATCACCGCTGCTGCACAGACTGTGCATATATTCCTGCAAAGCATCATCCCCTTAGAAACAAGCACACACTTATTATCAAGGAATCTGTTTATAGCTACAGACCGATATGTCTCTTAATATTTAGTGACATCTTTTTTTTATATAATTATGGCGGCTTGTTTTAGTTGGTGGTTCTGCATTGTGCTTTCAGAGGATTGCACCATTAAGCTTGTAAATAGGCAGCAGCCTATAGAGAATGCTTGTTTTATGGGAGTGGGTGATGTCAGAAAGCTGTTTTAAAGCCTTCTTGAGATAAAAGCAGATACCTATGAAAAGCAGATGCCTACTGTTCCACTTGCTCTGCAGTTTTACGCCCGAGCCTTCTTATGCTTGTAGATTAACGTGCAATCTTTGTTTTGTATATATGTGATTTTTGTTCATAATTTTGTTTTTTTGCACCCGGTTCAAGGCGAGAAGCCCGTTGGATAATGTCAGCTTCAACCACATGAGCCTTGGTGAGATCTTGCTGGCAAATTCCTAAAGGTATTTTAGGTATTTTATTTTTTCTTTGTAAATGTAATGTTCCTGCCAGATCAGGGGCAGGTGCAAGATGATAAATCTGGACAGGGATCACTAGAGAACAAATGCTTTAGGATCTGATGAAGAAGATATGACCTGAGTGTTATTGTAGCCTTGTTTATGGCTAGCTGCACATTTTCTGATTTTAATATGAACCAGCTTAACGAAATGCCTTGTTTTTCCACATCCTTAAACTGACCTGGGTAAGGGTCTACAGCTGCAGCTCAATAAATTAGAAATTTCTTTGAACATTTGTCGTAGAAGTTTATTTTTGCTCATTTTGACAATTAAGACTTATATTGGTCGTAATTCTCCAAAAAATTAAGCTTCTTAGACCATTGGAAAAATCGTACATAAGACCAAGAAAAGTAGAGTTTTAAATTGGTGCTTTAGGGTAGCTTGGTAGAATGTCCATTCACTGCACATCAGCGCTCCCTTTGCTTTTATTTAAACTGTTGCATGGAGCATAAATGCCTGGTTGCTTTAATAGCAGCAATCTGCATTACTGGGCCTCTCTTTTAATAATAAAACATATTTCCTCTGAGATTAGAGTCAGGAAAGCTTGTTTTCCAATTGTGTATAGCATAAATCAGCATTTCCACAAAGCGTCTCAGCAAAAGCAAATTGTTTTTTTTTTATGCAACACTTGTTCCTTTTACTAAACTTTCCAGTATTATGCATGGATACAACCCCCTGTAGACAGACATCTTTTTTCATTGACATTTCTGTGTTGTTTTTTTTGTGAAAATCGTCTCTGACTGTCTGCACAACGTGTCTGCATAATTTTCCCATCGCTTGTTAGGTTGTAATTTGGCCTTTTATAATTCATATGTATAAAGTATTTTTTCTCTGAGAGGCTGAATTTAAGGCTTTAATCAGCTGTATGCAGATATGATCAAAATGAACATACATCACTATGGTGAGTTTACACAAGGGTGACTTTTTAAATTTGAAGTATTCAAATAAATTAGCTTTTGATGTTCTAATTTATTGAGTTGCACTTGTAATGCCTGCTTGCATCATGTTAACTGTACTACTGAGTCATGTGCTAATAATGTACTGGGACAAAAACATATTAGAACCCATTTCCTATTTATTTACTACTTGTTATTCTACTCTCTTACTGTAGTAGTGCAGGAAAAAAAGTTTTGTGAAATATTTGCATATTTATGTTTTTTTCCAGAGCTAATATTTGAACTATTGACCTCAATGTTTTTTTATGGTCTTGTAAAGTGATGCTTAATTTTAATTGGAGTTTATTTTGTAAGAAATATGATTGATTTGCTAAAATAGTATCTTTTCTTCATTGAAGTGTCACAGAAATGTTGAGACTCCTATATATTTATAAATGTTACTTTATTAGCTAGAGGTTTACTGTAACCAAAGGATATTTGATTATAATTTTGACCTTTCCACAAAAAGAGCTAATCCAATAGAATGTATTTTCAATAAAACATTTGCATTAAGGCCAGAACTTTGATCTAAAATGAAAAGCACAACAAACTGTAACCCTGAATAGATGGATCTTTAGATTTGATGTAACTTCCTGATCGACCTTAAAGCCATATTGATGAATTTTCTTATTCATTGTATTTTTTTTCTGTATTATCTGTAAATGTGTGAACTGTTACTAAAATACCATCATGTTTTTCTATACCCGTTTTGCAAAATACTGTCCAAATCTGAAGCAATTTTTATTTCTTCTTGTGCATATATCAGTACAGTATTTTTTAACCTAGTATCTAAATTAACCCACTTGTCTGTATATAGCATTTTCCTTTTTATGAACTTGCAGTTGACCAGTGTTTATAATTAGTGGGCCATGTGAATCCTAAGCACTGATAAGTACAAGCAAGCAAGTGTGCACATGTGGAGTTATTTAGTTTTAACACTTTGCTGAAATTGAAATGTATGTGGTCCATAGCTTCAACACTGATCCATCTACTAATCTGTTGTAGTCAGCAGTATTTCCTGTGCTCCAATATTGTAATAAAGTATATTTTTGAATATTTCTATATTGTTAATCAGGAGCTGGTCAAAATGGTGCAAACAAGTGTTTGCAGTTAAAAGAAAATCCTTTCAGTGTCCAGCTCAGATGCTTAGTAGGGAAACGGGTTCGGCTGCGCAAAAAAACTTAATGGCCTAAATTATGCAGACTGGACCAAAAAATTCTACAATGTAGAAAAATTACAAAATTGCCAGGTAAAACATTGAATCGGCGACACAGGCTGGCTTAGAACTTTTTCATATGAGACTGAGATTTTCCTTTTCCCACCTCCCCCCTTAAAATTTAACATGCACTTTTCTGTTCAGTCTCAAATTGAAGCTCAGGTTTTTTAAACCAGTTGGAAGGGAAAGATTTGCTAGCATCAGAATCTTGTGCTAGCAAATCTATTCAAATTTAATTTGCCGTTTATGACCTGCAAAATCTGGATGCTTTCTTACCAAATCACTCCTTTGGCTTTCACATTTCAGGGATTGACTGATTTGTGCAGTATATAATTAAGCTCCAAAGGAGTGAGCTGAAGTGTAAAACGCTTACCCCTTTAATTTTGTTATGTATACTCTTTGGTTATAACCAAAGATTTAGCTATATTTTAATGTCAGGCCAACAGTGCAAGCAGGTAGATCTGTGCATCAAAAGACAGTCATACCCAGTCATTAAAAAGCTTGACCCATTAGATACCCTTTTTAATCATCTCTAAAAGTTTTTGAAGGGGTTCCATCGAATTGAAGTTAAACCCATTTCAACACCATCTTGCTCTACATAGTGAGGACCATGCATGGACTCATTTTAACACTAGTCACACCTTTCTAAAAAGATTTGCAAGGGGAACTGAGGACCAACAAAAGGGCCTCAGTTTGATAGTCAAGTCAGAAATACAGAACTCACTGATGCCAGGACAAAAGCAAACACTTTATGTAAAGAGCTTCAAAAGGGACACAAGCCAGAATCAGAGTATCATTTAAAACCTTTATTGTACAGATAATGTACAAAATCAATTATAGCAGCTTGAAAAACTGGCTCCAATAATGACCAGATCAAAAATTTTAATATCAGGTTATGTAAAAGCATTTCAAGACTTCAGGGCTTCTCTTCTGTGAAAGCTGCCCAGCAGTCAGTGAAACTAACAACCAATTAACTGACTAAACACCCCCACCCAAGTTAGTCTGGATGTTGCGGTTAAAAAATAACCCCCCCACCCCACAGGGAAGAAAAAAATAAAAAATATTCAGAACATTTTAAAGAAGTCCACTGGATGTTAAATTAAGGAGTGCAAAAAAAAAAAAAAAAAAAAAGCCACCAATGAAAAGCTTGTCAAATTATGAAAAGTTTGTCTCCTTCAGTCTTTTTAATCCTGATCTTCTGCTTCTTCAAGGTCTGATGTCTCCCCAGCACTGTAGTCCGCTTCATCTTGCTCATAGGCATTCACATCCTCTTCTTCCACACCAAGAGCAATGTCCTTTATTTCTTCCAGGTTTTCTGGGCACTTCCCCGTCAGCCTCTATAAAATAGAAGATGCATGTTATGTGTAGCAAGACACTGCGCCCTCACACAATGAAAATACCTCAACCCTTATGACAGGCATCCCCAAAGTCGGTCCTCGAGGGCCGCTGTCCTGCAGGTTTTAGAGGTTTCCTTTTTTTAGCACAGCTGATTATGATGACTGAAGTCGAGCAACAGCCTGTAAATCAGCTTTCAATTAAAATCAGCTGTGCTGGAGCAAGGAAATCTCTAAAACCTGCCGGACAGCGGCCCTTGAGGACCGACTTTGGGGATGCCTGCCTTATGGGATAGTGCACGAATAAAAATCTGTCATATGTCCCAATTTACAAATTAATTTGTAGCTCTCCATCTGATTGTATAAACAAAAAGGTGTGCAGTAACAAGTCTAAGGATAGTTTTATACATCCAACTTTTTCCCCTCAGATTTCCTACTGCCAACTTGTAGCAGAAAGGCTGCACACTTCTGCAAGAGTCCCCTGGTGTTCAGCATAATTTACACTAGAAGTTTCCTCTACACAATCTCAAAAATGAAGTGCAAGAGTACAAACCTCAATCATGTCAGCCATGTACTGCACATGTTGTGCCAGCTCCTGCAGCTCTTCGTTTTCAGACTGAAGCTTGCTAATCTGTTCATCTCTGGCCTCAATGTCTTTGTGCAACTGGTTTCAAGAGAAAGACATTTTTGCAAAGCACAGGATAAGTTTACTGAATTAAGTTTTAAAAGCACTGCAACAAAGTTTTAGTCTTACAAGACTGAACATTAGACAAGAGTATGAGGTGGTACAAACTCCCAACTAATGATTGAATAAGTTTACTGCCATCTGGACTGGTTCCCTCCCAGGGTCAAGTCAGAGTGTGGGAACATTCAGAAAGCTAAACATTATCTGCAACCTTGTGATCAACTCACCTTCTCATTCTCCTGTAGGACATTGTACAGAGCCTTTCGCCGTTCCTCTGCCACCTCCTTCCAGTAAGAAGAAGGTGGAGTTTCTAAAAGTTCAGAGATCAGTGTATTTTTAAAAGGACTTCGAAATGTACAACATTTACAGAAGTGATCATAAATGTACCTTTGACCATAAGCTCATATGCTTCATTGGACAGGCCATCTGGCAAACAATCAGCTTCTTCTGTTTGTGTGGATTTGACTTCTACTTTAACCCTCTTAAGACCTCTAGACTGGTCCAGTATAAAGTGTTTCCGCTTAGAAATAGCCTTCCCCGTCTGAAATAGAAGAGCCCAGTTAGAACTGTAATCAGAAAGTACAATAGAAAAACCCTTTATTTTAAATAATATTTACGGTCGCAGAGCATACCTGAAGAGATTTAAAACTTGTGTTGACTGCTGAAGGCTGGATGACCTGCAGGCTTTGCCTCGATTGCCCAACTGCCCTTTGAGATGGTGCAAAAAAGCTCTGGAAGGCAAATTTACCATTAGAGCTCCAGCAATCAAATCCACAAATTCTTGCAACTTCATGCTGAAACTTTCATATTAAATCGTTAAATATTAGACTTATGGTGCAATGTTTAGTACATTAATGCAAGCCACAGCATATACATCAAGTTTAATAAATGGTTTGATTTCAACTATTTAGTCATTTTATTATATTCCAAACCAATTTACAGAAAAGGCTGCAGCACATTTGTGAGAATCATTGTTCATATAAATATCACAATAAGAACTCCTGAAATGCCAATTTACAGTTCAGCCAAAAAGTTAAATTCAAGGCAGCAAATGCTTGTCAGAGGAAAGCATTTGGTGAAGCTTTAATTTTCAGAAATTCACGTCACCTGGTAAGATGCCCTAGTTAAAATTTCACCAAAGGAAGGTGTTAGAGACCTCTTCTAATAAAAACAGCTGCCACATGCTCAAGGGCAGGGCAAGGAGTCGTGGGAAAGTTCCTCTTAGATGCCCATTAAAGAGCAACCGCTCAGTTAATGTTTGGCTAAACCTAAACAGGACCATTGTTTTAGGACATAATCTAATCTTCTAGAGATTTTAAACAATCCGAGAGCCTGAAGTAAGACCTGTAATCATTTAAAGAGGACACGTGTTTCTAATGCTCATTTGTTACAACTCCATCCCTCATACTTTATTTATAAACTTTACAGCTGGGTTGTAGAACTAATAAGTACACCCATACCCACGTCATTTCAACAATATGACCGATGTGCAGTTTAGCTTCAGATGTAATAAAACTCCCCTTTTTATAAAGTCAATCGGGGTTTTACCCAAGCCAACTCTGAAGTAATTTGATAATAATGAATATAAAAATTCTTAACCCCCCGCCCAAGATGAAATGCTTCTGAATTACCTTTATGTTCTCAATGGACCTCTGCTGCTTCAAGCCTCCAGTCGAATTCATTTTCTTTCCGAAATCCTAATAAGTTAAACAAGTCACAAATTCAAACGCTCATTCTTTTAAATAAAACCAAAAATGGTCTAGCTAAGAGTAAAATTCGATTTTGGTTAACTAAATTGGAATACCAACAAAAAAAGGAGAACGCACTGCCTGCTAAAAACAAGCTAATTCAATGACTGTGCTAACGTTAGCGCTACTCGTCAATATATATACACATTTCATTTATCCCTGGGGACCACCATGCTGGGTAACGTGTCATTTTATATCCAAGTTAAATTCAAAAGCTCCATTATTGTAACCGTGACACTCACCTTTGAACAATCTTTTCAAAACTCCTCGCTAGGATTGTTTTTTTTTTTTTTCTTTTCCAACTGAAGAATCTCGCGCCAGGGTCTTAAATACGCACACCAAGTCACGTGTAAAACAACCAATCACTGTGGAGAATGTTACGCCCCTCTTTTCTCCTTCAAAGGAGATACTCACGCGAGAGGCGCAGAATGGAATTACATCTCCGTCCAGTTGATGGCGGTAATGCACACAGGATGCAAACTGCCAGAAAACTCAATAGAAGAAGAAGAAGAAGAGGCGCAGAATGGATTCCCTGTGTACGGGAATTGCCCTGCCATATTATGAGTGGCAAAAGCTGTATCAATCTTTCCGAACTGACTCTTTGTTAATAAAATGTCTCATTAACGGAGACTCGGTTAGTGGGAAAGCTCTGTATTTTCGATCAATTGGGGATACCCAGTGCTTCACAGAGGAGTTGTTTCAGGGGCAAACCTGCCACACACAATATGGCGGACGGCGCGTATATTTTTTTTTTATGCATCAACGTCGTGTCAAGTCACGTGTCAACTTTGTACTTCTAAATGTTTTTTTTAATTTAATAAATGTCCTTAAGCAAACGAAATTTATATAAAAAATATAAGATTTATTAACTTAATTATTATAATTTTTGTATGTATTTTTTTTTGTGGGAGAATCCCGATGCACACTCCATTCCAGTAGATAGCGGTAATGAGCAAATAAGTTGCATGCAGGTGCATGGCGCGTGTTTTGAAGCTGCTTATGGAGAAATGTCTTGGGCCGTGAGTAGTGAGGAAACAGGAAGCGATTCTTGTGGGATGGAAGAGGGAAATAGTGACAATGAAGGGTGGAAGATAGCAACATCAAAAAATGAGAAAAAGCGGAAAAAACAGAGATCAGTTCAAGGGGAATCTAGTTCAGAACAATCCAGTGATGATCATTCCATACATTCCACAGCACAACAAAATGAATTCAAAGTCATATTCAAAGTCGTTAATCAGGCAGACTCTTTTACAAATTGGAATCCGGTTCACTTAACAAAAACCATCAATAAACTTGTCGGAGAAGTCAGAGGTGCCAGAATTCTGTACAGTGGAGACCTGCTAATTAACTGCAGAGACAGCGCCCAGCAAGGCAAAGCAATACGGATCAACAAAATTGACGGGATAAGAGTTCAGTGCAGCCTAATGGAGAACAAAAAGATCAGCAGGGGAGTCATTGGAGGAGTTCCTCTAAAAATTTCTGAAAAAGAGATTCTGGAAAACATAAGCGGTGCAAAAGTAAAAGAAGTAAAACGGTTAAAAACAACAAGAAACGGAGAAAGATCTGACAGTTTATCAGTGCTAATTAAATTTGAGGAAGAGCAATTACCAAGCAAAGTATTCATCGGTTACATAAGCTATAATGTCAAAATCTACAATCCTCCACCATTGAGATGTTTCAAATGCCAAAAATTCGGTCACATTGCAGCAGTTTGTAAAGGGAAACAGAGGTGTGGAAGGTGTGCAGGAGAACACGAATATGGTAAATGTGGAAAAGAAGCTATAATAAAATGCTGTAATTGTGGTGGAGAACATACTGCTGCTTATCGCGGCTGTGAAGCAAGCAAAAGGTCTGAGGAAATTAAAAAAATGAAATTTGAGCTCGGAATAACCTACGCTGAAGCTGCAAAAAGGATCCCATCTCAGTCAGAAAAACCCAAACCTACAGTTCAACACACGGCAAATTCCAAACCTCTAGAGAATCAAAAAATTGATGAAGACTCACTTATTGTTAAAAAGACAAATTTTGTTCTTTTCATGGTAGAAGTAATTAATTGTACTGCACAGACAACAAAAAAAACGGAAAAAATCAAAATAATAGTGAAGGCTGCAGAAAAATATCTGGACATTAAAGATTTGAACTGGGAGATGGTTGGAAGTATGATGGGAGGACCGATGGGACCATCAGAAACTGGCAGAGTTAAGATGACCTAGAGTAAATTAAAAATTATATGGGCAAATGTGATTTAGTATTATGTTGGTTTAAGTTACACAGGTTTTTTTTTTTTTTTTTTTTTTTTTTTTTGGGGGGGGGGGGGGGTGAATCGTTTTCTGTTTTCTTGCTTTACTCCATATCAGTTGGTGGCGGTAATGCACAATTCACAAGTCTGCCAACCGCCATAAAACCCCATAAGAAGAAGAAGAAGTTGCATGCATAACCGCCATGAAAAAAAAGAAGAAGAGGAAGTCACGCGTCATATTAGTACTGGGTTATTTGTTACTGCCTGAGCGGCCATTTTAAGGGGGAAGGCAGAGGAGCCGTCGGGTGCTAATGTGCTGCTATTAGCCGCCCTACATACACACAAAGAAAGCGAACGGGGACTGCACGTCGTTAAATATGGGCCCTCCAGGAGACAGAACACACCACACATCGACTGATAGAACGGGGGATCTCCGCTGGATGGTCGATTTATCTTGACATGGCATGCGGCGGGGCGAGCCGGAGGTTGTGACGACTGAAGAAAAGAAGAGAAAGCACTAGCTCGACGCGTCAGACGTCGACAGAGAGGGGGGCCGAGAGATTTTGTTTAGCTAACGTTTGTATCGCAGCTCAGCGTTCACTTTTAACATATTACCAACCGATTCATGTGTCAACATCGTTGACATAATTTGAATACTATGGAGCTGAAATAGTGAGCGCAAACAAAAACGGCTACAGAGGAACCCTGAGTCAGTCTTTAAATAATAACAGTGAGCAAGACAATGTAAGAAAGGCGTGGTAAAAATGACTGACCACACATAAAGAGCCTCAGTTAAGCCAGTCTGTCTTAAAAGAAGATGTAGCTTTAATCACAGGTTCACTACTAGTTAGTGTCAGAATGAATACCTAGGTTGACTTGCTTGCTAGCTAGCTAGCAGACCTTAGCCAGTAAGCTAAAAATAACGCCCGCATCATGACTATCAGCTGTGGCAGCAGCACGAGCCCAGGGCCGGATGAGTGACGGCATAAGTTCAGGAAATGTCGGTTTACTTTCGCTGTAGTCTTCGATGTTGCCGGGTGCCTGGATCTGTCGGCATCTGTGTCTACCTGCCATGTTCGTCTGCATCCCCAGTCCGCCTGTGACACGCTTATAACGGTCTGTGTTCAGAGAAACAAAACAAAAAAAACCGCAGCCATGGATCAGGGATTCTGAGATGACCCAGTTAACAGAATATCGCTGTAGTTCACAATCTCACTAGCACAAAGAACATAAAACAAGGAAAGTCACCAATATGCGTTTTGTTTAGTAGCAGACTCTATTAGTCTAGGTTAACATTTGTAAAAGAGAGCCACATTTAAGTTGCTGTTTTCTTAAAATCTGTTGTGTTCATTTTCAGTGGCAGTTAAAAAAACAACAGCTAATTTGGCTGGAAAGCCACATCTTAAAACATGGGGTTTTGATTAGGTATCAATGTGATGGAGTCTTAGTCTGTTGACCATTCCTTGCCTCAAAACTGCCCTTTTTGTTTTTGAAAACTACCACATATTGACATGACGTAGTTTAATCTCTGATTTGTTGGTCTTTTAAGTTCATAGCTGGAGGTTAGAAGATATAGTTTTGATGCATTGTCAGCTCCACCCTTAAACGCGTACAAAAAAAAAGAACTAGTGTCACTAAAGTATACTACAAAAGAGGAATAGACACTGCCAACAAAATCTAACCATGGGGGACCCAACGTCAAGAAGAAACCAAACAAGAAACCGTCTTCGAGCTCAGCTTCGAAAGAAAAGGGAATCTTTGGCTGATCAGTTTGACTTTAAGATCTATATAGCCTTCGTTTTCAAGGAAAAGGTTTGTCAACACTTTGGCATTAGTCCATGGTGTTTAGACCGGAGATGCACCAGTCAATTGGCCAGAAATAAAAATCAGCTGATTTGTATTTTTTAATAACACTGGAAATTGATGGAAACGTAATTAGTTTCAGTGTGTTCCAGGACATGTACATGCAAGAAAAAATTTATAATTGTATTCTTTTCCTTTTTTTGGTTCACGTGTGATTCCTAGTTTGATTCCTCCATTACCAATTGCCCTTACCCCCTTGGGTCCTCCATTCTTGTCTTGTCTTTCATCCCTCCTTGAATTGGCAAGTCTGACCTAAAAAAAAAAAAAGTTGGAGAGAAAGCTATTAATCCATAAAATCTCTACTGGTGCATCTCCAGAATATCTCCCCAAAGTTCCTCCTGTGCAAACAAAACCAAAAAAACCCAGCTAAAATTAGCTTGCATTTTTTTTTTCACAGAAGAAGAAGTCTGCACTTTTTGAGGTAGCTGAAGTGGTGCCTGTGATGACCAACAACTATGAAGAAAACATCCTGCGGGGCGTTCGCAATTCAAGCTACTCCCTGGAGAGTTCGATAGAGCTGCTTCAAAAAGATGTCGTGCAACTGCACGCCCCAAGATACCAGTCAATGCGAAGGGTAAGACTCAACTATTATAATCAAAGTCCCCATTAATGGTTTAACCAAAAATACAGTTGCTACAACATTTACTACTACTTCTTTTTTTTTTTTAGGATGTGATTGGTTGCACACAAGAAATGGATTTTATCCTTTGGCCACGCAATGATATTGAGAAGATTGTATGTCTGCTGTTCTCCAGATGGAAAGGGGCTGACGATGAGCCCTTCAGGCCTGTGCAGGTCTGACCTTTGTTTCTATGCAAATACATCTCACCTAAATAAAAAATGCACCTCCTCACATTTTTGTAAATATTGAATTCTGTCTTTGTGTGACAAATCTGAAAATATGACACTAAAAACAATGTAGGTAGTGTATAGCTTGTTAAACTTTAAATGGTTTGCACTCTCAAAATAACTCAACACACAGCTATTGCTGTCTAACCCACAGGCAACTAAAGACTCGTTAGTGTTGATATAAAAAGAAGAGCCTAAACAATAAGGGATTTTTTAAGGCTAATATCAGTTTTGGGGCTTTTAATAAAACAATATCCGATATATTGGCGAAAATAGAACTATAGAATTAAAATATGCAACTTTTATTTGAACAGTGTCACCATAAGACTATAAATAAGATTAATTTATGTGGTGCTGATTTGGATATTTCCTGAAATCTGTGTTATGGGTTTTTTTTCTCCTTACTGGTGCTGGAACCCTGACAAACTTTAACACTGCAGATTCTGCATCCAACAGCTGTTACATCCTTCATGAAGTGGCTCCACACCTGACTGTTTCCCTCTCACTGGGAAATGTAAATATATACGTTTAGTGTTATTTGCTAATTAGATTTCAATTCTACAGATGAGCATTTGAAAATAAAAACAAGTGCCTGAATACAGTTTATAGTAATAACACACAGGCTAATGGGAGGTGTTTTGTATCTTATTCTTTCACAAAAACACCACAGAAATATAACTTTGTCATATTTACAAGTAACTGAAAAGTTCCCTCCTCAACTCAACAGAAGCGACTAAACTAGATTTAAGTAGCCATGCTGCAGGTTTTTAACTATCCAAACAGGATTACAATTAAGACAGTAGTTTGAGCCTTTAAAAATGTGTTTAATTAAAAAGTTTACTTCTAAATTTATTTGCCCCAGTATAGTCTGCATGGGGGAGCAATAGGAAGTGGGGGGCTAATTTGGTTAATAATCCCTGCTGGTCTTGGAATTGTTAGCTGTCAGAGTTGGATACCTTACTTTGAATTAATATTGCTGGAGATTCCCAGTAATTCCAGGTACAGACCAGTGATTACTAATTCAATGTTAATCTTTAACACAAAATTTTCTGCAAGTCTCATTTCTTACCTGATTGCTCTTAAGGAAGCTGGAGATTACTCTTTTTTTTTTTTTTCCCCTTCTTCATTTTACCCAAATTCACAAACTCTTATCGGTTATGTTAAAAAATATATAAATAAATAAATCCTAGTCCACAAACATCCTTGTTCACATGTTCACTTAAATGTTACCGTTGTTTTTTCACGTTTATGGATTACATCTAAAAATATCAAACATATTTTCCATTCAAACCATATATATGAAATAAAGCATTATAGCAAACAATGGCTAAAGTATATGGGTGTCAGTTTAGTTTAGTTTGTCTGTAGGAATTTAAAATGTCCAGCAGGTGTCAGTATTCAGTGACACAGTATGGACACAATGTCAATACAGTCTGCAGATGTGTCGAAACGCTTCATGACACCTCATGGACTCATCACTAACGGACAGTAGTGTCCCAAAGAACAAAAACTCTCCAAAATAATCCTATAGTTATCAGTCATTCAATGAGTTTTCATAATCTATTCAAAGTTTCAAACGTACCTGTTTGCAAACAGCGCAACATGCTTGCTCCAATTGATGAAATTCTCCGTAGGAATATTAGATGTTACACCAATGACAGCCCCCCCCCCCCCCCCCCCCCCCCTTCATGCTGCGTCACACCGACGTGTGGCCAATAGGATGCGACCCTCACGATTTGCGAGATGTGAGCTTAGCACAAGATTTCACGAGACTACATGGGAAAGTCAAGATGGCGGCCCGGTGGAGAACAGATTGGCAGATTTTGTTTGGCAAGTATTTGAGGAAAGATTCTGGGGGTAGGGGGGAGCGTACAATCTGTCTTTTTTCTTTAAGTAAAGGCTGTATGGCTGGCTAGCTAAAAACCTGATTTCAGCATGAAGTGTTGTTGGACACAATGTAGTAATTTTATTTTCCTTCTAAAATTATGTTTATTTCACAAAGAGGTAATAATTACACAGTGCTAAAATCCTAATGCCGTCGCCAAAGCTAGTGCATATAAAACTCGTCTGCTCTCCTTAATGTGTCCTAACAGTGTGTTTCCACGGGGACATATGATGTCATGGGGCACTAAAGTGTAGTTTTGCAACATCACACCTTACCATGGAGTAAAGTGTATACTTTCTCCCTCTCCGTCCAACTCCCATGCTTACGCTAGCTCCAACAGTGAGTGTGTGCTTGTGGGGTTAGGCCATTCAGAGAGAGCTCACTGAGGGGAGGGGCAGCATGGAGTGCAATCAGTGCAGTGATGAAGTTTCTTTCAAGTGATTTCACCAAAAATAGGTTTTAGAGTTTTTAAATCAGCCACATTTTCGCCAATGTCGATAAATGAGCCAGACGGCAAAATCGGCTGATAAATTGGCCTGCCGATCATGTTTGTTGTTTTGTTTAATTAACATTAGAAGACTCGTTTTTTGCAAAGTTTTAAGCATCACACTGTCCACTGAGATACTGTTAAAGAATTTCTTGCTGTTTCTCTGTCAGAACAATGACCAGTGCTACTACTAGGGAAGTGGAGCTCTATGGGTTACGTTGCCACCACCATGCCTAAAGCCAGTAAAATATTCTGTCCAGTTCTTGACTCTTACACACATTGTTGTGCCTGACTTTTTTTCCATAGCACTTTCTGTAGAAAACTGGATTTGTCATTTGTGTACTATATTTGTTTGTTTTCACTTTGGGGGGTGTGTTTTTTTTCTTGGTCTGGGACAGAAAACCCAGGTGAACATCGGGTTTCACTTTGAAATATATTTCAGCTGCCTAGATAGAGTTGTTCTTTCTTTCCACAGGCCAAGTTTGAATTTCATCATGGAGACTATGAGAAGCAATGCTTGCATGCCTTGGGTCGTAAAGACAAAGCTGGAATGGTCATGAACAACCCAACTCAGTCTGTGTTTCTCTTCATGGACAGACAACATCTGCAGGTCAGTCTACTCAGACATGATGAAATAACAGCTCTAAGAAGTTAAAACACTGTTCTAACACAACATTTTACTTCTTGTGTTTTTTTTTAGACTCCTAAAACCAAGGCGACGGTTTTCAAGTTGTGCAGCCTGTGCCTGTACTTGCCCCAGGACCAGCTGACCTGCTGGGGTGTGGGAGACATCGAGGATCACCTCCGCCCATACATGCCTGATTAAGGCTTCTCGCTCACCCAGTCACACAGAGACGAGCCTTTTCCCGTCCTCCCTTCCTTCCCTAAGGCTTCAGAAGCAAATTGATGTACTCATCTCCTCCCTGTCCCTTTGAACTTGTGCTTGGATCTCCCTTTTTGTTCTCCACTCATTCTCCCTCTGACCTGAAGCCCATTTGCTTCCCATTCTTTACTCCCCACCATCTTCCCAGTGTGTGTCCCAATACTTTCTGACATTTTTGGATCAGCTCTGACATTTTTTACTTTATTTCATTCCTTTTTCCTTACTCACCTGTTTTATTCTTTTTGTTTTGATTATTATTTGAACCTGCACGGACATTGATTTTTTGAGTGGTTGGTTGTTCTATCGGAGCCACACAGTCAACAGCATTGGTCACTGAATGAACTCTTTATGTTGCATCTAAACTGGAACAAACACACAAGTCATGGTTGTTACGATGGACATGCCTTATATCCTTGATATGATAAGGAAGGATTGTTAAAGCTTGTTTTGTAATGTAACTAGGGCTTCTAAAACAAGTTTAGACCTTTTTTTTTTTTGCCCAGGATAGGCATGAGCAGGTTTTAAAAACACCTGTATTGGCAAAGATAACAAGAGCAACAGTGTTTGTCAAATCATGCGGTGTAGGTATCGCTTCTTATAAACTGCCTTAGTTTTTTTTTTTTTTTTTTGCTGGACTTAAAAATGTGTTTTGTAATTTTCTTTTCTCAGAAACATTACTAAACAGGCCTTTGATTAAAAATCTTGAATATCTCAAAAGGCGTTGAGCAAAAAGTTGAGACAGGTTGGTATGTTGTCAAATTTGATTTCTCATTCATGCACTATTTCATTTAAGCTACTGAAATCAGTTTTTATGCTTCGTTTGAGGGATGTGGGTTGGTGACTAACTGCAATGGTAACAGATTTGATCGTAATATACGTAACAAATAAAAACCTAACAAATTTCTGTTTAAATTTGATCTACTAAAGTAAAAATAAAAAATCTGCCAAGCTTTTTTGAATTAAAACTGAGTTTTGAAGTGTTTGCTGTTTTGGAGACTTATGAAGTTCTCTGTTAAGTTTCTGCTCCTTCCTGATTCAATGTGTTTTAGTTGGAAAGGCTTTTAAGGCATGTCATTTTGGGGTTTTGATTTTTCTGTTCTCTAATCTTTACTGCTGAGCATATCTCAATACAGTGCAAAGTCTGAAACACCGACTCTTTGTCCAGCTGGCTTTATTGCATGTACAAGAAACATCCACTGCTCCATGTTCCTAACAACAATACTCAAAAGTTGTGAAAGTAAAGGCAGAACCTTTTTCTGCAAACGTCTCCACTTTAAGAATCCCACATTTTTAATGCATATTGTACAACGTCCACTAAGAGGGACGCCCTAGCTGCTGCCGAGGTGTTTTGTATGTCTTCCTTGTGCAATAAGCTTCCCTGTGGCTTTGCTGGTGAGATCTACAGTTGCAAATGCCAGCGTTCTCCCCTGCTTCAGGACTTGTGCAGTGATGAGCACGTCTTCCCCCATCTTGGCAGCATTCATGTATCTGGAACATAGTGACATTTGTACACCCACATTAATGCTTTATAATTCTCGCTATAAATTTGAATTTAGTCTAACGGCAACAAAATACCAATGTCTTCAAAAGGAAAAGGTACAAAATCAGTTTAAATATATTTTATAGACATCTGTCGACTAAATGATGCATATTTAATGTTGCACACATCAGAACATATGTAGGGCTATAAAGTGGAAATTCGTAGCCAATCAGCTATGGAGGTTTTGCCTACATAGATCTTAGAATAAGTATTCGCACCCCTTGAACTTTTTCACATTTTCTCCATAAGCTCCCCAGAGTTACCATCAGCCTATTGACTAGATGCACTTTTTTTGTGGTACCATAATAAAAGGGGCTAAGATCTTTATTTTAATGAATGCAAACGTCAATTGATAATGCATTGGCGTATATCTGGAAAAATAAATAAATAAATTACTGAAGCATATATTGACTTACGTTATATTCATGTCCACGCTGACCCCTGGGGCTCCTCTGTCGCTGTACATAATGGCCATGGTGGAAATGACGTCCACCAGGGTGGCTGTCATCCCGCCGTGCATCGTCCCTCCTCGGTTAGTGTGCTCCTCATCCACCCGCATCTCACACACCACCTTCCCGGGACTCGCAGACAGAACATCCACCTGCAGACAACAAACATCCACGGTTTGAAAACAAACATTCAGAGCTCAGTTTGGACATTTCGGTTTTAAATTTACCTTACTCAAGACTCTGTCAAATCCCGGGTTGTCAACCATCGCTCTCATTAATTGTTTTAAAGAGTTTAAAGTAAGTGAACCCATGTTTCACGGTTAAAAATAAGGCCAATGTCAAAGTTGTTTTTTCCCCACAGGAAGTTGTTACGTTTTATAAATCTTCCGGGTAGAACTTGAGTCAAAAGTAGCGCAGGATGATAGGGAAAAAAAACAAAAAAAAAACGGCACTGATATTTCTACTTATTGATATACATTTCTGTATGTTTACTCTCTATGTTTGTCACTCTTAAGTATGTATATTTTTTTCGTTTAGATCTAATTTCCTGAACCGCTGTGCCTCTACACTGAGATTTATTGCTCCATTCTCACTCTATGGTGCATTCAAGTCGTTTCAAAAGTATATCTAGATTAAAACCAATGAGAAAATGAGTCACAATACTGTGATCAGCCAATAAAGCATCACTGTAATCAGTCATAACATTATGGGAAACTGACTGCAATTATCAGCTGGTAACCCCAAAGACTGTTTCTGGATTATCTGACCAGACCAAAAAGAAGCCTTTTATTCCCTTTAAATCTTCAAGATAATTCAATTTTAACTTTGTCATTACATTGTCAACTACAAAGCAACAAAATGAAGTCTCTGCATTTAACCCATCCCCCTTGTGGAGCAGTGGGCTGCCATTGTGCATCGCCCTGGGAGCGGTATGGGGTTAAGGGTTCTGCTCAGGGATCCAGAGTGCAGGGGTGGAGCTAAATGGGGGGCCATGGTCACCCTTAGCCATTCCTTGGCCACTGCTGTGGCCAACCCTACCATTATTTTTCCCCTCTAAAGGTTGATTTATACTTGGAATCTAGGTTGTCTGCATAGGTGTCGCAGTGAACAACAAGACATCCCCGCCCCCTCCACAGACACTCTGCTGCACCTCTCCCAAATTGTAGGTGAGCGCAGACAGTGCCGCAGACAGGAAGCCGGCTTGTTTTGTTTTTATGACCGAAATTACGGGAAAAAAACTCGTGAAGATGGACCAGCTAGAAGACCGAGGTGCTCGAGAACGCTGAGTATTGATTATGTTGGGTTAAGTTAAACAGTTTTTTTGTTTTCTGGGGAGAGTTGTTTCCTGTTTCCTTGCTTAACTCCTTATCAGTTGGTGGCGGTAATGCACTTTTCACTATGCTGATGAAGGTTCTCAGTCATCCAGGTCATAGTCATTCCGTAAAAATTCAAAAAATATCCACTGGACTTGGTTTTCAAGATTTGAAGACGTTTCGCCACCTCTCCAGGGATCACTTTTCACTAGTTTGCAAACCGCCATAAAACCTCACAAGAAGAAGAAGAACGAAACTTTGCACAGCGCCGGAAGTATTTCACTGTTACACGTACCCGGGCTGGTTTTCAAACAAGGAGCGAAAATGGATTAGTAGTTCATATTCTTCTCTATCGTCCACTTATAAAAGTTCTTGCTGCGAGAGCAATGGCTTCTACATCAAACACGGACACGCCGTCTGTGTCTGATGTGGAAAAAAGCAGGAGTGGACTCTGCGAGGAGTTCGCTGCCATAACGGGAACTGATAGCGCCGTGGCTCAATGCTACCTGGCTGAGAATGACTGGGAGATGGAGGTTAGTCAGAGGCAACAGCTGCTGCCCATTTGATTGATTTGGTCACTGTATGTGGGTGGGGAGAAAAACTATAACCTTTTACCTACAGATACGACTGGAAAGGTTTAATTTACACCATACATTTATAACCAGGTTTGTTTTTTCTATATATATTTTTACAGAGGGCTATAAACTCATTCTTTGAAGCAGACATGGAGAGAATATTTGAAGAGGACTTTGAGGAGAGTGACAGCATCCCTGAAAAAAAGAAGCAAAAGGTCCAGAAAGAATCTCCTAAGGAGTGGTAAGTCAACTCTTTTCGCCACATAGTTTCTAATTCTGGTGGATTTAAGTTTAATGCAGTTATTCCAATCTCTGAAAACATTTCCAGCATCGATTTAACTGGAGAGAGTCCAGCTGCACGAAAACCATCAGATGAAGAAAATGAAAAACTGTCCCTGATCTCCTGGAACGTAGATGGACTGGACACAGACAATCTGGCAGAGCGTGCTAGAAGCCTCTGTTCATATTTAGTCTTGTAAGTAACTCCAGCCTTAAAGCTATGAGTCACTGACTGGATCCAACTCATCATGAGAGTTTGAGAGATTAAAACATAACTTTCTGCCAAACTATTTATATCCATTGAATATTTCACATTTAGTTACACATTTTATTTTTATATGATATATCAACATACAGTTTAGTTATGGAATGTAAATGTAATGTTATATGATTTTAGTTAATTTATTTTTTATACCAAATGAGGCATGCATTCCTGGCTAGCTTCCTGACTAAATGCCTTTTAGAATTTCATTTTTTTTTTGTCTGCATATCATTTGAGGAGCATCTCTACCAGCTTTGCACATACCGGTATATAGACAGACATGTTTCCCCCAAAATAGGATAAGAATCAGTCTTATTCACCATACTAGTAAACACCAACAATACATTTGATTTTGGTTCTTTTTGGCTCTTAGTCAAGGCATTTAAATGCTGTAAGTGTGTTTTTACAAATAAAGACCATGAGGTTGATTAGATGCGTACATGGCCGCCCCCTTCACATTACAGGGTTTCCATTGGTCATTAAAAGTCATTGAATTGTAATTTTTTTAATTAAGGCCTTAATTGGCATTAAAATTCATTAAATGTGATTATTGTGGCATTTAAAGTGCTTTATTTAAAAAACAATTTCATCAGATATATCAGATTTAACTGCCTCCGCATGTTTGTGCGGAACTGCTTCCAGTCAACCGTAAAGCCGTATTTTCCGAAAAAGAAGCTCTAGGTGGAGAAAAAGCTAGAGAATGAAACAAGTGTTTGGAAAATTAGGAATTAGGGACATGGCTGCAGCCTGTCGATGGTAAAGAGGATGCAGGATTTTGCCTTATTTTATACATATGTATATATAAAAGTCATGGGTACCTTTTGATGGCATTAAAATGATTTCTAAGAGCATTAAAAAGCATTAAATTAGAGTTACTCATTCCTGTAGAAACCATGCATTGAGAAGAATATTTTTTCTGTTGCCTAGCAACCTGAGATTAACATGGTTTGTTTTTGTTTTTTTAGATATGTCAAAAAATTTCGAGAACATTTTTGCAAATTCACTATTCAATTTGAAAGAAAACAACAAATGGGATGGAATAAAACATCATCGTGCGTTCACCCTCCCCCTAAGTCAGTAATTCGTAGAGCCAACTTTTGAAGCCATTGCTTTTGCAAGCTTGCCACCAGGATCTTTGTCCACTGATTGAGACTGATCCAGATCCTTTATATGTTGGCTGGTTTTGGCTTGTGAACAGCAATCTTAAGGGTTAACCACAAATCCCGACTCTTAAATGTTTACCCTCTAACTGCCACAGTGATGTTTTGGTATTGATTTACGGAATATGAAAAGAAAACATCTCGTTAAATGCAATAATCCCCACGAAATATTATTAAATCATTTGGAAAATTAATTAGTAGTTCACATCGGTTATTACTCTTCACACTATCCAATATGTTTAGCTTAAGTGTTGTGTTACTCCATTACTATTAACAGGTTTAGTGGACCACTTTTTTAAAGTAGTAGAATGATTTCCTCAATTAGCTCTAATAATTTTATTTCCCCAGTGTCCATGATTTTTGTTTCAAACCTCATCCGTTTTTCCTTTCTGCTAATTACAGCTGAATATAACTTTTAAATCTTAATTCCTTACACATATTATGAGTTTAGTTTATATTTATAATTGTAAAACACATGCAGGTTAACTCTTGCAAAAGGGATAGAAAGAATGAATATGTGATCATACCAACTACAATCTATTGCCAACTGATGTTCTAAGCATGCAAATGTGGAAAGCTCTAATTTTAAAATCCCCATCCAGCTTTCCCATGACTAAATAGTTTCCCTTTCTGCTCCTGGAAAATATCCCCAGGAAATAATGCCGTCACCATGTTCAATCTATGCCAACTACAAGCATGTAGATGTTTCACTCCAGGTTTTCATGAGCTTGAAGTGTCCACAGTTGCTGGACTTTACTGTAACTGTTAAGTTAAAGTGCTTATTTCTACTGGCACGCATGGATTTGTGGGCCGGCTGCAGTTTCTGATTCCCTCTGTGTGGCGGCAAAAACACTTTAAATGTATTACTGCTGCATAAAGGGCTGAAGAGAGATAATCAGTCTTCTTAAAAAAAAAAAAAAAAAAAAAAAAAAAAGAAATGCGGTCTGACCAAAGGGAGTGCCTCTGCTGTTTGAAATGAGCAGCCCTGAATCTACAGCATTTTGCTTGGTCTTTCTCATAGACCTTACATTTCAAAGTAGGTTAGCAAAGGTGAGGTCGTCTGGAGGAGCAGATTTAAATCGGTAGATTCAATCATTTTATTCAGGGCTTGTACGACATTCCTTAAATGTAGTGATTTAGTCAATAAATATAGTAAAGCATGAAAATTTTCTCACTTAACCTTTATATTTCCGTCTACTTGCATAGGTACACCCCTGATGTGGTATTCCTACAGGAGCTCATTCCACAGTATGTGCAGTATTTGAAGAAACGAGCTGTCAGCTACCTCATCATTGAAGGTATGGCTCTAAGAGGCTTTTATCTGAATGAATTCCAACTGCAGAAGAAAAAAATAATTAGTTTCGCTTATTACTTTTTTTACTTTACACATAATGGATTCATATAAATATATATATATCCATATATATAAATAATCGATTATTGAAATAATCATCAAGTAATTTAGAAAATGACTAATAGTAAACTGGAGTATAGAGACTAAAACATGCCTTTAGCTCACAGAGAGACCCACTTAGAGCGGTAATTACACCAACATTGTTTAAAAAAAAAAAAAACTTTTGCATTTAAGATTAAAAAGACATGTTCGTCTATCAATATGCTCTATCTAGAACTCCTCAAGTGGAAAAGATTTAGTTCCACTTTGTTTAATTTCACAAGAACTCTTCTTTAAGGAACCTTTTTTCTATCCAATTATTAATCGATTAATCGAAAAAATAATTGACAGATTAATCGATTTGCAAAAAAAGTTAATTGCAGCCTATATATATGTGTTTGGACCGGTATATATATTAGTGCTGTCAAAATTATCGCGTTATTATCGCGTTAACGCGAGGCCATTTTAACGGCGATAATTTTTTTAACTTGAGATTAACGCTATGTGGTTTTATGGTACAATTTTCCAAGTACATCCCGCTGCAGCCTGCGGGGAGGCGGGGCTATTTCCCCCAGTCTATGCATTTCTCATAGGCTTCGAGAGCGGAGCTCCTCAAGGGAAAAAGACGCTCATACACTGGGTGACGCTAGTGCCTTTTCTTTAAGCCCCACCACCAACAAACAGGTTGAGTGTCTGGTAACTAGTAGCAACCTGAAATACGCTGAGAAAACAGATTACTGAGGTGAAATGGAATCTGCTACGGCACTCTTGCTGTCTGTGTACGCCACAGGTCGGTGTCGTGTGTGTGTGTGAGTGGGTGGGTGGGTGTGTCTGTGTGTGGGTGGGTGTGTCTGTGTGTGGGTGGGTGGGTGTGTGTTCTAATTTTTGTTAAGAGGCTGAAAAGTAACTTTCTAGAGCATAGACTACCTCCATCTAGTGATGTCGGTCTATTGATTTTTTATGTATTGATTGAAAATTGTTCATTATTATCTTGGTTAATTAACATCTAATGTTAACTCTACTGCATTTTATAGCAGTAGGGTAAAATGCTTGTCTTTGTTCAAAAGACTGTATTAACTGTAAAGACTGTCTTTTACATCAGCCTGTTTTCAGGGCCTTTTTTTGGCTACATATTTGTTATTTTTTGCTACATGCCTCCCCATCTTCTTGCCATATGTTTCTATGGCATAAATCAGTATCTGTGACCTGTTTTCATTTAAAAAAAAGAACATTGGCACAAACCTAGCCTGTATGTATTTTTTGTATGTCATCGAGAGTATTTAAATGATTTTCAATCAGAAAAAAAATTTGCGATTAAAATGCGATTAATCGCGAGTTAACTCAGGCATTGATGCGATTAATCGCGATTAAAAAAATGTAATCGATTGACAGCACTTATATATATATGTGTATGTATGTATGTATGTATGTGTATATATATATATATATATATATATATATATATATATATATATATATATATATACACACACACAATGATCTTGTGTTAAAAGGAAAAATAGGTGTATTTTCCAGCTAGAAACAGATGGGCTAATGAGGAAGTGACTTGAAATACTGTAAGCTAATTAACCGTATTTAAAACTGCTTTTTTTGCCTAAGTAAAAAGATGCAAGTTTAGCTAAAAATGTGCTCATGTTTTAGTCCTTAACTTCTCTGCTTGATGGAATTTCTTCCCTTTTCCTCCAAGCTGTGTTAGTACTGACTGCTCTCCTCTGCAGAAAACATGTCCCCACAGAGTCCCACTCTACCATGTTGACTACACAGTCCCACTTATGAATATGTTAGATATACTTACAAGTTTTCTGATATCTGTTTGGAGGTGGGGAAGATGGCTACTTCACTGGAATGATGCTGAAGAAATCTCGAGTAAAGTTCTTGGAGAGTGAGATAGTAGTTTATCCTTCCACACACATGATGAGGAATCTGCTTGTAGCTCAGGTATTTGCTTTCATTTAAGCTACCAGAATGTTACTTTGATGGAGTATATATATTTTTTCACACATTTTGTCATGTTACACCAACTCATTATGTGATTGACCTACAGGATGAAGTACCTAGGAAAATGGAAAGACACACAGTTTTCTTTCCTTCCTTTATTGTGGTGTATTTATCTGCTTCCATTTTCCCATCCACTCTGATTTAAATAAAACAGGTGACCTTTAAAGGTCAGAAGCTGTGCTTAATGACATCCCACCTTGAAAGCTGTAAAGGCCATGCCCAGGAGCGGATGAAACAGCTGCGGATGGCGATGGAGAGGATGAAGGCTGCTCCTGATGATGTCACCGTCCTGTTTGGAGGCGACACCAATCTGAGGGACACTGAGGTCAGCGTTTCCTTGCTGCTCTGAGCTGATTTCTGTTTCAACCCATTTTATAAAACCGGTTGTTTGTTCATGGTTTTTCCAGGTGGCCAAAGTGGGCCTCCCCTCTAGCGTCTGCGACGTGTGGGAGCGACTGGGCAAGCAGGAGCACTGCCGCTACACATGGGACACCAAAGCCAACACCAACAAGACCGTTCCTTTCGTCAGCCGCTGTCGCTTCGACCGCATCTACTTCCGGCCAGCTTCCAAGGAAGGAATCCCATGTCTGGCACCGGATCACATGGCCCTAATCGGACTGGAGAAGCTGGACTGTGGCCGCTACACCAGTGATCACTGGGGCATTTACTGTAGCTTCGCTGCAGCATAGAGATGCTGTAAACAGCTGGAAGCTGCTTTAGATCTCTTACCCTGATCTTTTTTTTTTCTGTTTCCTGACCTTATGCTGCTTGTTATTATGTGGTCTTTATTTGATTACGTTTATCTCTTAATTGTTTTAAAAGAAGCTAATAAACTTTAAAGCTGTTTGGAAACTCCAGCTGAGGTTAAAATTTTTATCACAACTAAATCGTACGTCTCTGACGGAAGCCTGAGGCTTTTCACGTGATCATCTAATGATAAAGGCTGCAGCATCAAACAAACATTAATAAATACATCAAACATGAATAAAAACACAGAGAGACAAAAAATAACTGCATTAGTTTTCTGACATGGTGCACCGTTTTTTAAACATAAGTAGTTATTGAATACTACCACTAGATGACAGCAATAAATTGCAGAGCTTTAAAAAAGTAAAAGTCCTGGAAAACTTGAAGAGTTAATGGAACCAGATTTAGCTTGAATGGGAGTTCAGATGAGCTTTAAGGACTTTAACTGGGATGAAACTTAACTGGGAGCAAAATAGGTTGGTGATATAACAGATAGAGCAGGGAGAAAACAAATTCAGTTTTTTTTTTTCTATTTTTAATTAAAAGAGAACAACCCAAACTAATTTATTGGTTAAAAACCAACAACCAGGGCCCTTGATAAAACATCATTGGTTGAAAACCAATATTTTTAGACCATCAATCCCCCACAGCTGCCATCTATACTGGAACCACTGATCTGGTTTGTGCAACTTCACTTTTTCACAGACAGCCTGTCTGATTTGGATCACTTTCCCCCTAAAGTTCATGATATTAAACTTTGAAGTGTTACATAAATCAATCAAAAGAAGACATAGGTAAGGAAAAAGGTCAACATTGAACTGACACACATTGAATTGACTCCTTGGGAGCATCATGCCCTCTTGTTTCTCTTCCTGGTTTCCTTACAAGGACACTACAATAAAATCCCTCTGTGCACACTAAAACATAAGCATCTGCTGTAATTGTGGCTTAATGTGTTTTGCCTTGTTTTTTAAGGCAAACTGGAACAATTTGTGATTTTCTGGCTTTGTTGTGCATTTCCCTTCATGTAAATGGCACATTTTGTTCTAAAAACACACAAAGTCAGCAGAAGTTCAGAAGGATTTTACCCTGATTAAGGTAGAAAAGCTTTCACAGCTGTGTGCACAGCCTTTAACTCTGAGAGATCACGAGCAGCTCACATATGGAGACACCAGTCATGTGATTTATCTTTCTGTCTTCCTGCTCCACAAAAGCACCATAAGTTTTACACCCAGAAGGCTGGAATGATGTGCTCCAACATTATCTCACTTTCTCCCTTCAGCCTCTTTTATCATTTCACTCCTTGTCCCATCCAGAACCATCAGGCTCACATATATTTTAGGAGCTGAGCCCTCAGTGATGGCTGCAGCTCCTTTTAGGAGCCCCGTCACATTGAATATACTTGGACCTGTCCTGAAGAGTTTCTGCTAATGGGGACCCTCTGGGACATGCTTTGTCCTTTGTGCAGCGTTAGATGATGATGGATCTGACTCAGATCTGACCCCAGTCCAGAGGAGATCAGCAGATAGTGAGAAGAGTTGGTGCTGTAGCAATCTGCAGCATTTCAGGCAAAGAGAAGATTTATTTCTGTGTGAATGGTCTCTGGAACATCTATAGTCTATATATCTATAGTCTGAGATTCACATCCCTTGGCCAATCCAAACTGTTCACGACACACACTCATCTCCCTCTCTACACACATGTTGTCACATCCTTAAGTAGTGCTCCAGTCTACAGCACCCTAACTGCACCCATCAGTGCTTAACTGCAAAATCACTACGACAAACTGACCCACAAGCCACTATTATTATTATTGTTATTATTAGTTCTGACAGTGCTGGAGATGTTTGCATCGTTAAAAGAAAAATCAGAAAGTAAGAGCATATATGGCACAGGGATAAGGAAAAATAGAGAACTTTCAGTAGTAATAAAAGAAGTTTTCTATTTAAAAACAAACAAGAAACACAATTTTATTTGTTGCTGAAGACCAAATTTAAGGAATATAACCTGAATGAATTTCTTATAGAAGCACTTTTATTTTTCTTAATATATTCAGGCAACTTGCCGTTTCTTGATATTACATTGACATTAATTTTTGCCATCAAAAATATCCATATTTTTTAAATGTTACAAAGATAATAAGGTCTGGTCCTCGATTCCAATAACACACTACAAAAATGATCTAAAAATGAGTGAAAATGTCTCAAAATAAGTGTATTTACCCTTAATTTGAGTAGGTAAATAAGTAAATCTCCCAGTGGAAGAATCATTTTTATCCTTTAAATCAAGTTATTTGATATTATGCTCTTGAAATAGGAGACTGCACTTTTTCCCCTTATTTTAAATGTAACTTTTCTTATTCCATTTGCAAAGTGTCTCATTTACCTGCTCATTCAAGAAAAAATGCACATATTTTAAGAGAAAATGACTTAATTTAGATATTTAAAGTCTTTCACTGAGTGCCCTATAAAGAGTTAAGTACAATTCTTGGGTATGCCACCCCGCTCTGATATTGAACCCTTATTGTTTAGGAATGGATGTCACTGAAGCTCATATGTCAGTGAATACATATGGCAATATATACATTTGTTTACATTTATTTATACTATATATATTATATATATATAGTTTTCATGTTTATATACATATTTCTGAGTATATAGTATAGTTTCATGCTTTAAAAATCGAATTTTACATTAATATTGTGCATCTTAAGATGAATAAATTGATTTATTTATTCAATACTACATTAAATAGTGTATTTATATCGAGAGAGAGCTGTGTTGTTATATATAAATACATATATTTTGTACAAAATTTATCAAAATATAATTATATTTTATAAAGTATAATACATTGCCTGGAAATAATTTATGAAACAAAGATCGATTGAAAATGTAATATTTATTTCTTGAATATTTATTATTACTAATTATAAGGCTATGATTAATTGATTTATTAAGTCATAAATATTTAGGGTCTGAAAAAGTTGGATATTTAAGCGGATTTAAAGCAGGCTGATTTTCAAACTTAAGGTTTGGTGAAATCTGGACTTTAAATTCACATGTGAAAAAAGGAGGGAAAAGCAAACAGATATAAGAAAGTCTGTCAAGTTTTATTTTCTCTTTCATAAATAACACTGAACAAGCTTTGTACAGTGATAAATAGCATTTATGCACTGTAAAACTCTGTATTAAAAATACAGCATATGTGTAATGCACTTGATACAAATGGGGAAGTATTGCATTTCATAGCACCAAACCAGACCCTCGTGTTGTTCTGTTAGCCACCCAGCTGCCCTCTGGGACAGCCCAGGTGTGTAGACTCGGGTCCTCTGTGGTTCTCTATGAAATATACTTCCCTCAGGAATCAGTTGTTGCATAACTATATCTAAGTTAAGTAGAGCCCGGCTAGGAAGAACAAAACCAATTCCCCAAAAACATCCTCCCACAATCCAATGCGTTTTAAAAACACACCTTTACCTCTTGAATCCCATTATAGTTTTGGGGACACATGCATTTCTAACAGAATGGTTTAAAAATATCCTCTTTAGTTAGCCCCAAATGTTCCAGACTGAGCTTAAAGATGTTCATGCAACAGCAGTGAGAAGTTCATCATCTTTAGTTTCAGGGATTCTCCAAACAAAGTGCAACAAACTGTCGCATTTTGTTTGTTCCCTTAAAAGAACATCAGAGGCAGCAGGAGGTAAAAGGCAGGTTAAACACAAACATGTTAAATACAGATCAACTAACAACTCTGACGTGACATTTTCAACAGCAGGACTGAACAGTTCCAGACACTTGGCTTGACATATTAGTTACATGTTTTTATTCCTTTTGTTTTTTTGCTTTTTACTGTCAAACATTATTGCTAAATTCAAACAGGAAAAAAATGCAAAAATAGGGAAAATAACAGTTAATTATAGGATTGACCATATGGAATGTTTTTTGGACAAACAATTCTGGATTTTAGCAGAATGTTTGAAAAAAATAAAAATTAAGAATGGGGAAAATAAACAAGATCTGCCAGGATCATTTTCCTGTGATTCTAAATGGATATTAGGTAAAAGCCCTTTTTAATTCCTCAACCAGACTATGTCTGAGGAGCAGCATCATAAGAAGTGTAAAAACAAACCAACACATAGCATCACATTCATCATAGTGTCCACATTTTGTTTGATTGTCAGCTTCTGAGACTTTAGATCAACCAAACACCTTCCAAGTTTAACAACCCTTTATGAAAATATTGGTCAGCTTCAGGAGACTGTGCAAAGAAATCTGGTTTATCAAGTAGCTAAATAAAGTTATCGGTTTTACTTATTAATGGTTCAGAAAAATAATTATTCTATTTCAGTTTATTAATAGTTTAAAACCTAAAGGAAAATCTGATTTAGGTTAGGGATACTTCTTAAGCATGATTAGTTTGGTTTCAACACTGAATATGACATTCATGTCCTTTCATTAATCTTTTATGAACTATTGCACTGATTTAGGAACATTAGACAAAAACTATTTACAGGTACAGCTTACAGGTAAAGTTTCACTTAAGTAATTTATTCAAAAACCGAAATTCAGGTGTATGATATATATATATATATATATATATATATATATATATATATATATATATATATATATATATATATATATATATATATATCTCAAGTTTTTATTTTGATGTTGGTGATAAAAGCACAGTTAATCAAAATGAAAAGTATAGTTTTTCAGTCAACTATAACATTGCATATGACTTAAAAAAAAACGTTTTTAACACAGAAATGTTATGCGAACCAGCAAATAATGCTGAATGGTCAGTTGCCCAACAATCTTCACAATCAAAGTAAATATTCAAAGGGGCGTTGCTAAGAAAAATAAGCTCTAGCTAGTGTTGTATCCAAGCATAATTAAAGGAATATCCCCATATTGGCAATAATCCACAGGCTCTTTATATGGTTATGGAAACAAACCCTTTCTAACGAACAAAGCTAAGTGCCTACTGGCCGAATAAACTACACAGTGGTACATTTGACAATGTCCTGTCAAAAGTCCTGTTGGGGAAATTAAGTCTAAATTTAAACTTTTTTTGAAGTTATGTTTTCCTTTCACTCAACTTTCTAGTAGTTTGGATTAAGCCCTGTGTGAGCAGCTGGCTTTGTCATGTATTGATCTGTTTATGCTATGTAAGTGAAAACATTTCTGTATCAAAAAAATATTTTTTTGACTGTTCATATTCTGTAATTTTCTGAGAAACTAAATTTAAGTATTTATCAACTTTTAGCCACAATTCCTTTAACAAAAACAAGCACTTGAAATGTACCGGTTTCACTTTACATATATTTATTTACTAAAATAAATTATATTTTTTTTATGTTAACTAATTTTAATTATTTCCTTAATCTCACAGCTGGGGAAAAAAAGTCAAAAAAAGATGTAAAATGAAATCCTGAAATGATCAGAAAAATAAATCAAAGCAGGAATCTTTCCCTGGCTTCAAACTTAAATTAAGAGGCATTCCTGAGTTTCCTACGGGGAAAGCTGCTCTTCTTCCAACAGCCCAACCGAATCAGCAGGGGCGGTAATAAACCGGCAGAAGAGACTAAAAACCCATTAACAACAAAAGCAAAAGTTATTCTAAGTACAAATAATCCCCTTAATATTTTCCTGTAAATAAGCACTGGGTGAAAACGAAGTCACTTGAAATTAAACGAAAACAGTACCGTATGAAGTAAAAGGTGCATAGGTTGGCAACAGAAAACTGATTCCTTGGTTCTCTAGAAAGCTCCAGATTGCACATTCATAAAAACACCATTCGGTGGTTGTTGCCTAGTTTTGTTTCATGCCACCCCTAACATTTATGAAATTTTAGTTGACATCTCCTGTAACAGCAGATAAGAGGTACCTTCACAAATTCAACAAATAAAAGGTCTTAGGATGACGAACCAAAAGAGAATTTTCACTGCACCATGTTTTTTTAAAAAGGCGCGTGGTCCCATCATGGTCCAAATGTGTCGACAAAAAGGATCTAGGGAACGAAGCCCTTTTCAGGGTTTTATTCCGGCTGTAATATGATTAACAAATGGTAAATGTCGCCACCAGTATGCTCAGGACTCCAGAACTCTGTAGGTTCCTTTTTAATCTCTAGTCTTAAAAGTTGAGCCTTATGGTCCTACTGCGTAGCCACTTGACGTCACACCACATTGATGCAGTTTCCGCTGCCAAATGTCGCCCTCTTGCTGCAGTATGAGAAGCCGCTGTGATTGGTGGAAGAGCCGTTCATGTGCGTAGACTTGAGCTCCATCTGGCAGGCAGCAATGGCGGCGTTCAGCTCGACCTGAGCTCTGTGAACCACATAGAACATCAGGCCAATACTGATGATGATCTGTGGAGATGAACAACCCAACAACGGTTCATTCTTAGGTCTTGGTCATTTTAGTTTTGCAGAAGCTTTTTTTTTTCTTCTTTTAAATATATTTGTGTATGACCTTAATTAAGCCACTAGGAGTCACTGGTCTTTTGAAGGATTTATTGGTTTTAGGCAGGAACATTTAATCAAAAGACAGGTAAGTATGGAATCTTTGGTATCCAGATTCTACATATCTGATATGAAAATAGATTATATAGGTTAGTATTTCTTAAATGCTTCCTATTTGTGCATGTTTCTATGTTGGAATGCGCCCCCTCACTTTTGAAGGAAGTTATTCCTTGCAGGTTTCTTTTTTTTTTTTCACAAAAAAGGACATCCATTTGACCTTTCTTCTGCTTGCGTCAAATACCCCTTATAGACATTTCCAAGGTATTTATGTGCTCTTTAAACTTTTGATGTCAAAGTAACCGCACATACAATGACATCTTTTCTTTTCCAAGTGACATTTTTATATACGGAATTTGATCTAAATGTCAAACCTTTCTTAAATTCCTGTGCTAACTTTGGTAAACTTCTTGTTTTATTAAGGCAATATTTTTTTATTTACATCAACATTGTTTTTAGACAATTATTAACAAATGTTGAACTGTTTTACCTGAAGGACAAAAAAGTGGTAGCTCGCCTAATGGGGCTCATGTAAGAAGCGTTCATATGAAAAAATTCAATCTGAAATTGTTTATACGAGTGATTTAGGAGAAAATGTTGCATTTATAATTTTACTCCTATTTCTAATCATCACCACAGTTGATATAGGAGTCTTGCACAATGTTATCCCAGCCTAGTTTTTAACTAAATGTATACATTTGCTGCTACTTAGAGGCAATTGTACGTTTCATTAGGCTACATCATTATATATTATGCAACTCTGCAATTATAAATTACATTTTTATTCACCACACCTGCAGTTGGCATCTCAGTATCGAGAGGACACTGGTTTAATTTGTTGTCTTTTCATCAAAAGAAAGTACAGTCAGAGGGATCTATGTAAGATCAAGCTACTATTGAGATAACATCTGCAGCAGGAAATATATGGAAAGTTCAGAAACGAGATTCAGCAACAGGTTGCTGTTTGAAGCTCTTCGAAGGGGAAATTTTTATTTTTACTTTTGTAAAAGTGCAACCACGGCATTTATGATTTATCCCCCACTGCTTGGCTTTTTACTGGTCCTCTAATTCTGCTGCTCAGATCTCAGTCACCAGGAAGGGTTTTTTCTTCTTCATCTTCATTGCTATTTCTATGAATGAACACGTTCTGACAAGTGCTGGAAGTGGTAGTCTTATATAGAATTACAAGGGCGCTAATTATGCAGATTTCAATTTCTCGGTAATGTGCGCTCACTTACCCACAGCTGGAACGCATCAGGTTTACGAGGATCATTTACGATGATTTATTGAAGTTAAGAATGTTTGTTGAATCTGATGTGGTGTGAGTTAAAAACCCACAGTAGGAGAAACAGTGAAATTTATGACAAGCTTGTTGCATGAAGCCCATTTTTTCTATTATTTTTTATGGTCAAAATATGTAAATATGTCCCATTATTAACCACGACTTTGATTATTTTAAAACTCAAATTAAAATGTGTCTTATTTCTTAGTATTTAAAAGTAATTAAAATAATTATCAAGACAATTTTGCAACTAAAAATTAGATTAAATGAGTTAAAAGGAATTTTAAGCTATGCAATTAGGCCTTATCCAGCGTAATCTACCACTTGTCCATCAGGGTCACAGAAGGCTGGTACGACTAGACCCCTTGAACATAAACATCTAACAAAACAGAATTAACTATATTTTTTCAAGCTGTTCTGGGATTCGTAATTGATTTGTCTGAAATAAGAACAGAGGTGGCTTTATGTACAAAAAACAAACATTTTAATATTTAAAACTTTTTCACCTGCAGGCTGAAGACGAAGTAGCCGCTGATGCTCTGCTCAGCAATGACGTCCTCCATGGTGCGCAGGGTGGTGCCCAGGTAGGAGTTGAGGAGCTGAGTGGGCAACAGACCAACGGAGGAGGCCACCAGGTAGTTTGGCAAGGACACATCTGTGATCTTAAAGCATAAACAGAGACTTTACTACTATCAAAACAGAGCAAGGTAGCATTAAGCTTCCTCTTTAGATAAGAAATTTTAATTGTATGATTATATTTCAATGCGACGTAGTATCATTTTATATTTCCAGCAATAGGTACAGAAGTAAACAAACTTACTGCCTCCATTGTAAAACTCTTGCACTAACATGATCCCGTGTGAGAAAAAGAAGGATCCATTATTTAATCGGAACACAAATTAAAGATTTGAAGCAAACACAGGGTGAGGGGAAAGGCCTGTAACAGCAACATTGAAACCAAGGAAAAAAATAGCCACAATCCTCTAATCTGTTTCTTTCCTGTTTTGCAGCAATAAAAACCACATCATAGAAGATTATGTGTAGCTGGTTTTGTTAGCATCTACTTCATTAATTTGATCTAAACCACAGATGCACCGTTTGCTTTCACATTTCTTATTTGAGTCAGAGTAAGAAAAGAAGATCTTGTTTGAGCCGACAAGCAAATTCCAGCAGTGATATGGTGTAACTACCGTGTTCTAAACACACTTCACCACGAATCCTGCTCAATGTTATTTTGCGTCTCACTGCAGCTGCCTATATATAAACAAACGTGTGGGTTTGTCACCCTTGATCCCTTGATTAAGTGATGACATAAGTTGAGGCGTGACAACGTGGGCTACGTTGGGGATGTGACCTTGGCTCCGTCTGCACTTTGTCCAGACTCTGGCTGATAGCGGTGAGCAGGGGGGAGGCTACTGCAGGATGCAGCCTGTGCCAAAATGTTATCAGAGCTTGAACGTACAAAGTGTCTGAATGCAAATATGAATCTTAAATCCATTTTACATGTAAATATTTTAAAATAACACATCCAAAGTAAATGGAAGGCAATAAAAGAGAATTAATGATGGCAGATATTTATATAGTGCAAAGAAAAAGTGATAGAAAATTGATTTGATTGAGCATAAAGTCTGGAAATGACATCATTAACATATTCTTTTAGCATACATATCTTTTATCGCCTAAATAAAAAAAAAATTTAAATAAATTCTTAAGAGTTTTCCGGACTTTTTCAGGAATCCTAGGAGCCAAAAGCTTTTCTAAAGGTAACTGATGTTAACACTTAATGTTTTTTAATGAAAGCCTTCAGACTGTGCAGCCATGTCGCATATATTGACAATAAGCTTTCAGCAGAAATGCAGTCATGGATGACTTTTAAAAAGCCTCTCCCTGTCAGGCATCTTGCAGCTGTCTGGCATTCATCCAGGGATGTGCTTGTTTGTTGGTATTTTTATAACCATGCAGACAATTCCTACTGAACCTCCTACTTGCTTGTGTAAGCATCTACATTAAGATGATCTGCAAATCCGAGGAAAAAAAAAAAAAAAAAAAACTTCCCATCCTGGGTTTGGCCTGATTCATTCAGATAAGCAGCTGCACACGTCTGACAGTGCAGTCATAAACAAAACCGTAAGTAGGCTAATCTGAACGTAGAAACATTTTAGCAGCTGTAATGCTGATTTCCTGTTTGTCTGTGCCCAAATACAACCCCCACATATTTGCTTCTACAGATGAGTCTATAAATCAAAATAATGGGTGTCCTAATTCCTTTATTTGCTCGTTATAACATTAGAGGATGCTCTGGATAATAAAGCATGCTTAAACTGCTGAATTTGTCCTGGAAAAACATGTTTTCCCTGAGCTTTCCCATCCTTTTACAAACTGCTGCAATCTCTAGGTCGTTTTAGGTTTCTATACTATACTATAATGTGGCCTAATCTACTTCAGCCGGAGCAAATGTAGCCTAACTTGGTGAGAATACTTACTTTTAAAGCAGACTGGACAAAACTGAACTCATGCATGAGTCTGTTAGCTGTTATTTTGCCACAAGTGGCGTCTTTCTGTGTATACTGTTGGGGATGTGATTGTTGGGATACAGTTAGCAGCTCAGCTTAGTGATGAGCCTCCTTGTGGGATAAATTATAACGAGAGGGTGAGACTTCAAGGAAGGTCTTAAACCCCCTCAGGACTGGAAGGTGAAAATACTGCAGAGAAAGCAGGTGGAGAAGGGGATTCGTCTTATTAACCTTCATCTAGCCGGACCTGATGAGGTCCCTGGTGAAAGCTCGGCTGGGACATTTGTGTGCAGCTGGAACCAAGCTGTTTCACACGGCTGAACTTTTGTGATTAGGTTAAAAAACAAAAAATAAAAAAAGGTCCAGTCCATCTTCAGCATGAATCTTTAACATTTCATTAAAGGTCTGATTTAAAACAGTCATATATATGCTGGAGAAAATACATAACAGTCTGACTTTTCGTCATCACTGTAGGCTGTTCACATTTTAACATTTGGGGGAACTTAAAGGAAAATCTTTTTAAAAAATTTATCCCCCCTTGGAAGTGCACTTCTGTATGTTCTTATGTAAAGCTGTGCCTCTTTGCCTGATACCAACTGTGCTACTATTAACTGTTTGGATCTTTTTTTTCATTGACTGCATTTATACCGTGTCAAACTGCATACACCATCAGTTTTTGTGCTTTTAGGCAGCACCCTTTTTCTGTTACAAATCTAGTGAGGAAATAAATTCCTTTAGCATTGCTTAGCTCCTGGACAAACTCGCCTTGAGACTCAGGATCAGATGAGAACAATCAGATTTTTTCATATCTAAAACTGATACAATCTACATTACTTTACAGGCACCCGAATGAGATGAGAAGAGGCCAAATACGAGACTTTTAAAGTGGCAAATAGGGTTTAATTTGCTAGTATTTGAGTTGTCTTCCAACAACAAGCAATGCCATATGATCATCTATAGATTTTTTTAAAACAGACTTGAAGGAGAATAATAAAGCGAACCACAGAGACAGAACGTCTGTCTCTTTAACATCTCGCTATCACCTCTGCAGAGCCGAACACAGGAGTTAATGCAGCGTCCAAGGTTAAAGTCACACACGTGTCACTCTGACATGAGAGGCAAACCAACCTTTAGATGCAGAGATACTGTAGACAGAGTGTTGCAACCACTCAGCCTGTATTTTCAACCAGTTAGAAAAAAAAAGGAATAAATAAAAATGGCCAGTGAATAGAAACCATTTTCTTGATTTCTGTAATACAACTGTGGAAACAAAGGGAAAAAAAATCTTAAATTGGGATCTATTTCTCAAAAAAAAAAATTTTTTTTTTTACTCAATGCTGCTATTAGCTCACTGGTCATCTCTAATGTCAAAGCTCTATCATTGAAATGTGAGATGCTTCTAATAGATCCCCCAAAAGTTCAAGCGCAGCACAATCCCTCCCAGCTTGTAATCCATACCTTAAGGTTGGGATGATCTCATGTCAAACTGAAACTAGAGATGTCTAAAGTCCCAGTCCGTAATGATAAAGTAAACACTGTTGAATCAAGAGGAAACAAACACTACATTTTAATTCTAATCACTGCCAACCTAAAAAACAACAAAAAACATAACATTGATATTCTAATAAAGGATGGATCCTTAAAATACTTCTGGGTAGCTGCAGTTTATAGCCTTGCAGCAACATAGAATTTAAATAAATAAAGTAGCTGGTATTTCAGAGAAAAGCTGCTGGTTTTTCATCCTACAATGACAGGTATTGTTGAAATGAGACGTAATCATTCTTTCTCCCTCTGTACCTTCTATGTGCTCTGAGCTATAAATGACTTTCTAGTTACCCATTTGCATCCGTTTTTGAATGCTGTATGTTAGGCTGGTTAGGACCTGTAACGGATGCTTTTTACAGAGTTTGGACTAAATCTTAGCCTCATCTAACTGGATTTTTCTAATCAGGCATATAGCTTAAGAAAGTTTCACCTAAAAATAAGTTCCTCTAAAAAAAAAAAACATTAAGAAATCTGTTTAACGATCTAAGATGGTTATTATCTGCTCTAGTTGTCTCATATGAAGTGTGAGACAGACATCATTCAGGTAAAGTGACATTTCTTAGAAAGGCGAACCATCTCCAAAGAATGAAACTGATAATGTCATTCTAGAGTTCCTCCCAGTTCTCAGAACTGTGGAACAATTTATCTGTACAACTTTTATCGCCTCAAATTTCAATGTATTTTACTAGGATCAACACAAAGTAGAACAACAGTAGTCTATAATTAAGGATGAGATGTGAATTGCATTTAGCAATATAACTGCAATTTAACAAAAAGAAATGTTTAAATCTCAGATGTGCTTGATTTTAATTTTGATCTTTGGCTAAATCCTTTAGCGATGTTTATAATTATAAAGTGAACGAAAAAGTCCAATGATGCTAAGTTATGCAAAGTCTGCTTGCATCAAGCAGACTTAGGTTATAAAACAACTCAAACTGCGATCATTTCTTAATCCATTATCTCAAAACTGAGTATATGGATCAGCTGTAAACATACCAAGACACGACCGGTCACCTAAAGCTAAAAAGGAGCGCATCAATCAGAGAAGCACACAAGAGAACCAAGGAAGCTCACATGGAAGATTTTTTTTGACGACACAAGTAGAAAATTTAAACTTCACCAACATGGATTTCTATTAACAATGGCCGGAAAAACAGCTACGGTTAAAAAGAAAATTGCACGATCTCCTATCTGCAAATATCTAAATAAATCTGCTTTTATAATCTGAACACCCTATGGCTACGATGAACCACGATGGGGGAACCACTGGTTTATATAAGTATTTATACAACATATGAAGGTCAAGGTTTCAGGTTAAGGTTATCAGTACTGAGGGAAGCAATCGTATCGTTTAGCTTTATTAGCCATCTGGATCAAGTTTACATTTTCATTGAAAATGGGTGAATGTATAGAAGCAGTGCAAGAACCTTCTTTTCTGTGGGGGACGTCTTTTATGATCAGCTAATAGACTTGTGTTTGCCTTCAGGAGGAAAGTAACATAAGAACGACTGAGTTAAAATAGTAGAAGCTGTTCTTGACTCCCTTCTGGATTTTTTTTCTAATTTCCCCTGAGTGTCAGCTGGCCCAGCAAAAGAGAACTTCACTTCACTTTGCTGCAAAATTAAGAAGGTCACCAATTTCACCATCAGAATGGGAGTGGGTGGTGTACTAGCATCGAGGTACCAAGGTTATGAAAACAGCAAATCAAATATTTTTCAACCTGTTTCTACAGTTTAAAGTAGCAGCACCCAGATAAAGAGTTTTAAGGGAAATTTCTTGGCTATACCCATTTTTGATGAGCTGATTTTTTTCTTTAGAAATGTTATAGATATCATTCTACCCCTCTTGTGGTCAGTTATTTAGATATGAAGGTAATGAAACGCTGCCAGTGTGAGAGAGGAGTCTAAAAATGCTTTTCTAATACTATAAAACTACAATTATGAGTAAACATTTTAAACTGGCTTTAGCGTGATACATCCGTGACGGTGAAGCTGGCATTAGGAAAACAGCAGGTTTCACGTGTGTCTCTGAGAGAATGCTGACCCATACTCTAACCCTGACATTTCCAAAAGGCTGCCAACATTTTCTTTTTTATATACATATTTTCCAGCATTTTCCATGGCACACAGAGGCTGAAAGCAGTTCCTGTTGTCGTCATCAAGAAATTCAATATTCTTTCTGCATTATTTACATTGTGCATTCCTCTGCATCTCTGAACTTACTGTATCCTGTACCTTCAGATGTAGATGGAGAGTAAAACCATCTAAAATCTGTATAATGCCCGTTATTAGGGTTGCTTCTGAAGATTAAGTTGCTAATTAATTATTCTGTCTATAAGCTTTTTTTTTTATCAGTTAATAATATTTTGGGTATTTAAGGAGATTTTTCAGTGAATTTTATAAAAGTAAAGCTCAAACTGAAAGAGTTCATTGAGAAATGTATGTAGATTTAATTTTTGACTTAATTTAAGCTCAGGGTTGGTGGGTCGTTGGGCAAATACAGTGTTTTAGAGTCTGTATACTCCGCTACTATTAAATTAGTGGGCATTCATTCCATCCAATTATCAATTATTCATGATTAATTGCTTCAGTTTGCTATAAACCATAGGAGTAAACAGTTAAAACAAATGAATTAAATAGCTTTTAATGGCATTATCAAAAAGTCCTAAAAAATAAAACAGAAAACCTATTTTGACTCTTTCTGAAAATGTTCATTAGCAGTTGTTGACTTGTTTTTCATTAAAGAGAAAATGAACATTTATGTTTTGACAGAATAAAATAACACAAGTTTTCACAGTAGGTTACGGACCTTGATAACATTTTAAAGAAAATATTCCTGGAAAAAAATCCTTAATTTCCTATGCTAAAAAGGTTTAGTAATTACATTTTATAATCTCCAACAGATCTGTGTTGAGTGCAGGTTAGGCTGCACACGCTGCATGTGTGAGAATTTCACTTTTGTTTCTCTAATTGCAAATAAATCTACAATGCTCTTGACAGTAAACACTTAAAACTACAGCTATATTAAACTGGCTTTCCATTTTATATTTTTTTTAATTATTGAATAAAAATCTAAGTTACAACAAATAAATGTTTTGGAATGTGTTACTATAATGACCAATATCACATTATTTTGACAGCATCAGAAATTGTTGTTTTTTTTCTAATCAAGTAATAGCAATTTGATTATTTCTATTTTTTTGGCTTTGTGTTTATATATTGTGGTTTTTTTTTTACTATTTTTATCCCACTGTGAGAGTCTCCAACTTGCCAATGTTTATTAAAAACCAAGAACAAACCATTGGCCCATCTTTTAACTGAGATAATAGGCTTTGCCTCTGGCTGCTGTGGCCGTGCTTTATACCTCTTTTGATATAGAATCAATTTCCACTTTTATGTAATTTTTGGATTTGAGTGCTTTAAAATAGAGATGGACCCATCCAGTTTTTTGATCCAAATGGATAGTGAGTGTATCCAATACCGATCCAATTCATCTGTTAAATGAATGAACCATACATCTTGTCATGTGAGTGAAAGCTTTAGCCTTGACATCAACATTGGTTGAAAAAAAGGTAATACATTAAAAACAGATATAAATTTACTTTATATCACTTGTTAACAAATAAGCAGCAAAAGGAAAGAAATAACAGCCCCTTGTGATGTGGAATGGAATAGATCTCTGACATATCAAAGCGGCCATATCCGATCCAATAATTGATCCAGGTATCGGATCGGAGCATCTCTACTTAAAAATAGCTATTTTTGTTTTAGATTAATTTTATATGCAGGACAGATCAATCTATGTGTATAGTATTTATATGCCAGACTCATCTGGTCTCAAATCTAAGCTGGGTTTTAATGTCAACAAAGAGAATTTGATGAGGTGAAATTTGATGTGTACAAAAATCACTTATTTGTTCCTAATTTAGAAAGTTTGTAGTGATTTTTACAGGATATCTGCTCAGTTTAGATAAAGGTGAACCAGATTCTTGAAAGGACTTGAAGAATTTGAAGAACTGAGAAAAACTCCCCTGGTTTTTGCAGCAAGTTTGCAGCAGTTTAAATATCAATTTCAATGTAATACGGCAAGTTCCAGTGCAAAGTCCCTTTTGACAGGAGGAGCAATAAGCAACTGAATATCTGTTAGTGTTGGAGTGAAGATCATCCAAATAATTGCTATAATACTCACCGAAAAAACTGCATTTTGGAGTCCAAATGGTATGGGGGTGAGTCTTGCTAAGGCCACAATTTTGAGTCCGCTTCCTCCTTCCACTACTCGTATAACAGCACTGAGCTGCTCATTGTTCCCAACTTTGTTCAGTACCCAGTCTGACAATAACCGCTTACACACCAGGTGTGCCACAAAGGTCCCTATTAAAACCCCCACCATAACCAGTCCCATGCCCAGGATGAAGCCATAAAGGTAGCCCGCTGCCACATTTAGGACAATGTATCCCCATCCACAAGGAAAGGAAACCACGATTAAACCAACTATGAAGAGCAAGGCTCCAACAAAGCTGTCCAGGCTCTCCACCCACAGCAGGAGGTCCTTGAGATACTGACGCACAAGTGCCACTGAGGAGAAGCAGACAGCGGTCAGAATGCAGAGCAGCAGGGCGCTTTTGAAGCAGAAGGTTGTGATGCAGCATGGGTGTCTGAACTCCCCGCTGAAGGATGTCCCCGCCGTGTCGGTGACAATATCGGGGTCTCCATCTGACTTCCCGGTCGGCCTCTCATCAAATGCGCCGCAGATCAGGATGTCTATTTTATCACACTCCTCCACGGCAGTCCTCTGCAGCCAGCGGTTCAGCTGGATCTGGGTCTTGCCCAACGAGTGCTTCACAAGCTTGGTGAAGAGCTGCACCGTAGTGGCCCCTGACATGTTGGGGTCCCCTCTTAATAATCACCGCAGGGGGACCAGCAGCAGTTGGATTTAAATAACCCGGAGGAAGCTGCGAGTGGTTATAAAATCCAGCCCTAAAAAGCTCCTCTGATAAGGATTCCAGCAGTAGTTCCCAACAGCTGGGCTGCTCTCACAACAACTGCCATCACAAGAACCGTCCAGTCCAACAATGTTTATCTTGGGTAAACTAGCTGGGTGATATGCCATTCAAGCGACTTTAACAAGCAAGTTTTGCTGCGTCTTTGTTTGACATTCGCCATGTTGGCAGCTGGGATAACTCAGCGCTGGGTAAAGTTGAAGAATAAACAAAGCGGGAGGAACTTTTAATACTTCACCATCTTTACCATCCAGCCAAAAGAGAGGCGAAAATCACTGCGGAGCTATTTCACTGTCTCCGTTAGCTAACCGCATCGGTTAGTGGATAAAGTCCAGCGGTTGTGGTGTAGAGATTAGACCACAGGTTCCTCGCCCTTATCGAAGTAACGAGACTTGTTCAACAGACATAAAAACTGTTTGTCCCGTCTGCTGCTTGCTGGTGAGCCGATTGTTTGTCCTGTCTCTGTCTCTGCGCGGTGGACGCTGATGTTACTGCTATTCATACCGACCACTGTTTGTCTCCCAGAATGCAAAGTAAACCGAGTCCATTCTGAACCAACCACATAGCTGCAACCAGTATCGCGATAGCTCGCAAACAATTAGAAATAGTATCGCGATAACTCTTTTTTTTTTTTTAAAACGTCTCGTTATAAAAAGGATACGTCAGCACGTTCGCCATGTTGTGGCAGGCAAGTTCATTTGAGTTTTAGTCGAGCATCCATTAAAACGTATGGAGGAAAGGTTAACGGGATAAAATGATGGTTTGCTTTGGAAATAATAATAATAATAATAATAATAATAATAATAATAATAATAATAATAATAATAATAATAATAATAATAATAATAATAATAATAATAATAATAATAATAATAATAATATGGATTAATCTATACTTTATCTAAATCTAAAAATATACCGCTACATTAAATTTAATTTAGGTTAAGGTGATAAAAATTAATTTTGTCAGATATTTTGTTTAATCAAATAATTATTAACGTAACATATAACCTTAATGTTATTTTTCAGACTTTACAGCAGGTATAAGACAACTACAAAAATCATAATAATTTAAATATTATTAATATCATTTAAAGTATTTTTATTAAGAAAAATGATGGATGTTATAAAATGTTGTGCCTCTTCATTCTTGACAATTATGTAGGTATTATGCATGCTTTTTATGTATTTCCAAAGCTCTTCGCTAGATGGAAGTGTTGCTTCGTATTTATCAGGTGCTGGTTCGTTGTTCAGGGAGTGGATATTAAACCAATATCCAATTCTGTAATAATTAAAATAAAAAGGTAAATTTTTAAAAAGGTAAAAACATGTATCTTAGATACATTTCCACGTTCCTGCTAGAATTATTTTAGATTCAGTTTAACTGTAGCAAAAATAGGAAAACATTATAACTAACTGTAAGTTAGTTACACTTTAACCAACATGAATTTTAAAATCTTAATTATTATAGTCAATTAAAAAAGGTCTTAAATAAAAAGCCTTAAATAAAAAGCTCTTCTGTTGAAACGAGACATGCATGATCAATCTTGGATTTGACTTAAACATTCACATAAAAAAGAAAGTTAAAATCTAACTCAAGGGTGTACATTTCTAAGAACAATTTAACATCTCAGCCGAGTTGACCTCTTTTGAGGTCTTTGAGCCCTACACAAAAACCATCCTATATATAGCACTCCTGTCTCCACACATTTGTGCTGATCATAAAGGGCTGTCTGACCTACACGTCATCTCATTTGTTTGTTTTTTTTCTTCCAATGAAGTATCAGTTTATTTGATTAATTTCTGCACAATCTAAAGCAAGGTTGTACAGCGATTTTAAGTTTAAAACAGAATAAAAAAGGTTTCACTGAGCTTAGGATCAAGTGAAAGAAATAACCCCGAATTACGCAGCAGGGCCCCTTTCAGAGTAAAAGCACCTCCTTTCAAAGAAGCTTTTGTGATTGTAGGAATGACTCATGGATACATTTTTTTTATTCTAAGCTACATATTTGCCATAAGATGGAATCAAAAAAGGGAGGATAGATTTATTTTTTATTTTTTTTCAAAAACGTAATAATTCAATACTATTTTTGCCAGGAAACTGTACGTTATTTTCTCTGACTTTACAGTATTTTCTTTTTTTTCAGTTGAGGCAGTTATCAGTGAAAAGAAGCACAGGCAGACAAATTCCTCTGCAGTTTACATCTGAAGCAGCACTGAGGAGGATGGATTGTTCAGAGGAACTCCAGTCTGTGTCTGAGGAGCCCTGCGCTCAGATGGAGCTAAAGAAGGGAATGTCAATTTTCATTGATGTGAGTATCCTTTTAATTCATTTTGAACACCTCTGCTTTTAATCTTTAACTTCACTGTAACAGCATCATAAGAGGCAGCAGTTTTCTCTTTTCACCCACAAATTATAAATGTTAAAAAAATAAAACAGAAACAAAATAAAACACATTTATCTGCTGTTTGGACGCACTCAAAATAAATAGGCTACATGCTTTTAAATTTGGTAATGATCTTCTACATAAATAAGGGGTTCCAACCTAATTTGACAGAACCTATCTCAATTGTGTGATTATTGTAAGCAGTTAAGGAATTAGTTGAAGTGTCCATAAACCCCCATAAAACTCTTGTTTAACATAAATATTTCCTTCAGCCATGTTTAGTGGCTTTTTAACCGTTTAATTTTTCATTTTAAATATTTTATATTTACCCTGATAATCCAGATTTAATCCAGTATGTTTATCGCTTTTTTAATTATTTTTTTTTTTAATATTTGAACACAATATAATTGGTCTGAATTTTTATATCTAAAATAGGTTATTTTATTTAATTGCAATTAATATCATCTTTGTTAATAATATTGGTAATAGTGATTACTACTATATAAAATTTATATAATACATCTTTAATTCCTATTGTTATTATTTTTAGATAATTAACGATATGAGAAAAATATCAAAGTACTGAGAAAAATAATATTTTGCATGATTATTTAAAAAATCTTTATATAGCTATTATTAATAGTGAAAATGAAATAATGTTTATTAAATACATTAATGTAATCATAAATCATACAAATATCTAATTTAATTTAAAGCCATCATTTTATTTTAAACTTAAGTAGACAATACTTGCATATTATAATCGATTAATCGTTAACTGGAGTATAGAAACTGTAAAACATGTCTTTAGATGACATAGCAACCCACTAAGAGCAGTAATTATATCAAAATTGTTAAAAAATATATATACATTTAGTATTTAAGATAACAAAAAAATCTTCTTTAAGGAGGCTTTGGCTATCTGATCATTAATCAATTAATAAAAAGAATAATTGATATTTGATTTGCAAAATAATCACTAGTTGCAGCCCTAAATAAAATATAAAAATCACATGGTACGCAGATAGGGAGAGGAAATGATGTCCTATCTTCAGTCTCTCTGCCTATTATTCACAATTCCTTCCCTTCATTCCACCGTGCTTTGATTCACCTGCGCTGCCCTTCTAAAAAAAAAACGTCAGCTTCTTTTGGTGTTTACAGGGAATGCTTAATGCAAATAGCTGCAAGTTGTTTTGGGTGCAAAGCAACACTTCAGATGTGTCACATAGTGTCAAACAGTGGAGATGCCAGAAAAGAAAATACAGCTGGCATCGGAGTGGAATATGGCAGGCAGATTTCAACACACATCCTGAACTGTGTGGCAGCAACTCTAGCAACAAATGATAATTTAATCCGCGAAGGCATTTCAAATAAAAATGGTTTTATTACAATGCTGATGCAGATAGGACTTACATTTTATTAAGAAAGGCTTGTTTTAAAAAAACAAAAACAAAAACATATTTAATTATTTGTGGATTATTTAATTCAGCTAAAACTGTGATTGACTAAATGCTGTAGAATTTATATAAAGCATTTAAGTGCTATTCCAGCATTATATGAGGAGAAACAAGCATTAGTGCATTTTGCAGGTGAATCGTTTTTGTTCTTACAGATGAACACTTGGCGAAATCCCAAATTTTAGTGTGTATATAAATTACATGTCATCATTATATATATAATAGATTGGATCCATGGATCTTCATGTCCAAAGCCTTGGTTGTTTTTTTAACCTGACCCCGCTTTATACCTCTCCTCAGTTTTATCTTGATCTGTCTGCTGTTATTATTATTTGTTTGGGTTTTTTTTCTCGGTTTTTTTATGTTAACTAATGTTCTACATCAAACTTCTGGGCAAATCAACTCTATTCACAAATTAAACAACTTGTAGGACAGTTGGTTGCACTGAATTTTATTTGGGGGTATCAAACTATAAGGGGCCAAGGATAAATGTTAACCACACCTTTCATATATATGTTGTTAGAAGTACATCATGTTGTAATGGCCTGATGAGAAAGAATGGAAATTAGAACACAATGCAACCAAGGCAAAGACATACAGAGTTAATCAATAAATTCTTCCATCTGAAATCTGTGTGGCTGTTATTTAGGCTCTTTGGCCTCTGTCTAATTCAAAGTCTTCTAGAGAAAATTTGTATTGAAAGAAAAGAGGCCAAAGCTATTTTCAGAGTGGAAGTTTGAGCAGTTTGAAGCTGATGTGGTCATCGCCTGGCTCTCTTTCATCTCCTGTGGACTCTGGGACAGAACGATCAATAATTCAACGACATGCCACTTTTGCAAGTGTGATCAATGATCTCTGCTCCCACACACTGACACACACTTCCACTTTAACCTTGATGAAGTGTCACCTTTTTTGACATCTCACTTTTTCCTCTCTCTGGTTGCAGATTTTGCGAAGGGCCGATAAAAACGGTACGTGTGCTGGCATCAAACGTATGCATGCAATTATATATCAAGTTTTCATCCAATGCATGTCCCTCATTTGCGAATAAACAGACGTGTATTCTCTAAATGAGATTCTAATCATGACTCTCCAATAATACCGTTTCCATGGAAACAGGAAACTGACCCCCCTCCCATTGTCGAGGTTCTGTTTGAGAGCAGTGATAAGGAGAAACATCAGAAATTTGTGAAATTTAAAGATACTTTTAATATGGCATTACTTCATGTTAGCTATCTCAGAATTTAAGAAAGAATTTGGTTTAACTTGATCTGATCTTTCATTTGTACCTGACTTACTTGTCAGAAAGTAATTTCCCTCTTTAAGTAATTTCCCTCTGGGATTATTAAAGTATTTTTTCCTCTGGGATTATTAAAGTATTTTTTCCTCTGGGATTATTAAAGTAAATTCCCTCTGGGATTATTAAAGTATGTCTGATTCTGATTCAGATAAGTAGCCCTTTCAAAAACAGCATGGCTTCTCAAAATAACAAAGAATAGCAGAGAAAAACTTGAGAAACAGCAAATAATATAACTGGAGAATATACGCCCTCCAACAAAGGTATTATAGTTGTTTCATCTAATGCATAAAATTATGGTAAGCGATTCTTTGACATGCATTTATAAATGTTGTTAAAGGTATTGTGGAGGATTTTTGCGAATTTTTTAAAAGACCTGCCCTCTCCACTTTCAAAAAATGCACATGCACAACCCTGTATCCACTCCCAAAAGGAAAAATCTATTTTTTTTTTTTTTTTTACAGTGTCCTGTCCGGCAACACTGCAAAAACAATCCAGAAATAAGTAAAAAATGGCTTAAATTAAGTATATTTAGCCTTAATTTGAGCAGGTAAATAAGATGATTTGCCAATGGAATGAGTATTTTCACTCTTAAAATAAGATAGTTAGATAATATTTACTTGAAATAAGACGATAAAATAGTTTTTTCTTATTTTAAAAGGAAATTGTCTTGTTCCATTGGCAAAGTGTCTTACTTACCTCCTCAAATCAAGGAAAAACACACTTATTTTAAGAAAAAATAACTTATTGAGATTTATATTTTTTGCAGTGAATGTGGCAATACGAATAATTGTCTTGATGCAAAAAAGAGCCCAATAGATTTTACTTTCAACATTGGAGCAATATGGCAATTGCCATAGTGTTCCACTTGTTTCATGCATATAAATAGCTTTATTATAATTATGCAGGGAGTTTTACAGATTATATGGACACTGCAATGTAAATAGAACAGAAGAGGAAAAACAGAAGAAGACTAAAAAGAGAAAAGATGAAAGAAAGCTTCATCACCTGCAACGAGATGCAAAAAGAACAGCACAACTGAAAGACATGGTACGAGACATACAATAAAGCAACACCTTGAAACTATCGTTGAAGTAGCATTATAAGGAAACATCTATTAAACGCGTGCTAGAGCATGCATGAGCCCATTTCTTCTCGTGCACGCTCTTTTAAAAAGTTGTTGTTCTCATAGCTCATACAAGCTTACTGTGACCGAACGTCTGCCCTAACCCCTAAATCTCTCAATCATTATATAGAGCAGGGACTATATAGTAGACTTAATAGCAAACTCAGTTAACTTACCGTTCGGGAAGATGATCACTAGTTTTTACTCCCTGTTGGTCATATAACTCCTCCCCCACTGTGCAGTGCCTTCGCCATCTTTATCATTAGTCTCCGCTGTTGGGTAGTGACAGCCTATGGCAACAGCGGGCCATTGTGACAGCAAATCCATAATGCTTTGCGAGGAGAGCTCTCCGCGCAAAGCATACCATGATGTATCTGCCTCTTCTGAGGCCTTTCTTTTCTTCTCATACACTTATTGACACTTTTTCTCTTACGTCCCTCGGCCATTTTCAAAGAACCGCGGTGAGATAGGTGAGCTTCAATGACTGTCTGCAACTGTAGCTCAACACAGATATATGCCTGAAAGTGTGCATGTGCAAAAAAACATAGCTAATGATGACCTTTCGTAAACATATCACCAGAATGATGGACAATTAGGAGGACAACTTATTTAGGTGATCCACCCGGAAATAAAAAATCGTCCTCTATACCTTTAACTGACACTAACTAAAATCCAATACATTTGCATCAAGATGGATGGTTGATAAAATGATGTCTTTCAAAGGTCAGTAAAACCAGCTAAAGATGATATAGGTTTATAGGAAAAGTTTCTTGCCTAAAAATTATTTAAAGCAGCAAGTCACCCTTTATGTAAACAACATAAAAAGTGAATTAGCTATAGGGCTACAAAATAAATGAACCCTAAATTAGTTTATATACTTCTCTTTTTCATATATTCTCTCTTGGTGATCAGCAAACAATTGACAAAACAAGCCTGAAAAATGTTTGACAGAGTTACGTAGAACCATTTGCTATATTTTCTTTCTGGATGTTTGATTTCATCAACTGGATGGCTGCATATGTTGCTGCATGAGCTGTCTCTATAGCTCTGCAATGAGGGTGCATTTATTGATGTGCAAATGTTGCTCATGCTTTGTGGACTAATGCAGCCTGGTATCACTGAAGAGGCTGGCTTTTGAATTGTGCATTTAAAATAAGCCAGATGCTCTCTCTTTTATCCGGCCTGGAGGCACAGCATTCATAATTTCCGAAGAGAACTTAAGGTTTTTATTTGTAAGACCAGAGGCCGATTTTCTACTTCATCTCATCTAACAACAAAAAAACGTCCCATAGAGTTTGGATAAGCTCGTTTGGTGTTGAATGTTGTCCAGCCAGAAGGATTTTTGCTTACAACTATTATTTTTTTTTTTATTTTGGGCAATTTTATATGCTGCATGATCATAGCAACCAATTGTTTTTATTTAAAAAGCTGGAGCAGCTAAATAAGAACCTAAAAGCTGAAATAATACTTAATCTACATCCACAAATGCAAGATCAGTTGAAAAGGAGCACAAATGATGAAAAGCAGGAGCAAAGAGACGAAAGGAATTCGGTTCTATCACTTTTTTAGGCAATTTGATATCTTTTTAAACAAGCTGGATGAAGTCTAAACCCTAAGAAGGAACCAGCTAGAATACTGAGGATTAAATGTGTTTCGCTAAAACATGGCTGCAGGATTATATATTGGACTCCAAGGTCTCTCTACTGGATTTTCTGACCCTATGAGCAGACAGAGATTTAAGGAAGAGTGGCAAAATCAGTGGAGTTGGATTAGTTGAACAATAGACATGCCACTGTGAAATGTCTTCTTTGCAGACAAGATAATAAACTTAGCTGAAAGTTTTAGGCAATATTTTTTACCCAAAGCTCACCCATTGTAAGAATATTTTCTTTCTTCTATTATCTGCTATCACAGAAACTGTGTGAGGTTATTGGCTCAGTCCTCGCTAATTTACAGATATAAGAGACGAAAGGAATTCGGTTCGATCACTTTTTAGTGTATATACTTCTCTTTTTCATATATTTCCTCAATAATTCTTCTTTGTGAAATCCTATCCGATGGTTTCTAGAACAGAGCCTGCCTTCTTTATTAGCCTGTTGCGCATTTTTAAGTCACTTGCTCTGATGCTGTTACCCCAGCAAAGATGGCATAAGAGATCACAGTCTCCACAGAGACTCTTCCTACAAATGCTGCAGCTAAGCTTCCTGAGAAAATAGTCTTCTCTGCTCATTCTTGTAGACTGCTTCACAGTTGCGTTTCCAATCACACTCTGTTGTCCAGGTGAACACCAAGGTGATTGTACTCCTCCGCCACCTCCACTTCTTCTCCCATGATGTGAACATGATTGAACTTGTTCCTTGTTCATTTGATCTACAATCATCTCCCTTGTTTTTTCCACACTTAGCATCAGATTGTTTCTAGACCATGACACAGAGAAGTGCACTAGCTCTGTGTACTCAGCTTCTTGTCCATCTTTGATGCACCCATTGATTGGAGAGTCCTCCGAGTATTTCTGCAGATTACCGTACTCTGTATGGTACTGGAATTCACAGGTGAACAGAGTAAAAAGGAAGGGAGAGAGTACCATCCCATGTGGTACTCCTGTGCTGCTGACTACCTGGTTTGACAGCTGACCCTTCTGTCTAACAAACTATGATCTGTTTGTCAGGTAGTCTTTGATGCAGGCAATTGTTGATGCCTTCACCTGAGTCTTCTGATGTTTCTCACAAAGTAAGTCAGGCTGAATTGTCTTAAATGCACTGGAGAAATCAAAGAACATGATCCTTACAGCGCAGTGTGCGCTGTTTGTTGAAGCAGGTGCATAATGGCACCTTCAGCTCCACCATAGTAAGCAAACTGCAGGGTGTCTTGATATCTGTTTATTTGTTTGCTGAGGTGATCCAGTTACAGTTTCTCAATGACCTTCATGATGTGGGATGTCAGTGCAACAGGTCTGTAGTCACTGGATAAACAAGGGGAGTGGTTGAGATTTCAGGTGAGAGAGAAATAAGTCAAACATTATTATCATGGGAGAAGAAATGATTCACCAGCTGTGTCCAAGGGGGTACAGAGCACTTAATATTTGTCCATCAGTGTTTGTAGTAAGATGCAATATGCAGCATCTTCTGCTGGGATAGCAGCATTTGGGCAATTGACTTAATGAAGCCCAGCAAAATTAAAGGAGGCTGGCTCGGTTCTGGAGAAGCCTGAAAAGCCCTCTGGGTCTGGTTTTACAAAAAATAATTCTTCAAAAATTAAGAACATATAAAAAATCCTTTCATCAGACTATCAGGAGAACAGTAGAGTGTCTTAAGTAAGAAGATTTTCCAGATCTGCTGTAAGACAGATCACTACAGGAGATTCTTGCTGCCTACTGATACTAGCATCTACAAGGGCTCTTTGTACAAAAATCTGTAATATGAGGTACAAAAACATTTATCTTTGGAATAAAGTCATATTTTTTAATCAAATTAGTTGAATAAAAATGATAAATTGACTACTTGTTGATTAATGTCTGATTTTATTCCAAAGCCATTAATGTATTTGATCCAAATAGCAGAACTAAAGTATCTTTATAGCTCTTGAACCAGTTTGTTTTGATAAAGGGAATTGGTCAATATACAGCATTGTGACCAAGAAGTACAGCAGACAGTATGAAGATGAAGAAATATCAGAACAGCAAATGTACCTAGCCTGTCACAGGTAACAAAGGGTCACTATACATTACATTTAAGTGCAAGTGGGTATTCCTTGTAGTATCTATGGCAACACAACACTCATGAGCCCTGTGGCAGACTAGCAGTGAACATTTAAAGATCCCCCATCACAGGTCCACAAAAACAGTCTGTCACAGCTGGAGACAGAATGACACTGTCTGCATTTTTGATATTTAGGACATTCACTGTAAACCTCCTCATTTTATTTTATTTTTTTTACTTTTGATTATGTGTTTCTCATGAATATTTCATAACTCTTTATTATTTTCATAATTGCAGCATGTCAGAGCATCAAAGTGACTGATTGTTGGAGATTGCTATCACATTAATCTAATTGATGAAAATCATGACAGCCACACACAGACACAATGGTGTTTGCTTAAGTACTGAAAACAAGAACATCAATTTCTTTTTAGTTTGATCACTTCTATTATTTTACAATTGAGAATTTTTGTTCATTGAATCTCAGCTATGTTACCGGTAGTGTTATTTTGATCAGTATAAAGCTGTAAGGAAGTACTAAGTTGGTTTCTCCTTGTCACTACTGTGACCACCACAAAAATCAATGTCTTACCTAAAGGAGAACTATGCAAAATGTCTTTCATGAACCCTATTTCTAATTTCTCCTTCAGATGATGGAAAGCTGTCTTTTGATGAATTCAAATCCTACTTTTCTGATGGAGTCCTGACTGCCGAGGAACTGAAAGAGCTCTTCCACACAATTGATACTCATAACACAGAGTGAGTCAAGGAATTGTCTCATTTTGTTTTCAGTTTGTCAAAGCACGCTGTGCAGATTTTAGATATGAGAAGACTGGAAAAGTATTGAATTTATGCAAAGATACATGGATGTAATTAAACTTTATTTTCTGAAGAAAGTGTTCTCAGAGTTCCTGGAACACCCGTAAGTTTTATATGGATTTATATGAACCCTTGGTTTGTTGAAACTTTCTTTTCACATAGTTATATGGTAAATCACGCTGTTGAAAGTGGCTTGTTTTTTTGTTCTTTTGTTAGAGGGAAAAATTGTAAATCTACATGGTCTTTCTAAAAGATATCTGTTTTGTGGTTTAGTAAGACACACAGCTGCAAAAGAAAAGCCTGAAACCACATCTGTTAGATAACAACAATTGTATTTCACATCTGCTAAACTGAATAAGCGCTGGAGTTTAAGTTCGATCAATAACATTTGTTAATTTCAATCATGATTTTTGGTTACCAATCTTAACTTTTGTTTCTCAGAAGCTTTTGTGTTTTTAGTGTTCCTCAAAAAAGATCAGCCCATTCCCCCTTTTGTCCTACAAGCATTTTCCTTCTTCTGGCCACTTTACCTGTGAGCATAGCAATAGTACAATACATTTCTTAGCTGATATGAAGGACTATGTTTCTTCAAACCAGCTGGTCAAGAACTTTCACTGGCTCTGATAAGAAGATTTTACAAAGGAATTATCAAATGAACAAAGCCTTGGAAAGTAATGCATTTTAGTGCTGATTCCTATCTCACAATTATTAGCTTGCAGGACTTTGGGTTAATTATTTACTGATCTTAGAATGCCTGTAGATCTCCTCTGTATTTAAATAAAGCTATTAACTAATTTAGCTCTATTCTGAAAGCAATACAAATTTAAATTGGTGTGCAGCTTTTTCAGTGTAACAGAACATTGTCGGCTAGCATAACAGGCAGTGTTTCATGATCTGAGGTGTTTTCATTTTTTTTTATTTTCTTTTGTGTTTAAGTTTTCTGTTTATTTGTCATTTTATTATGGTATTTAAGTACTATTTTGTTTAGTTTACCTTTTAAAGGGGTTAAAAATGGCAAAACCGAGTTTACATTGTCATAGATGAATAACGATAGTTCAATGGGTGAAATGGACGTACAGAAAAGTTCAAACCCCATCGACACCTCCTTTCTCTGCAGATCTCACAATTCTAAACTTCCACCATAAAACGGGCGACTCCAAACGAATCCCCGAGCTGATGTAAGCTCATCTAAATATTCATGAGCATACCATAAAAGGAAGAAAACCTGTCGTTGCATTCTAGGGCTTTTAACCAGGCTTGAATCATGGCGCATAGAACAGCAAATAGGCAATTTTCAGCCCAACCAATGTTAAACACCCTATTCAGAGACCTTAATAACCAGCACCAAATACCCTATATAAGCATTCTATGACCCTTTACGGTTTTACTTGTAAGGTTTTCGATTTTACATCAGGAATTTTGTGTTTCTGGTCTTGATTAACATGTTATTAGTTTGCTTATTTGGGAGATCATCAGGGACCAAGTGTTTAGGGCACAGAGAACATTAGAAAAATGTCTTCAGAATGGGTCTTTTATTCCACTCAAAAGTTTGAACAAAAAATAAAGTTAAAAAATAACGTGTAACAGGCTATTTAACAAGGTCAACCTAATATAACTACTTAAAAGACTTACAGAATATTGTGCTGAGCTAACAAAGTGTACACGGCTTAACTTAATACTGACAAAACACAATGCACAGATGGGTTCTTTATATAATAAATTTGGCAAAACCATCTAAACGCCATAGGGAGGACAGAGAATCCATAATAGCAAGAGGCCAAAAGATCTCAATGTCACCTTAATGACAAGCCAGTGGTCTCTGCTGAGATTGCATTGTGCTCCCAAAGCCCTTCACCCTTGGCAACACCTCTTATCCAAACAGGAAGAAGCCAACTTCCCAAACCAAATAACAAATAAAATATATGAAAATTAATAATCAGAGCACATTTGAAATTAACACATGTGCACACATCATAATTTCATTATAAGGTTAAATGCATTTAAGGCCTAGATTACTAAAATATATACTTTCAAATGCAAACTAACTCAGGTAACTATCTTGACTGTTTTATCAATATGTGACTGAGTGTATCAGGCATATAGGTCATTTTTCCCTGTTTTATTTCTAAGAGCTTTTTATGCTTTCGCTTTAGTTCATATTATTTTTAGGATCCTCCCAATAGTTCTATTTTAGTTTAGTCATGTTTATGTTATTTTCTTGTCTTGTGAGAGTAATTGTTCTGTTCCTGTTGAGCTGCTGTAAGTCTTGTTGTTTTAAATTATGCAACTAAGTTTTCCTGTTATCAGCCTTTGTTTTGTGTTGTCCTCTACTACTTACTACTGCCAGTTTGCTTTCACCCTTCACTGGTGAATACTGATTGGGGCGTCTGTTGTGCAATGCTGTGCCACACCAGTGTTTTACCTAAGATCTAGATTTAAGTTGCTTTTCTTTTAAAGTAAAATTCTACTGACTTAGCATTCTGCCTTTCTGCATATGGACTCCAAGCTCCAAGTGGTGTTTGGTTTCGTTGTGTCAAAATGTATCTATGAAATAGCACTTTTATTGTTTTGTACCAAGAACACATTACTGTATAGTTTTAAATAGAACAGGTTAAAAAATAGGTGGATGCTTGGCTGCTAAGTCCATGCTGCTGGTTTGGCTCGTTTAATGGAAAATTACAGAATTGCATTCTTTTCATGCCAGCGTTTTTTTTTTTTTTTCCTAACCATGGGTGTGTGTTGTTCTCAGGCAACTGCATCAATAAAAAAAAAAAAAAAAAAACTCCAGAACCATTTTGTGGTTAACATCAAATCAATCTCTAAAATAAAAACTGGGTGACAACCTTAGCGCAGACAGTTGTATACAATGCTCATTTTAATCTTGTCTTTTTCTAGGTGAACAAATACAGAAAGTGAAGGAAAATGCATCACTTTTCATGTGTCTTTCATACATTTCATGTTTGTTACTGTGTGCTGTAGGATATTACTTCACACAAAGTGATATAACAAAATTCCATGTAACATTTATGGTGTTTATATTTAGGGAGCTCCTGTCAGGAGACCAACCCTGTCCATACTTTGGCCTTGTTACTATAACTCAATTAGCATGTTTTTTTTTTGGGAAAATAGAAAACCATTATTATGTTTCTATGGTTTATTTACATGCAGTGGTGCATGTTTTCTCTGTCAGTGGCACAATGTGAAAATGTAGACAGGAATATTGAAATCGTTTTAAAGGGGTAGCCCAGACACATGCCCAGTGTAAAAAAAAAAAAAGAGCAGAAATAAATGTACAGACACGCAACATAAGGCTGCCAACCAATTTAATACCCACAGTGGACATTATTGTTACGTACATTGTTTTTGTTGACATTTTGTCAATAATAATGGCAGACTGCAGAGAACTTGTGGTGCTGACTCCTATAAATTTAACAATGGTTCTCCAAGAGTAAAAGGCTTGCCTTCACTACACTGTCTCTCTGTTTGATTTTATATTGATTTTCCCCTTTAAAGGCCCAAAACACGTGAAAGCATTATCAACATAAAATGTGTTCTGAAATGGTTTCTGATTAATAGGTTGGTAGGCTGTCCGTTATTTTATTTGTGACAAACTACACCTACCGCATTGAAGCTTAGGGACACTTATTCATAAGCTTCACATGCATTTTAAGACATCTCATCAGTCTCTTGTAAAACACACTGAAAATCAAGGAAAAGTGTTAAACAAGCAGCGGATTGTTAGTAATCAGGTAAAAATAAGCAATTTTAAGTCAGGTAACCTCACTTTTAATTTTATCTGGTCTAATCTTTTACATCAAACTGTTCAGTTACAACCGTGCAACATTAAATTAATGAATAAATATTTCACATTGGTAAAAAAGTTATTTTTATTATAAAAGGAGAAACACAGCAAACCTGAAAAGGTGGTATAGGATTATGTTAATTGAGCAAATTTTTCACCTGTTGACTTTACTGTTAGTTTTTTAATTAAACAAAATATGAGTAACTAGATTTATTATGTGCAAAATATTCATTTGAAAGCAATCTGGGCATGTTGCCATTGATTGTATTATGCAGTCACTGAAATAATTTATCACTTTCAGAGTTTTTTTCTTTTGCTAAGAATGGAACATTTTTTGTGTTTTTTTTCCAACAATCGATCTGTGACTTTTCTTTGTGAGTTCCACACTTTGCTAGGAGCTGCTAAGAGCTTGACCGCAGTAGGCTTCTTCTTGCAGTAGGATACTCCTCCTGCAGACATGAGCAGTATCATGCATCTGTTGTTATTGTAAATATATATGAAGGGTTGTATTTACAAAAGATTAAGCAAAAATAGAGTTTAACACAAAAATGAAAAATAATAGGCCAGCGAGACATGATGATCTTTCAAAAAGATTTGTCTGCAACTACTGTGAGTTACTGGCATTTAAATAAATTTTTTTTTAAAAGTCACATAAGTTAGGTTTTGCACCTAAACAATCTCCAAAACGAGGGATCTAGCAGTCTCCTACAACCCTGATGGCAGACTGGTTCTGTTTGTTCTCAGCCACATTGTCTGTATTCAATGCAGCTGTTTCTAGTTCCATCATTCAGATTGTCTCCTAAGCCTTCTGCATTTACAGTGAGGTCCTGTACCATAATAATCAAATGCACTGGCTGTCTTTAGAATACAGGGTTTTCCATCCCAGGGATCAGTCTGACTTTATACCTCGCACTGAGATATTCAAGAGAGAGCCTTTCCAGAGCCAAGACACCTACAGTGTCTCCTCGCGGCCACACATGGAATCTGGATACTATTGTCCAAGGTCTAAATACAGGAATCTAATTTCATCCCAGGTCATTCCACACTCTTTTGATGCCATTTATTGTTAATATACTGAGAAGTTAGTGTTGTGAAGAGGTGAAAAGATCTGTGAATTGCAAAGCCGGACTTGCAGGAAAACCCATGAAATACGTTAGCTGATGTTACATAGGAGATGACACGGTCTGCTCATTCACTCTTTTTGATCAGAGAACTGAGCCACAACTGAACTGTGCCGAGCCCTACTGTTAAAATAGCATGGTTGTGTCTGGCACAGTCCAGTTCAGTTGTGTTCCATTTACACTCAACAGGTATCTTGGTTATCATGCTCGGACAATTCTTGGCAAGGCTTCAAAAGGGTAGTGTAAATCGGGCTTAATGGCAACACTGGCAAATGGCAAATCCTGAGCTAGCAGAGGCAAGAAACTCTCTTCTCTACCCTCTCTGGTGCGCTGATTGCTCCGATCTCCCAATGTGGTTGCAAAGCTCCAGATAACGGAGCGGCGGGCAGCCTCTTTCCATTTCTGGTGCTCTCTTTCTGCCGGTGTTCTAGTACTGATTTCCTGCTGCTCCTGTGTGAGCACCAAGGCAACGTCTTTCCTAACCCTTGTTGTCCAGAAGAATCAGATTAAACCAGAATGCCTACTCCAACGGCGTTGTTTCACTTTTAAAGGTAAAAAACCAACAAAAATCCCACCGTAAAAACTTTTCCTCAATGTTTTCTGTGAAATTGGCTCCAAACCTTCTCCTGCAAGTCAGCAACTGAAATTACTTATTTTTATGAGCTAGATTTATACCCCATACCCCTTCTTATGTCCACTACTTCTACGTGCAAGGAAGAATTGGGACAGTACTACCCCTCATGGGAAGCACAAGTTATGGATAGGGCTAAAAACTAAGGCTAGGGGGTGTATTGGGATTGGGACTTAGTGTAATGTACCTCACACTGAGATACTCGATAGATAGCCTTTCTACTGCCAAGATCCCTACAGTGTTCATGAGATAACTCTCGAAAACAACATGGTCGTGGCGGATGTAAACATATGAGATATATCCATATTTCACTTACAACTCAAGTGTTTTAATTGAAAAAAAAATGCTTTTATTTTAACTGCCATATCTTCATTAAGTGCTTGTACTTCCGTTAATATAATTTAAGCATTTTGACTGTCAATGAAATTGTGTACTTTACAATAAGATACTTGGTAAAACAGGTTGTAAAAAGATTGAGGCTTCAAGCTCAAAGGGCAATTTGATTGACACCAGCGTGAATAATTAGTGAAAGAATTAATCACTTAATGTATAAATATATATACACAATTAAAAAATTAAGTCTTGATATTCTTTAGTATATTCCTAAAGAGCGGGAAGTAACTTACAATAATCATTTGTTCCTTTTAATGATGAATAATTATAAACTTTACCTTATTTGTATTACTATCTGTATTGTGGATACATACAAAGGAATCAAAACTATACAAAGTATATGAAATAATGCAACAATAACATTTTTAAATGACATAGCATCCTTTATATTTTTGATTCTCCAAAATAGCTTCCATGTTTTTTTTCATACTTTGCACATATTTTTAGTGAGCCTCATAAAATTGACTTAGATTTACCGGTACTTAAAATGGTCTTCCATCAGTCTTAAAGTGTCCACACTTTGTACTTGTAGTGTATAAATATATGTTAGGTGATACTTTAACAACAGTAAACAAAGAATTTTGGGGAAGTTCTGAAATTGATTTAGTTGTATATATTGTAAAGCTTGCAACTAGAAAGTTCCCAGGTGTCTATGTATACCTTGTACTAGTGTCAGGTTATTAATTGAATAAAGTGCAGAGGGAGTTTTATTTATTATTGCTGTTTGGAAAAAGGTGAGGTCAAATTTTGGTTCTGTTCAACCTTTTTTGCCTCTGCGGTATATGCATGAGAAACCTTAAATGCTCCCAAAGAACTCAGTTTGGTAATAAATGGTAGTCCCCTTACTGGAACTCTGAATTGTGTAGTTAGTTCAACTAAGAAACAGTATCCATGTATGCTCAGGTGTTAACAAATCTTTACTCATTATGCTTTGAACACATTTGCCAAACATACCACATAGTATACCAATAAAAACAAAAATATACAGTATATATGCCATTGCACAAACACACACATATATTCAAATAAAGTTTAATAACTAATTACATCAATACATAGATACGATTTGGATTATATTAATGATCTCATTATATTATATTGTATTTTATTGTTTTATATTGAGTTTATAAAAAGAAAGAATGTAATGTTTAATGTCTTTTTTTTAATTAATGTTAAGCTCAAGGTCAATGTGTCCAAATCTCTTTTAATTAGAAGCTGAAACAGGCAGATAGTAAAGTTGTTAAAAACCCATTTAGAGCTTTCAGACTCAGTCGTGTATTGATTAGAGAATGAGTCACCAAAGCTTTAAAGTCCTTGAGATGACAAGGCTCCTTAGCCTGGTGTGCAACAATATTTGCTTATATTTATAGTTTTTTTTTCTTTTTCGGTCTTTTATGCTGCTTTATTCAGTACATTAGTACTATACCATTCATTCGTATATTTGAAGTCTAACAAGGACACATCAGAAAGAACTTGGCGATCTATCATGCACTTTTAAGTCTAACTTCTCTTGTTCTCAGCTGCCCTCTACATCTCTAAGTGTTTTCTCTTGTTCGGATAGTTTATCTCTGCAGCTTTTTCCCATGTGAAAAACAGCTACAACCTCTGTTGAGCAGAGTTTAGGCCAACCAACCTCCTCAGTTTCTGTCACAGTTAAAACCAAATCTTTTTATGAGTCTTTTAAGTATCCAAAGTGCTAACATTACATGTAACAATCGCTCATGTTTTTACTTCATTTCTTTCTGATGTATTGCTTTCAGAGCTTCCAAAATAAAAATATAATTGAGAAATTATCCTAATAGGCAAGCAGAATTAGAAAGTGTTCTCCATTTTTGCAAATCTAGTTGATAAAAAGAAAATCAAATATTTAAAACCTGACTTGTTCTTTTCAAGTTGTCATAATATAATTGACTCATGAAATAAAGGTCTTCCTGAAAAAGAGTTTTGTGGACTGGTTAAAAAAAAAAAAAAAATCATAAGTCCTCACCTTGTTTTTTTCTTGTGTTTTAGGAATCATTGCATTTAAATCTTTCTTTTCTATGTTTTTTTTTTTTTTTTGCAGCAATGTGGACACGGATGAACTTTGTGGTAAGCTGAAGCTGCACTGTCACTTTCCTCTCAGAGAAACACTGGAATGCTATTTGACATTTTGATTGCTGTGACCAAACCCCAGAGGGCCTAAAAACTCTTTTCCATTTCTGCCTTTATCTCTATTTTCCTCTTGCTCTGTAGAGTACTTCTCGCAGCACCTTGGCGAATATGAGAATGTTCTTGCAGCTTTGGAGGAGCTTAATATGTCCATACTGAAAGCAATGGACAAAACAAAGAAGGTAAGACAAAGGAGACAGCAGGAATCCCATAACCACAAGCAGAATAAAAAAATATTTGCATCAGAGTAAAATGCATCTCTCTAAGGGTTTTTTGTCATGTATTTACATGTAATTTTTACTTTATTGCCTGCATGTAAATATAGCCAGAACAACATGCTGGATGTTAATGTTTCGTGATTTATGTTTTCTTCAAGCATTTTATTTGCTTTTTAAAACCAAACAGAGCATAGTCCTGACCCCAAAGTCCTATTAAGAATTGATTGTTTGAAATTACACCAGCAATTTTATTTCTCCTTTTCTTGTCTTTGTCTTTGAAATGTATCACAGTTAAGATGCTTTAGTGATCTATTTGCACAAGACATAAGACGCATAGTAAAATCAATGGTTTGGAACCATTTTATTGTGCAGTTTAAGCATGATAAAAATCCACTTGATGGCATTTGGCATTGTTTGCTAGAAATAAATAAACCACAGCTTACTTCTTAGCCCTGAGAAGATTACGGCCTAAATCACTGGGTCTAGATTGGAGGTCTTCAACAAGGGGAGGTACTGCATAGTTTTTTTTTTTTTTTTATATTCCCCCCAGCAATTTTTTCCACTACGTGAAATGTCTTTAAATACACATTAACATGAATTCAACACACTGTATTAAACAGATAAATGGAGGCATACTGTAAGATGTCTTTCAGTCATCAATGCTCACATTCAGCGACACACAGGAGCTCTTTCAAGCTGGGCACCGTTTCATTCACAACATCTGTCCCATCAATGAGGAATCAGAATCAGAAATACTTTAATAATCCCAGGGCGAAATTACAATCATTACATTGCCCCATGTGTAATGGAGTGACTATAGGACCAGTTTGATATAACACAATTTCATACAATATATATAATTAGGGGGTCCCTGCTCCATCCCGCCATCAGAGTTTGGAGGTCCTTGGCCTGGAAAACATTGAAAACCCCTTGTCCAGACTTTAGAAAGAGTATCATACAGACATGTTGCAATGCTCAGTAAACTGTTCATCTCTACAACCACACAATAACAAAAAAGATAGAGCAGATGAAGACCATAACGTATTTCTCCTCTGATGTTTTTTTTTCTTTCCATTTTTCATCCTTCTGTCCTCCCTGTTTTCTGGGCAAAGGTAAACAAAAAACTATTGTCTCTTTGAAACCTACTAATTTTTACAGTGCTTATCAAGGACAGATGATAAAAAGAACAACCTTTGTGTGGAATTATTTCTCTCTTCTGTAGCAGTCCAATTAAACACAAGACAAACAAAAAAACAAAAACAAAACATAAAACATGCAAACTAAAAAAAAGAACACCAAGGGACTTCAAAACTGATAAAGGGATTTTTTATTGTTCTATAATAGTGGGGTGCCTATGTCTTTTCTTTTGCACAACTGTGTGTCTCCAAACGAAGAGCACCCCCATTCACATATGAAACACACTTATCGTTAAGTTCCAAGCTTTATAGGTTAGCCCCACAAAGCTTTTTTTGCCTTAGAAAACAGATTAGACAATCACCATTTCCACAAGGCCAACAATTTACCTACATCTACTCATAGAAATTTGGATTCCTAAAAGGTGACAGGAAGGAAAGATTGAAGTGCTTACATTTATAATAAAGACAAAACTAATTTATACAAAAGGGATTATCTCAAGGAATCTCTTAACCAAGTTGGCATAAATTGCACAAAAACATTTCTTTATCAGGTGGCTAAAGTTAGTTAACTTCAGCTCAAACTTTTGTAAAGGTGCTTACCGAAATATCCCATAGAAATGTCTCCACTCTCCAGTCCTTTTACTGGTGCTCTGTGAGAACACCATACGCTGTCAGATCGGCATACACTTAGGATTTTGTCTAAATTAATTCAGACTCAATATATATATATAAACCACAGCCAATGTTTTATATGATTTTAAACATAAAAACAAAATGTAACCAAATTTGAATTTCCGCACACAGGTTTTTTACTACTAAAGTATGCTGATCTGACAGAACTGCGGCGAAGAACCGGCGAGCTGAATTCAAATAGGTAGCATTGTCTTTAATTCAATTCAGTTCAGTTTATTCATATAGCGCCAATTAACAACACGTCATCTCAAGGTACTTTACAGTTAACAGATCATACAGTCAAATTGATTCAAAATTTTCTATCTAAGGAAAACCTGTTGATTGCAGTGACTCATTGACTCGAATGCAATCCCTCACACTGAGCATGCTTGTGGCAACAGTGGAGAGGAAAAAATCCTTTTTAACGGGAAGAAACCTCCAGCAGAACCAGGCTCAGTGTGAGCAGCCATCTGCAGAGGCCAACTGGGGTTCAAGGAGACAGAAGCAGAGATACAAAAAGCAGCTATAAAAGGTGGCCCTGTCCAGGAAACACACAGCCGGGCAGACGAGCTCCGAGCCAACTCCCACGCCAGAGGACGCAGAGAGCACATCCAGCCAATCACAGTCAGAGAAAGAGGACTACACTGGAAAACAGCCCTTTATCATGCCTTACACTCTCACACCGACACCAAGCTACGGAATCCCAAAGGCAAATAGCTAACATTTCAGGCATCAGGCTACATTGAAATTCAGCAGGTAACAGACATATGAAAAGTATAGATTCAAATATAGTCCTCCACTAATCCGATGCTTTTAAACTAAAAAGTGTTTTATTTGTATATCTTTCCTAAACATTATCCTTTATTCTATACTCTTTTATTGTGTAATTTTGGTAATAAAGACCAATAGATTATCATATTGATACTAAATTGTCTGAATTTAGTTTCAAATACATTTCATAGGACATTACAAAAACATTAAAACAGATTATATTTTTAAACATGTGTATATTATTTGACAAAATATTTTACCAAAGTTAAAGTTAGAGTTATTGCAGAAAGTTTTTTTTTTTTTCTTTTTAAATGTTAATACAATGCTACAAAATTTACTCTCTGCATTTATCCCCTCCCCTTGGGAGCAGTGGGCTGCCATGGTGCAGCACCTGGCGAACATCTTGGGGTTAAGGGTCTTTGCTCAGAGAGCCAGAGTGGAAGTCTGTGGGAGTGGGGTTCAAACTTAGAACCTCAGGATTCCAAACTCTATGCTCTAACTACTAAGACAATACCCCTGATAGAGTGAGTCGATAAAATTTAGAAAAAAAAACAGCCTGGACATATATGTGAAAACTTTATAGTGACCTAAACCTAATTTTAGGTAATTTTTAAGAGACTTCTTTGAACTAAGTTCTAATATTTTCTCTTTGATTAATTTATTATATTAAAAAAACAAACTATGGTTTTAATAGCACTTACTGTTGTAACTTACCAGGTAATAATGGATATTATTTGCGTTTCCCTCTCCTAGTTACAATTCTGTCTTCCTGTCTGTCTTGTGCCCCCAAACTAAAAGACATGCTCTTTTTTCTAACTACTACTTATTTGTTACTTACATTGTCTTCAATATGCCTTGCTCTTCCCATTGCAACCCTCACTCAACTTTGAGTTCAACTATTTGCTATCCATCCACTGCATCTAATGTGAACAGATCCATAATTTGTTTGGTCAAATACTTCAAGCTTCCCTGTGATTTACAAAGCATTAATATACAGCATAAATGTCTACATTTAAGCCTGCCATTTATTGTCATTTGCATAGTTTTGAGCGGTATGCCTATTGCAGAGTCGTTATCTCAATGACTATAAAGCTTTGATATATTTTGCAGTCCTGTTATGACCTACAATCCGATTTTATACCACTGCTGAGGTCTTTATGAGCCACTCCTACTGTATGTAGAGAAGAATTTAAATTCAGTGAAAATTTTTGATTTTTAAGCATTAATTGTCTGCTTATGGTCATTTCAGCACATCTTCATTAGATTAAATTCCAGACTTCAGCTAAGCTTCTGCTGCAATCTGGTTTGTCGCAGCATCTGAATTTTTAGTCTCACAACAAATCAATGTTGAAAGACTCCAGCCAATAGGTCCATCTCGTAATCACCAGCGGGTCAAACCCATGACATGCAAGCAGTGTTTCTTTAGGTGGGCCCGGTAGCAATGACGACAGTCAGAAGGGGCTTAAAAACCCGGCTACGCTGGAGGACTCACCTGACGATACCACAATTGACTCTGTTTTAGCTAAAATGGTGACAATTGCTATGTGCATTTATAGATGGGAAAGACGTCTATGCTTTTCTTCTGACATGATTTGGAAAAAATGTAGATTTATCAGCTTACTCCGTCGAAACGTCACGATTCTCTGCTACGATTGGCTGAAAGCGTATTATGAGAGGTGGGTGCTAGCTGGAACGTCACCCAATCATCTCAAAGTATTGTACTAAATGTCCCTCCTTTTCACGGAGAGACTGAAGTGCAGCCATCCCAGATTGATAAAGTAGAATTCAACTCAGTTCTACACATATCAATCTGGCTACTGCCAGGTTAGACTTGAAATAGGACACCCCATAATCAATCATGTCTAAATGTGGTACAAACCAATTTAAAATTACAAAGAATAATCCAAAATGCACTGATGTGAAAACTCTAAAGACCAAAAAAAGAAGCAATTTTTAATCTTAGACAACCGAAACTTTTCTTTCTAATTATTCAAATTGTGTTCTAATAGGCCATGATGATTAAATTTTACTTTTAGATTTAGAAATCCTGAGGGCCTCTGTGACTTTTAATGTCACTGAGTCATGATTTATGTGGTTTGACAGAAAAGAAATGCTAGAAGTCAAGCTAAGTTTGAGCCTTTTAATGATACAAATTAGAGATGCTTGATTCCTCTGACTGCGGTCCTGTATTTTAGCAGCAATTCAGGTGTCTTCTCAGCGTGCGTCCGAACTGGCTCCCTCTGATCTCCCATTAGGGATATTTCCATTACAGAGCCAGAAAGGGCAGGCAATGGCTTACTCATACTCATTAACCACCAGAACAAAACATGCTTTATTTTACCTGTGGGTTAAATAAACATGAAAGATAATAGTTGCTGATTCCCA